AAAGGCCTCCCGCCACGCTCCGTGGCAAATTTATGGGCCGTAGGTGCAACGACCGGCGCCGGCAAAGACCTGGGTCTGCCGAGCCAGCCTACCGTGCTGCCACAGCACTAAAAAGTATAACTCACCAGTAGATTTAGGATCCCCGGGGGTTAAGTCTCCAGTTTGTATATAACAAGTATCTCCCTGCCTGTCTCATAGTTATTTACTGATTAATAATAATTCCGCTATCTTCGTAACATATTTATTGACTACATGTTAAAGATTCGACGGCCACCAATATTATCACAAGAAACTATCATGCACATACCCAATTTTGATCCGGATGATTCGACCACATGTGTATGATCTCCACAGATGACTTCATGACAATATTTGCTTCTTTTCCAAACCCAAATTATATGTTTTTCTTACCCCATGAAATAGAGTGACAGTGAGCTGTGACTTCTCCCCGACGAAATCGAAAACTTCTCTTTTTGTCATATTAACATTGACGCTGAGATCTTCGAGTGCTGCAGTTTTCATGCGGTCTCCCAGTGGCGATGCAGGTTGTGCGAGTAGATTGGGCCAGCGACTAGTACAGCTACTTTTCATGAACAAGAGAAAAACAACGTCGAAAGAGTATTGAAAAAAGGAAATTTGAAACTTCGTCGAAAAGATATTTTGTGAAAAAAAAAAACCGCACATGATCGAGAGCAGTATGTTGTGGAAAAAATAGCAACACCATAGAGCAATATCAGTTGAAAGACTGAAATATAACGTGATATCCGGCGTCACTCTAACTTCAAGTTCTTTCTCTAATTGGAATAACAGCATTCTTTTCACCAAGGAACCGATGTATATTTGACACCACATCCTCATGCCCAACATCCTACTCATGCCCGCCGCTACCCTTCCAGCAGAAAATCCGCTTCATCCAGCTCCAGACCAGCGAGCCCTTGAGTCAGATTCTTCAGACTCTTCAGTTACCAGCGTAGTAAAGACCGTCGCAATAAAGAAGAAATGACCGTCTCAGCAAGTCCTGCAGGCCCGTCTGAAGCTTTGCCAGCGTCTTGGTTCCAAGTTCTCGCGATTTTCGTGCTATTAGCTGGCTTCGTCTCTTGCCAGTGCTATATTCTCTGGTACGCAAACGAGCACGATAGGAAGAACGAGGCTCGACGATTACGTAGCTACGGAGGTGAGAGTGCGAGACCATTGTAGGAGAACAAGAACGAAAACGACTATCAACACGAGAATACAAGAAGACAAAGACCTGACTAAATTCCACTAGAACTAGCTGCACCCGAAATTGTCATTAAGAAAGAAGATCTCCATCTCCTCTCATCTCCTCGTTCTAGTGGAATTGCACCATCTCCTCTCCATCTCCTCGTGTTGAACTTCGCCTCGTCCTACGAAATTGTCATCAAAGAAGCTCTCCATCTCCTCGTGTTGAACACGGTCTCCTCGTGTTGAACACGGTCTCCTCGTGTTGAACACGGTCTCCTCGTGTTGAACATCAAAGAAGATCTCCTCCTCCTACGGACGACAACAACTACATCTCCTCCATCATGCCAGACGGTGGATCATCCGTCGCGGGCACCACTCCTGTCCTCTGCCAGGATGAGGAGGTCGATCGCGGTCCCAGAGTCGCGAAGAGGACGTGGGCTGCTACCTCACACTTCGGGCCAGTGGTGAAGCAATGCTTAGACCAAGTCCTCTCATACCAGCCCGAAGACTGTCTTTCCGCGATCACCAAAGAGCTAGCGGCTTTTTCGTCTACCTCCTTGCGACAATGGGAGGATTTTGAACCAGCTGGTACAACTTCTGAGGTACAACCGTCTTCTACTAGTGCCGAGAGCGAGGGTGAAGAGCAACAGCCACCGGCTCTGGCTGAAGACTTTGCGAAGATACGACCAGTGATTTCTATACGGGGATATCCAGTCGTGGCAGAAGACCCTTTAGAGTTGCCCTTTGCAGAATGTCCCAAGATACCAGAGGCACCTGCTGAAGAAGCGGAACCTCCTGGAGATGCTGGTGCAGAAGATGATGATTACGGCTTAAGAAGACTAGTCAAGAATAGGATGGCGCAACTTTCCACCGGACCTTCATGCTTGTTTCTGTTGCAGCTACTACTGCTTAGTTTATTCATATCATGAAAAATGATTCACTTTACTTTTTCGTTGAAGTATCTGGTACTTGATCGGGAATTTTTATAACACATTTTTTTTAGTATGGTCATGATCTCCCCTGCTCTTCTTCTTCTAATCCCGAGGCCCCTCAGTCGAGAAGATGCTTGGGCCGATGGTGGAAATCGGTGTTGCAAAAGAAGCACCTGAAGGATTTGGCGGAGGTGGTTTTTCAGCCTTCACCAAGACATCTGCGACCAGTTTTGCAGGAGGTCGATCCGTTGCGGGGATGTTGACTTCGAAAGGAATGACTGCGACATCTTCATTTAAGACTTGTTTTGGTTCAGTTCTTTCTTAAGGAGTTGTATCGAAAACAGGAGGAGCCTTAATATGTCAAGATGAACATGCTCAACATTTGAGTCTAGTAAGTACTAACTTGTAGTACTCCACCTAATAGTAGTACTCCATCCTCCTGCAGTCCTGCTCTAATCTGACTGCCTCTGCCTTCTCCGCCCAGCTTCAGCAACAACCTGTCTCTGTCCCTCTCAAGGATCTCGATGAAGCAAAAGTGACAGCACGTTTTCGGCAAAACTGTGCACAAGTTCTGATCCAGATCGTGGAAAGCTTAGGCCATCTCGAATGCGACTCTACTTCGCAGACTGATGACATTCTCAGCGAAATCGCGGACCTAGAGGCAGAACGGGTTGCAGGAGTAATAGAGACGACAGGAAAAGCGATAGAAGATTTGAAGCGAGCATTGAGGACGGGAAAGCCGGCTGCTGGATCTGCGGATCCGGATGCGGGTAGTGCAGGTGCGTCGAGTCCAGAACACAGTGCAGCAGAACAAAGTGCAGGTGAACAATCTCCTCGAGGTAGCGACGCCTCACAGGATCAGGAAGAGCCGTTTGATGCCAGCAATGCGTTTGCCGATGCCGTTCCGGTATTCACTAGGGACGAACTGAAGAAACTAGAATGGACATTGCTCGAATTAGCTAGAAAATATGCGGACCAAAGCGGATATCCAGCAACGGATGTATTGCGAAAAGAAGGCGTTCGCGTAAATGCTTTGAGACCAGTAGCAGCAAAAGCTTTGCCGTTTCTGTCCATTCCTCCGTCTACAACCTTCGCAGGTGGAGCATCCTCGCTACAGCAACCATTATCGTCTGCTTCATCTAGTTCCGCAACCTATTTTTCCGGTGTGGCGTCTTCTTCTTGTGCATCTACGGAGATCGATTTGGCCACGACTGTAGCCGGAGCAGACTGCAACACAGGAATACCACATGGCGGGGCAGCAATGGCAGGCATGCCAAGGAGTCCTTCTAGAGCGGCCAGTAGTAAAGGAGGCACCAATACGGGAGATTTCTCACCCGCTCATAGCATGAGGAGTCCTGGCGGACGCAGCACCACTACAGCCAGAAGTCCAGGAGGTAGAAGTCCAGGGGGAGCATCCTCACCTGGCGGAGGTTCCAAAACTGGAGGTGCTAACAAGCCAGTTAAGTGTAGGCTAAAGATGCTTTTGTTACCGTTTGTTATGGCTTCCCTAAGGGGAAGAGCCATAGCAAGCGGGATAATCGAACACCAAAAACCTACCTGCTCTATCTCCGTCGCTTTAGAGGAGTGGGCCGAATGGCGACATTTGAACACTTTGACGACCGTGTTCAAGTACGACCAGACGAACACCAAAAACCTACCTCTAAGCCAGGACCCGGCGGCTTCGAATCCGACGCTAGGCTCTTTCCTCCACCACAGTTTCATAGAGACCCTTCAAACCCGAGGGCTAAACAAGAGGAACAGTTTGCGAAAGAGGCGGCGGAGCAACGTAGGAAGATAGAGGAAGCGAACGTGCTCAACGTGAAGGGAAGCTTGTGCGAAAAGGATTTTTGGGTATGGTTGGAATAGTAGAAGGACATCAGTATCAAGTTGAAGAACCACAACAATAGACTACAGACTGTAGTGCAAGATGAACATGCTTGTTAAATAATTTTGATTTTGTTCTACAAAAAAATAAAGGATAAGAAACCACGAAGATTCACATAATTCACTCCTGCTCTTCTAACCCACCAAATCAAAGTCGCCATGAGTGTCCTTGTTCCTGGAGCACAACTCCCACTAGCAAATGCCAGTGGCATCGTTTCTGACGAGAGCAGACCCCAAAGTTCTGCGGCGCCCCACTCAGCGGTACAAAGTTACCCCTCCTCCGCAGGTGGTTCAGCTTCCTCATTGAGCATTCCTTTTGTGCCACGATTACTCGAATCTCAGATGCACGACAAACGCAGTCTAGAGACGCAGTTGAGTTGGTGGCGCCAACAAGGCTATCCTTTGCTGGGTCGGACGACTTTGATGTCCGCAGCTGTTGAAGGTAGCGTGATTTTGCCGGAGTCAGCGTCGATAGGGATTGCTCTTTCTCCGTGGACAGCAAGCTTTGGTCCACTAGCGCCAGAATGCCGACAGGCAGGTGTCGGAAGCGCCTACAGCTCAAGCAAGAGACTTCTCCCACCATTGAACGCTTTCGACTTGACTTTGCGACATTTGGCGATGTTCAAGGTGGAACTCGCGAAACAATTGGGTGTGGAAGTATCAGCAGACGATTCGAACTCTGTAGATCATGAGCAGCCATTACCTCTACCAGGAGAGACACTCGCAGAAGGTGTCGAGGCAGTGATGATTAAGGCTAGAAGAAATCCATCTTCACAGGCATCCTGAGACCGTTTTCAAGGGGAGAAAGGTCCTCGGATGCGTCTCAAGATGGATTTCTCTTAGTTCTAAGATGAAGACCATCAAAGCGATGTTTCCGGGTTTGCCGGGAGGACGCCAAAGAGGTGCGAAACAAGTCCTAGATCCTGAGAGCGAGAGCGGAGAAAGCAGTGCGGGGGAGAGCAAGTCGGTAATACTAATATTTAATGACCACTTATAGTGGTGAACTCATCTCGTAGAAGCACCCGCTTATAATATCATCGCATGAAGATAGTGCAATTTTGAGTTTCGAACAAGTAGATGGAAACTCAAGATATGCGAGCTACTTCTGACTGAAATAAGAGAGGCTTGACTACATTCCTCTTCTTTCAGTATCTCCCTTATTTTCAATAGTTACTCGGTTATTTCAGTTTTTCGAATAGATGAAGTTGAAGATCATTACTACGCAGGAAAAATTGTAAAACCAACACACAGCATGTACATAATTATCCTCTCCCACTTCTCCTCAACCAACACCAGCATCAACAGCAACACCTCCATACAAACACAGGACCTCCCCGCCCTCTCCCAAATCGGAGCTGTGTTGCGCTATGAAGTCGAAGACAACGCAGTGACCTACGACGCGGACAGCCTCCCCTATGGATCCCATCATTTGTTCGAGATCATAGTATCTCCAGGATTTGACGAGTCCACGATGACTACTAGGGAAATAGAAAACGTGGAAGATCCAGAGAAGGTGGTCGTAGAACCGCCAAAACCAACGCCTGCAGAGGGCGAAGAAGAACCCCAAGAGGACGAAGAAGTGATCGCTGCAAGAGCGGCTGCGAAAGAGCTGCATTTGAATTAAGGCCAGTATAGCGGTTGGTCTGGATCGCCACCAATTATCTATGCCAAACAGGTAAGTAAGTACTATTCTTATCACCAAACAGGTAACTAAGTACAAGTACTATTCTTAAATCACCAAACAGGTAACTAAGTACAAGTACTATTCTTAAATCACCAAACAGGTAACTAAGTACAAGTACTATTCTTAAATCACCAAACAGGTAACTAAGTACAAGTACTATTCTTAAATCACCAAACAGGTAACTGAGTGTGAGTACAAGTACTATTCTTAAATCACCAAACAGGTAACTAAGTACAAGTACTAAATTCTCATCATCAAGTGCCCTTAAGGCAGTCCGCCGGTATCCACGCGGAAAATACGCAGGTAGGTTCTGATTTATCGGAACTCGCTCGCACTACAAAAAAAAAAGCGAGATTAGTTGTATTGTATTGTATTGTATTGTATAATCATATTCCGGTCCTCTCGTCTAATCCGCGAGATGGGCAGAAAGAAAGGGCGTTTTGCAGTATGCGGAGAACATGTCTTTGGTAGACCAGAAGTCGGAACGATGGTTGATACCGGCATTCTACGTAAAGAGGAATCCAGAAGTTGCTGCTTGGATTGAAAGGTAAAGCTGTAGTTCCTGGCTCTTGATTTCAAATTAATATGGTGCCCTTCTTCGGGAGTGAAGCACGGTATTAAATAGTCCCATCGACAGTTTCGGAATACTGCTCAAGACGAAACTCCATTCCTGGTTCTTGATTTCGCATCTGCTCAACTTGTTCTTTCGAAAACTCGCTGCTTTGCGTACGACTCTTAGGTACAACTTAGTACATCACGACTACTAGAAGTAGTACAGTGACTCCTGTGACAAGAAGGACGAGAGGACGAGCAAGAAAAGACCACGACAATTAGGAGGCCCCACGACCACAAACCACCACCAAACTCACAGTTTCGGTTCCTCAACCTCTCGTCCGGATTCTGCCAACCTTTCATCCAGTAATGCAGAGCCCCCTGGTGTGGAGATTCCGCCGATGCCTGAGCACTTCACAGCCACTCTTGGCGAGGTCAAGGAAAGCCTCGATGCTTTGATTGAGTCCGCAACTGGTGGTAATATGGAGACACTTGGCTTGCCTGAGAGTGCTGTTGGTATTGTGCTTGTCAAGCCCTTGCCGGCGAATCATTCTGGTTGTCTAGACGTGCTGAAGACGGGTTTTAAAGGAGCTAGCTTCGTGGTGAATGATCCAAGTGGTACTGGGAACACGTTGCATCATGGGGAGTACAGTTTGACACTAGCGGAAGGACCTGCTTATGCGTTGACCGAAGCTAGGAATTTAGCGGAGAAGGGATGGGAATCGGCACTGTTGAACTTTGGGGAAGAATGCTTTTCGATGTACTACTACAGCACACTTGTTTTCTTGATGAGGTGTTTCCCAAATGCTTTTTTTTGCTGTAGTTTGTGATTCATAATTTAGCACTTTCTTTCTCGACCCTCTCTTTGTTCGCACAATCGATTCTCAGTCACCTAAAAAATCTCGTCCAGCGCCCCCTCCTCCGCGTTCGGTTTCGCCTTCGCGTTCCCGCGATCCACAAGGATATGGACCTTCCCTTCCGCTCCATCGGAAAGCACCGAGTTCGGACGACTCATCACAAGACTATTCATCCAATTTGCAGAAACTTTAAACACGAATCCTGGTGCCCAAGCCTTTCAACCTGGAAACAATGAGTGCTTGACTCTTCCCGAGTTCGAGGATGCGCTTTGCAGAATGGATGTGTTTGCAAACACGTTAGCTGCGTACGATCAACTAACCGGGAACGCTGAGGCGGAGAAAGCAGGATTAAGGGCTGCAATAAATTGAACTAAGTAGACGACCTAAGAGCTCTTATCTTCTATGCTATGAGCTTTTCTTTTCAAGGGGGAAAGAGATACAGCGTATCTGCTATGAGCTTTTCAAGGGGGAAAGAGCTACTAGAACAAGATATAATGCGACCTAGATCGGACAGTTTGCGACCGCTAACAAGAGGGTCCGATATGGAGACGAAAAGCATGGCTAGCGGAAAGTCTGGAAAGTCGGGTGCATCGAAAGGAGCATCAAACGCAGGCTCTGGAAGTGACATGAGAGAGCAAGTTAGTCGCTATAGTCTCACGAAAGATGGCATGTTCAAAGCAGGATTGCCGTTTATCTCTAGTCTTTTGTTTCCATACTTGGATCCGGAGAAATGCGGACATGTGACAAAGAAGAACTTCATGTACATGGGGGCTCACAATGGCTACGCTTCGCTGAAGCAGTGTAAGGACATTTTGACCACGCTGTGTGAGAAGGAGACGGATTATGGAAGACGACCTATTACTTAGAGTATGAATCGCTCGTCATTTCTTGTCATGACTCATTATCATTACTTCTACGAATAGGAAAGATAAAGAACAAGAACAAAAGGTGATGCAACTTTTATTGTGATTTTGGATTGATGTGAGACTCAAGCAGCAAGAACACTGCCCCTCCTGCTCTAACGGTCCGTCTCCCAGAAGTGGCAGATTGTCTCAGACGCCGTCTGGAGTATCCAAGTCGAAACTGGAGAGTCACAGGAGGTCCAAACGTATCTACCGATGGCCGACTTCATTGAGAGGATGGAGAATCTGCCCGCTGGAAAGGTCAAGAGGACTAGGGATATGTTGGAGAAGGTACATGATCCGAGAATAAACTTTCGGCCTTATCACGACTTCTTGTTTGCATTAACAGCACGTAGTTGTGATGTCAAAGTAAGTGGCATGTTGCTTCTTTCAAGAAATCAATGAAAAGAACTTCGAGTTTTCCGGCATCAGGTCTTCGTCACCCTCAGGTCTTCGTCACCCTGAATCAACGTCGTCAAGACGGTGTCTATCCCATGGACGTGAACCAACTACCCTTCTTCGCTCGTCTTTGGATATTTGCGGAGACTGACAGGCTGCGTTCAATGCTTTTTGCAGAGTATGGGAGTGTCCTTCGTGCCTTCAGAGCCATGGAGGAGTTCGCGACCGCAGCTTTGGAGCGGAAAGGTGAGGGGCCACCACAAGTGTATCCGCCTGGGAGTTTGAAGTTATGGCTGAGACAACTGTTGTAACTTGAAGTTGTTCTTGACCGTGGAGATGATTGAAATATGCAAGTAAAACTAAAAGCCCTACTAGTACATGGGAATTTCTATATAATCCGGCCACTTGATGATCATTCTTCTACTACTTCTTGCAATCTGTATAATCTACGGATCTAGATCTTCTGTTCCATCTCTAATCCGAAAAGGCAAGAACAAAGGTAAGGGCGGCTTTTTAGAGGTACTGGCTGGAGCAAAACAAGCAGCCAGCAACCCAGGCTCACCAGGCGGCGACGAAATGTCGGAAACGAGTCCCTCTCGCGCTGCGACTCCCAAAGCTGGTGCATCTCCTACAAGTAGAAACGGCACTGCGGCAACCACTGTTATGGCGCTCGAGAGCAAGTATCTTTGACGAGGAGCAAGTATCTTTGACACCCCACTTCTTTTCGCAAGAAACAAATTCAAATGAATTATTTCAAGCTCTAACACAAGAAGCAAAAGAAGAAATCAGCAACTCCTAGAGCCCTCAGCAGCTGACAGGATCCGAGAGTGGGAAGCTAAAGTGACCGCCTTGTATCCAGGCGTAGTGAATTACGACGAATTTGCGAAGTTTGTCAAATCAAAGTTTGGAGCAGACAAGTTCTCGGATGAAGCGTTGAAGGGGGTACTAACTTTATCTTTCTAACTGCAGAAAAGTCTTTTCGGATCGAGCTTGAAGTCTTTTCGGATTTCGGGAGATGAAGCGTTCTTGAAGTAGGGAGCGGTGTAATTTTCTTCTTGAGCAGTATATATATTTATTCGTTGTTTTCATCCAGTCTGGCATAAATGTGATCGGGAACAAACAAGCAAGTAGAAGTATAACTAGTTGTAAAAAAAATGATTGGAACCGACGTACCTAGTTGACTCTGACACCCTCATCTTCGACCTCTCAACAGATCTTCACCGTCCTGGATCCCGAATGTCGCGGCCAAATTTCCTTCGCTGGCATGCACCTTCTAGACGATTACTCCAGCTCACTCTTCATCGATCAATGTGACCAACTACGGAATTTCCTGCGTCGCAAATATGGCTCCGGAAAAGACGTTTATAACGCTCTTAGTGCAGGCGCAGAAGACGTGGATCGACCAACTTTTGTGGAGAGGATGGCGAATTGCGTCAACTCGTTGGAATTCACGATGAACCCAGGATTGCTCTTCACGTGGTTCGATTGGAGCGATATTGACGTACTTATTTTTTGTTTTCACGTGGTTCGAGGATTGGAGCGATATTGACGCATAAGAATTTAAATGCCAGTACTAGAAGAATGTTGTGTTTGTGAAGTAGAGTGATCATTTTTCAACACCAATAATGCAATAATGACAGCCACTTATTGCTCTTAGTTGTCGAAGTAGATGAAAAACATAGATAGAGATACACTCATACACATCATTCTTTCCGTTCCCACAAGAACCTGACATGTCCAACAGGCCGTCGTCGAAGCCGACTTAATGGTCTTCGACCATCTAGACCTTGAGGTTGCGCGTTGCCTCGCAGGCGATTCCAGAAATTGGGAACGACTCGCCGTTTTGCGCGAAGACATCGCAAGAGCAGCAGTTGTAGACAAGTATGCGGATGCGGCCGCTCTGAAAGATTGGGCTCCGATGTGGGATCGCCTCATAGAAGAGGTTGGGGCAGCGCAGGCGGAGAGAAGAGCAATGGAACAAGCAGCTGGTACGGGTGGAGGTGCTGGTGGGGAAATGCAGTAGATGGACTTGAACTTGTTACGAGATGATGGACGACATTGAAATTGAATAATAAGAAAGTACTAGAGTAAATCTAAATCCAAATAGTACTAACAGTGAAGTAGATGGCTTTATTCAGGACAACGAGAACGAACAAAACCACCGGAAGATACAACAGGTATGCTTATCACGCTAAACAGTATAGATATACCGACGACCACAGATACAGAAGTAGATGAACTTGTTTATGTTGTAACGAGATTTGAGTACGTGCAACGAGATGAACATACAGAACTAGTGAACTTTGAGATTACCGTTTTTCCGATTACAAATTGGTATACCGTTTGCCAATACAAATTGAAGTTGATCACGACTTGACTAGAGAATAATATTCTGGGAAAGTAGAAAGCATTTGAGTATGAAGATAAGGTTAAAAATATTAGTATTTATAGTATTAGCAATTCCCAGAAATCTCTTAAGGAGCTCCCTTAAGGAGCTTCCTTAAGGCGCTTCCTTAAGGAAATCAGTTTCCTTAAGGAATTTTTATTATAAAAAGTTATTATAACTTTCCTTAAGAGGAAAAAAATTCCCTTAAGGAGGACCCTTAAGGGCAAGCCGTTATAAACTTGGGCTAATAACAGCGGCTCCCTAAGGACCTTGCTAGTACTACGAGTTCAAAAGTGTCAAGAGCGTGCTAACGTGTTCCGTTCGCGGCTGTTAGTTTGTAGGCTACTCACGTACACCAGCCACATCTGCAGCAAGACACTACGCGCCCACCCCTAGCGAATCTCCCCAACGAACTTCCAACCGCTACCCTTGTCATATATCGCCCAACGCCTTTACTTTTTTTCAAAAACTTCAGGGAGGTCATTCAAATACAGAGAAAACTGAACGACCTCCCTGAAGTTTTTGGAAAAAAGTTAGCTCGCTCCCCTTCCGCGACTACCTTCCGCGCACAGCAATCGACCACGGCACAGGAGCGCGCGGCAGCCCTTGGAGATGGTTGACCAGTATACTTCTAACCAGCACAAAAGCGGGAGAATTGTAAGGGAGAGGGTGAGCACTTGAAAAGGCAGAGGCTGACGAGCGTGATCATATTGATTCGCGAGAAGGCCAAGGACATACATCGCGGCGCTTCAAAGTCGCAGCCGTTGCGGATGTCGATGGCTGTGAGAATGATAGCCGTGCGCGCTTGCGTGTCTGAAGGGTGGACCCTGGTGAGCATCATCATATCCATGAGAAGGCCAAAGGTGTGCAAGTTTGCGTGTGCAAGTCGAAGCCGCTGAGGATGTTGATGTCTGTGAGAATGATAGCCGTGAGGACTTGCATGTCTGAAGGGTGGACCCTGGTGAGCAACATCATACCCATGAGAAGGCCAAAGATATACATCTCTGTGTATGAAAGTCGAAGCCGTTGAGGATGTCGATGTCTGTGAGAATGATAGCCGTGAGGACTTGCATGTCTGAAGGGTGGGCCTTGGTGAGCGTCATCATATCCATGAGAAGGCCAAAGATATACATCTCTGTGTGTGAAAGTCGAAGCCGTTGAGGATGTCGATGTCTGTGAGAATGATAGCCGTGAGGACTTGCATGTCTGAAGGGTGGACCCTGGTGAGCGTCATCATATCCATGAGAAGGCCAAAGGTATGCATCTCTGTGCTTGAAAGTCGAAGCCGTTGAGGATGTCGATGTCTGTGAGAATGATAGCCGTGAGGACTTGCGTGCTGTCTGAAGGGTGGACCCTGGTGAGCGTCATCATATCCATGAGAAGGCCAAAGATGTACATCTCTGTGTTTGAAAGTCGAAGCCGTTGAGGATGTCGATGGCTGTGAGAGTGATAGCCTTGAGCACTTGCGTGTCTGAAGGGTGGGCCCTGGTGAGCGTCATCATATCCATGAGAAGGCCAAAGGTATACAGATTTGCCTGTGAAAGTCGAAGCCGTTGAAGAAGTCGATGTCTGTGAGAAAGTAGATAAGGGTGGACCCTGGCGGGCGTCATCAAGTCCATGAGAAGGCCAGGCGCATGCATCTCCGTCGGTGAAGGCTGAAGGCTGAGGACGTCGATGCCTGTGTGTGAGAATGATAACTGTGGGCCATTGCATGTCTGAGGCGCGGACCGTGGTGGGCGTCTTGCGTCATGTCCATGAAGCAGCCAACCTCCTAGACACATCCCCGCGCCTGAAGGTTGGGGCCCAGCTTCTGGCTCTGCGCATAGATATGCCCAAGCGTGGCTTTCTCATGGGCCTCGTCCATGACGCTCGCCAGTGTCAGCCTTTTGCCATCCCATGGGTCTGCTATGCTTTAGGATTCTCCTGGACATGATCACACTCAAAAGGGCCCGACCTCTGTGCCTTGATATGTCCAAGCGTGGCCTTCTCATGGACTCCATGACGCTCAGCGGGCCAGCCTTGGCGCCCATTGGCTTGCCCCTAGCAAGCAAGTTGGCCAAGGAAGGCAGTGGCCATAGCGGTAACCTCCTCACTAGCCTCGCCACAGTGGAGGCCAGCTTCCCAGCCTTGGCGAGCAGACTTGGCGACTTTTTTCGTTTGTCTTTCTGTCTCTTAGTAGTCAACCTGTCTAGTTGTTAACCTATGCCCAGCGCAGCGGGCCCTTGATGGGCCCGCTTTCTGGGCATGTACTTATAGCGTGTATGATCATGTTGATCATGGTGAACAAGTCCACTGCAACATGGAAACGCTGAATCTGAAAATACTTCCTCGGACGACCCCAGCTGCAAGGAGCTTGTACAGAATCATTTTCCGTAATAAGATCAGCTAAATGAACAGCAGAATGAACAAACCAGTGGGAATTTTTCTCCCAATAATGATGGATGTCAGACAGGAAACACACTGTGTAAGTACCTGAATGCTAATGCTAAAAAAAGTCGTTCTTTCAGCACAGCAAAGAAATGCTGCTTGAAGTAGAAGATGCAATATTCAATCTGAATTGGTTACTTCAATATCTGCGAGGATGCACAAACCTACGACCCTACTCAACGAATCGTGGAGATTTCTTCCACAGGGATCAGATTGTTGTCTGGAATGATCTCGGTATTTTGATCACACCTGCTCCTTGTTGAAGTCATTGTCATGAAAATACTTATACGTTATAATCCTCTTCTATTCATCAAGAAAAGCAGTCTTCGTCCTCAACTACAAGTTATTCATCTTGTTCTCCTAATAATTACAGGTGGCCCGCCCGGCGAAAATAGTGCATGTAACGTTTCGGTGTACTTAGCTAAACAACTTCATACTTTCATATTTCCAAGCTGTAATTTAGAAGTAAAAATAATATCAACAAAACTATGTTTTCCGCACCCGCAACTGGTTCTGCTTCTGCCGCTGCGCCGGCACCTGCTACCACTGCAGGAGAGCCCGGCTCCAGACCGAGTGGGGGTGGTATGATCCTCAAAAAGGCAATTGATATGACAGGAAAGTGGAAATGTCCTATCTGTAATTGCGTCACACCTATCACTAAGAAAAAGTGCGTTGCTTGTGAGGCACCAGCACCAGGTGTCACAGAAGAAGATCTGAAAAGAGAAAAACAGGAGGTGGCTAATAAATTTGGAGGTGGAGGTGGTGGTACCAGTGGGTCGATAGGAGCTGGGAGTGTATTTGGAGGTGGTGATGCGGGGAGTGTATTTGGTGGTGGAAAATTCAACTTTGGAGGTGCAGCGACAACTGGCGGTGAGACTGGTGGAGCTTCTTCGTCAAGTATTTTTGGTGCACCACCTGCTGGAGGTAGTGTATTTGGTGCAGCGCCAGCTGCTGGAGGTAGTATTTTCGGCGCCGCACCTTCTGGTGGAGGTAGTATTTTTGGAGCAGCACCAGCTTCCGGTGGAGGTAGTATTTTTGGTGCAGGAGGAACTAGTACGACAGGTGTCTTCGGTTCATCTCAGCCAACCAGTACTCCAGATCAAGGTGCAGGTGGAGCATCCTCTTCCTCTGCGTCTTCTGCATCCGGCGGCTTTGTTTTCGACAATGCTAGTTTGAGGACAAGTGGTGGAGTAGGTGGCTTTTTTCCTGCAGCTTCCTCTCTCGGAGGAGGTGCGAGCGGACCAACCGCAAATGCAGGAGGCAAAAGCGACTCTCCACACAGCAATGTAAACCCCTCCAACGTCCAACATGCCAAAGCCAAGGTGAAACCAGCGGACAAGTGGGACAATCTTCCTCGTGGAAAGCCTGAGAAAGGAGTCAACAGTGGCGAGGTGTTGATTTTCGGGTCTGGCGAATGCGAACAACTGGGTCTGGGAGATAACGTCACCGAGAAGAAAAAACCGGCCTTGTTGAAACAATTGAGCAACAAGCAAGTCATCAAGATCACAGCTGGCGGACTACACACTCTGGCTTTGTGTCGTGGAGGCAGAGAGCTCTATTCTTGGGGCTGCAATGATGATGGAGCTTTGGGTCGAGCGAGAGGGAGTGTGGAAAATGAGCCACGACTAGTGGAATTTGATAAAGGGCAAATTTCGACGCGAGACTTCGTATTGGATGGTATCTCTGCTGGTGACAGTCATAGTTGCGCGAAGGATGTCAACGGAAACGTTTTCCTTTGGGGCGTATTCAAAGATGCGAATGGGTATTCTGTCTGCATCTACAGCTTTCTGTGTCTACTAACAAGCCGACTTTCCTCTGCAACTAGACTTCCTCATACTATCACTCCTATCTAGTATTGTCCATTACGATAAAAACATAGCAATAGCTGCACGCTACCCGCGGCCGCCTACTTGCTCCCTACATCATTCACTCCCATTCTTGATAGATCTTGCATCCTCCAGCATAATTCTGCAACATCAGGTACGTCGGTTTTCCTGACTTGAATAAATTTGGGGACGTCCTATGGCGTTTCGACGACGATGCGGGTAAGAAGGTTCCAGCAGTTGCGCAATATCCTGTAGAAGTTAAACAACTGCCACCCGTCAAAGAGATAGTCTCAGGAGCTGATCACGTCGTGGCGCTTACGAAGACGGGCACGGTACCGAAGATTTTTATTAAGATCGTTCTTCGTGGAGTAGAGCATTTCTTTGCCTGCATCTGCAAGCAAGGTGAAGTCCGAGTCTAAACATGATGAATGATGTGTCTATGTATCTATGTATAAGAACTTCTCGTCACACCACGAACATGATCCTATTAATCGACAAATAAACATCTACAGATTTTCTCCTGGGGTAACAACGCTCTCGGACAGCTCGGACAGGGCGAATTAACACCGGAGCAACCCGCTCCTTCAGGCGATGACGCGAAAGACAAAGAAAACGTTGACAAATTCAAGGCGAAAAAGCGATCCTACCTCTTCCCCAAGCCATTAGTGATGCCGGCAGACGATCCTTTGGCCCTACGAATCGGTCGCGCTGGGGATGCAACCTACGTTGTCTCGAAAAAATTTCGGACTTACGGCTGTGGTCTAAATGGAGATGGGCAATTGGGTACTTTCAATTTCAAAAAAAATGTGATTGATATGAGCCAAGATCTTCACTTTTTTATGTTGATATGTTATCTTTCGTTCGCCTTCACAACTCTTTCAGGCATCGGCGTTTGTGACGAGAAGCGACCTTGTGAGCCTAGTTTAGTGGAGATCAAGGAGTTCCGCGGCAAGCAGATTACTTGTATCAACGGCGGCCAATTCCACGGCGTCGCACTTGAAACGACGTCTTCGTCTTACACTCTCTACACCTGGGGTCGTAAGATCTACACTGGTTTGAACATGCCTGGTGGAAAGGGCGCTGCGGCTATCAGTGCAGCAGTGAAAAACCCTCTGAGCAACAACGGCGCCGCCGCGACAAATGCGGACAATATCATTTCCCCGGTTCCTATTCCCCATGAATCTTTTGCCGACCAAAAAATCGTGGACATCGTCTCTGGTTTGTACCACGTGCTAGCGATCAGTGACCGAGGTGACGTCTTCGCTTGGGGAAGCGGAGAAATGTTTCAGCTAGGAAATTCCCCCAAAGATGTTGACAACTTCACACCTGAAGAGAGGGATTTAGAAGTTGGCGAATCTGAACACGTTCCGCGGTTGATTCATGCCTCACAGCTCAAAGACCGGTTCGCACTCGCCGCGTCTGGTGGTGGGCAACACAGCGTAATCCTAGCTTGGGATCCGAGTATCAAAGAGACCTTCAAGAGAAGAGCAATGTCAGCTTTGGCGGCAGCTGAGAGTTTCAACATTGTGGTCGAACAAGAAGCGGACGAGCAGGAGGCCAAAGCGAAAGTCGCGAAGACGACTTTCCCAGTTTTTGACTCTTCTGCCGCTGCACAAAACATGAATGTCGAAGAATCCAAGTCGTCGGCACCTGGAGCTTTCCCAGAATTGCAAGACGAAGGCAGCAGCGGACCTCTGAAGCTAAAGAGTCCCCCACATGAGCACATCCGCACGATGAAGCGTTCAGCCGAGGCGATCAACAACGACGATGATGGCAGGAGTCCACCTAGAAAGAGACCAAAACTGGTTTTTTCCAGAGATGTGGTGCACCAGTGTCTCGCAGAGGTAGAGGCGTTCACTAGAATGAAGAAAAGCATTCTGAAAGATCCGGAGATTGATATGTTAGATGAAGTGTGAAGGTAGTCATGATCATGAATATGGTTCGCTGTGCTTTTAGCATCTTCATGAACAAGACACATGAACTTTTGCAATTTGCACTTTCTGATCGTTTCAATAGCAGGAGATGTAGAATGTGATCGTGATGATCGTAATTCACAATCATAAACTCTTCGAGTAGACGCAACAGCAACTTGTTTGCACCCTATGCTGTTTCTAGGAGGTACACGACTATTGGCTATGCAGCAGTCTTTGGCGGACTTGAGAGCCAAAGATCAAGATTGCCACGACTGTCTGAAAGAAAAGTGTAGCATCGCAAAAAAATCAATTACTAATAGTATTAAGTTGTACTAGAAGTTAAGTAGTAGATGAATGAGAAAGATTGAGAAAAGGAAGAGAAGTCGTGATTGTGAGAGACAACGAAAAGAGGGCGCGTTCTTAGTAAAATCATGAGGCGCTCGTAAAAGAAATGGAAAATTATACTATAGAATAAAAGATCATCATCTTGTTCGCAGAAAACAACACCTTAAAGATTTGACCTTCATCAATCAGAAAATAAGAAAGAATGGTCGACACTCGACGACGAAACGGAGAGCCAGAAGCCGAGCCGACTCCTGTGGCAGCGACAACCGGCTCCCTTCATCAAACTCTGTTACCTTTATCCGTCATCTCCGAACTCTCCTCACTCACACCTTTGATGCGCGAATTATCGAAGCATCAGCGTGAAGGCATCAAAGCGGTGGATAAACTGCGATCTGACGTTGGCAGTTTGCAGGGTTCGATCGACCACTTAGCTGACACAGTTACGACTGCGCATTTACGGGAGTCCGAAAGATGTAAGGCACGGTTTACGAATGGGAGTGACGAGGTTTTGTGGGTCTATAGCTATAACAGATCATCAGCTTCGAGTTCATCATCTTCGAGTGGAGCAAAGCTGTCACCATCTTCGAACGAACCATACACGAAACAGCGACTAGAACCAGGCCAAACTGAAGAGATGGCTGCTCTAGATGGGCAGACAAGAGTTTGTGACACTTTTCGCATTTGGGTCAAGAACGACAAGAATGTCTTGGTGAGGAACACGCTGTGGCAAGAGAATTTGAGGAATGATGGGGACTACACATTAAGAAAAGAAGACTGGAAACGGGTGGGGGCAGTGAGGAGACGATAGCTTAGGAGGATTGGGCTTGTATGTGCTATTTTTGAAATTCGAAGAAATATGATCTGCAAATAATGCTCGTCCATTTTTCAACGTGGTGGAGGCTCAGGCTCTTGATGAAGCTCGTCAGTGTATTTTAAGAGAACAAGCAAAATGAGGAAAGACAATGCACGACATTTCGCCGCGCAACTTCTGCATCAAGCAGAGGCGAGATCAAACTTCCAAAATGGAAGAGAGATAACAAAAAGTGGGGCATAGATTTGACAGGTGATGATGACCTTAACCAAAGATGAAGATGTAGGACCCCCGACACGAGTTCCAGTTTTTTTAACGCAACGTACAGAATCGATTATGGCCTATGTCACAACTAGTACTACATGAAGTCCATATCGATGTCGTAGCTTTTGTCGATCCCAGCAGTCGCCCAGTGGCGACTCTTTTTATCAAGACTAATATGTCCTCTCCCTTTCGCGGGTGGCGCCTTTGCAGCATCGCGACTGCCCTTCTATCACTGGCGCATGCTGTGAAAGGCACTACACCTCCTCAGGATCATGCCATCGTAGACGAAAACTTGACGGCAGACAACGCTCTAGTAAAAGAGATCGCTACTGCCGACAAGGAGGCTGCTGCGAAGCGGAAAGAGGCTTTCTTGAATGAGATTGGAGTCCAAGAATCGGCTATCAACACGTTCGAAACGACATTGAAAGCTTACGGGGGCTTACGTATATTCATCTTCCTTGGCATCTTTGACCTCCACGTGTTTTCGTCGAGGGGAAATCGTTATAAAGATACGCTTCAAGAACAAGATGAAAGAATCTTGGTTGTGAATATATTTATAGATCTAAAAGTCGGACAATGCAGCCTTGAAAGGAATCCTAGCACGTGCAGAGGCGAAAGCAGCGGAGAGCAAAGCAGTTGCGAAAACGTTAGCAGATGGGTTGGAGGCGTTGAAGAAACAAAAGGGGGCGATGGTTATGACATGGATTACCATCAGGATCAGAAAGAACTCCTAGAACTCCTTTTTAACACCACCTTCAGGTGGCAAGAACTGTAGATGAGAATTTTCTCTTTCTCTTAAGCCCTAGCCCGAGCCCCACAGCACTAGCCCTACGGCACTAGCCCTACAGCACTAGTCCTACAGCACTAGCCCTACGGCCGCCCTAGCCCTACGGCCCTAGCCCTACGGCCCTAGCCCTAAGCCCTATCCTCCTGCTCATCCTTGTTCTTCTAACTCCTTCGCCGAAGGGAAAGCAGCAGCCAGAAAAGCAGTAATCCAGAAATTTCGAAGTTTGAATTTCGAACTCAAGGAATGGGAAAAGGTAACCTTTGGCACCGAAAATACTGGCAGAAACACGGCAGATAGGAAAACAGAACAATTTGCGGGACATGTGAGTACTGTTTCACAACATCTTTTTTTGTCCGTGCGTTAACTTACGTAGTTGAAGTTGTAGAACTAGAAGTATAACTAGAAGTTTCGTTTGTGGTCTTGCCTACTTCTTACTCCAGAGATAGTTTAGACAACATTTGAATATTTTTTTACAGGATTGAAACAAGCACGAGGAAGAACTCCTTACAGGAACAAGTAGAGGGACAGGACAAAATTCCGAACTCCAATTCACTGAAGATCCCAGCTTAAAACCAGATTCCCTCTACCACGCGGCCCTCGCGAACGAGCGGCAGGCTGCCACACTGCAAGAAGAGGCGAACGACTTGACCACGACATCCACCGCAGTGTCTGAAGCTGCTGACGCCAAGGAAGGCGCTGGGGATTTGCTAGGCGCTCAATTGTCGCGTTCCGAAGCCGCGCAATTGACCCTACAGGCCAACAGCAAACGCGACCTCGCTGATGCCTTGTTGGCTGATGCTGAGATGTGGTCAAAAAAACAGAAGAAAATGGAACCGGCAACAGATGCGGATGTAGAGGTGTTGCCGATGAAGCCGAATAAGCGGATTAAGACTGCTAAGGATTTTCTGGCAGCGAGATGAAGAAAATGTTGTAACTGAATAAATGATAGACTAGACGACTGTGAATACAATTACGTCGGTGGATAGACAGGCGAGAATTAAAGAAAATTCTTGTTTTTTCCGATATTTTTTTATCCAAAAAACTACGACATCAGGCCGTCCCGAGGGGAGACGCTTGAATTTCACGCTCGTAACTAACGCGTTGACGAAGAGGCAACCGTATACGTAGCTAGCTGCCCGACTTTCTTCAACATCATGTGTTCGTTCGCGGCTTTGACGATCCATGCTTGGCTGTGTGCTGTCACAACGTACTAAGATCAATCGCTGATGATCAGCATAGAAGACGAAAAACTCCCTATGATAAAAATAGATAGAAATGACGGATAGAAATGACGGTGACGGTCGCATCAAATCATATTAAAGGTAAAGCTTGATGCTTAGCAACATCAAGAAAAGTCTGTAGTAGGTAAAAATGATTCACGCCAATGCCTATCATCGAAATCAGTAGTTATTGTTCATCATGATCGTTAAATAAGTTTCGACTTGTTCGAGAGCACAAGATGAGCACTTCTACAACCACCATGCTGGGTGCGAGCACCCCTGCCTCTTCGTCAACCTCTTTTCAGCGACCTGTGGCCTACCAGGATGCTATAGGACTACGCGCGCTGGGCAGAAACGGCAAATATTTGGGGTTGTATCCAGCATCAAATAGAAGCGGGTCGACGTTGACTACATCTTCAGGACAGTCACATCAAGAAAACGTCGCTCAAAACGAGAACAAGAACAACTTGTCAGTCTCTGGTGTGCACCCTTTTCCACGAGAAGATCAGACGAGGCCAGCGACAGAATGGAGGATCCACCGGTTTGCAGTTGAGAAACGGTTTGGCAGCCAAAGAATACTTGGAGTTTTGGAAGATCCAGGAGAGATACGCTGTGGGGATTCGGTATGGTGCTTCCGTCTTTTCATTGTCGTCTTCATGTTAAAGTTTACTAATATGTTCTACCTCAAGTAGAACAAAACTGTTATTGTCGTCTTCTCCTGTAACTTCTAGACTGTTAGCTTAAAAATATGCAGGATAGTACCATTAGCGAATGTGAATGCGACATGAAGATTATGAACTAGTACGTAGTACACTGCTTTCCAGACTTCATCTGAGTTGGCGCGTCACCATCTCCAGGTCTGTTTCATTCGGCCTGTGTCTTCAACACAATCAGCCACAACTACGTCGACTACAACTACCAGCATATTATCTTCCAGTGCGTCGTCAGCCATCAGCCTCCTTCTGACAACAAAGTACGAGTTCCTGGTTTCGTTAGGAAGAGAGCGCGTTGGCGTGGAAGTGGACACGGCAGATGCCTCCAGACCTGCCTATAAGTGGTTGCTACTGAACGCCGACGACGTGAGGAGTCACGCCAAACTGCAGGACACAACGGCAGTTTACATCCGAGATCCTTTTCACAATTTTCTTAGTGTAACCCCAACTTCTTCCTCAGGAGGTGGTGGAGGTGGTCCGTCCTCAGCTTCGTCTTCTTCAAGTAGCCTGCCAGTGTGCGTCCCGGAAACTTTGAGGAACGATTTTAGCGCTAGATGGCAGTTAGTACGCGCTAATGCGATTCCTATGCTTTGTCAGGGAGACGCAAACGCAATACTAGGGTCAAGAAGTTCAGCATCAGCGAGACCCAGCACATTGACTAGCAGACAGCACAAGGGAGGAATAGTTGGAGGAGAGTTCTTCTCCAACTGTCTACCTACATTTATGAGACGAAAAAGTGCACTCACACTCAAGAAATTGGCTACTTAGGATTTCAGTAGGAAAATCAAAATAGCCACAACTCTTTTTGAGTGTGAAGAGTGCACTTTTTTCTTTCACAAGATTAAACGCCCTTCCAGACGTCGATGCTGATCCTGCATCTTTCTCGTCCTGTTCCCAGGCGCGCTTGAACAACGTTCTACGACCCCTCAAAAACAGTACTAGTGGAAGAAGTCCAAGTCTAGTAGAGAATAAACCGTCTGAGCACGAGCAGGAGATAGCATTGGTCGAAGATGTGTTGTTTTGTCTTCTAGGCGTCAAGACTTCGTCGTTTATTCGCTGGGATGATAGAGTGAAAAAATACAAGATAGTTGTACAAGAGGAGACAACTTCTGAGGCAACTACAAGTCAGGAAGTAGGTCGTGCAGATCATGACGCAAGGATAGACAATGTTGGTGGAGCAGGTGCTGGCGTCCCAGGCGGCCGCGGGACGTCAAGTTCGTGGAAGGTGTTGTTATTTTCAAACTTTTTTTATGCAACAAGAACATACTGGAGGAGACCTTCATCAGATTTTGATCGACTCGTTTACCAACCTCTCCTTTTTGGTAAGACAATTTTTGGAAATTATTTCATCTACTAGACGAATGACTTCATCTGGTGCAGAAGTTATATATTCGACAACTGCTCATCACTTCTTCTGTCTGCTCCCGGTATTTGGTAACCTGAATTTGATCATGAGGGAAAACAAGGAGAGAACCCTCGTGATCAAAATCAGGTTACCAAATAATACCGGAACCATTTATCTTCACTTCCCAGGTAGCTCTCCTCCACCTGACTCGGCAAATCCTGCCCCTATGCGATTGGCACGCTGCAGTTTCGGAGTATATCCAGGACCATCTTTCACTAGACGCAGGTCGGGTCCAACATGCTTTCTGCGGAGCCTTGGATAATCTAGTGCAAGAGTACAGAGTCCAGATAGGAAAATTGGAAACGATGCACAGACAAAATGCGAAGTCAACTTCTGCTACATTGACACTGCATCGTCTATGGTACCTGGTTCAACCTTCGTTCGAGACGATGCGTGAGCTGGCGTCAATATGCGACAGCCTTAGAGGAAAGTCTGGTGGCAATTTGTTGAGATGTCTGGAGGCCATAGTGCAAGGCGGAAGGATAGGAAACTCTGTCACAAGGAAGAAGCTGGCGGAACATTGTACTCAACATAGACTTTGAAGGACGCTCCTTTATTTGCGAAGAGAATATTCTTGTTATTTCACCGAGTAGAAATCCAGATCTCCATCACGACAAATAATGTGAGTTGTCTCGTCTCTGCTAGTATCGACGAGAGCACTTTGATCATTTGTATTCATTGCAAGTAGGCAGTCAGTCTGCACTGAACTTTGTGCGAGATAAGTTGTATTGTATTGTCCTGAAGAAATCAACTGCTCGAAGATGAACATGATCCTCTTCTTGTTTACAACAACATCTAGGTCTCTCCGCCGCCTGTCTCCCCTTTTTTGAGATTCTGGAGTCATGGTTGAACTTTGGGGAAGTTTCGGATCCGTATGAGGAGTTTTTTGTGCGCAAACGAGCTGGTCTGAGCAAAGAAATGTCACCAAAGTTGTGGCACCATGCTTTTGGGATAGTACCGGAAGCAGTGCCTGGCTTTTTGCTAGTCCTAAAAGACCGAATTTTGAAAGCGGGGAAGTATACGAAAGCATTGCGAGACTGCAGTTCTTACAGGGATGAAAGGGATGAACATAGCAGCCTTACTACTGGTAGTACCTCCACAACTGGCACAACAACTTCAGGCTTTTTCTACACGCGCAACGATAGTTTCTATATTGAGAAAATCGATTTGGCTTACACCAGTGCGAGTCGAAATCTGCTGAACTACTTTTTGCATGACGGCTTACAACTCAAGACGAGACTGCGCATTTTTCGGGCCTTGTTTTTTTACGGCTCGCTTTGATACAACAGGACGAAAAAGTAGTAAAGCTATGTTTGTACATCAAGAAAGAAACCACATATCAGACACAGCGTTTCGGTTTCCATCTTTGGTTAGAAATCTCGCCTACTCGTTCCTCACTTAACGACGAACGGACCGAAAGGTACCCTTCTAACTCCGTATTGAAAAAGGCGACTGGTTGAGCATCTTACTTCTACACGCACGCAGCGAACTCGAAGCGACTACTGAGAACGTCTCACTAGACCGCTTAGAAAGCATGCTGGACTTGAGCTTGCGCAGCACGACTTTGAATGTGCTCTACACCTATTCAACGACTATGACGTCGCTGATGCCACCTGCGACCACTGCTGTTAGTTCCACAACTACGGTTAGCGGAGTTGCTCTAGAAGATCATGGTAGTAAAAGTTCATCGAGAAAAAAGAAGAACTACAACAAGGGACGACCTTCATCACCAGAAGATAACGCCGAATCATCAAGACCAGCCGCGGGCGCTGCACCGCGAGTTAGAATAAAGTCACCCCGCCCGGATGAGTCCACAGAAGAGGACAAAAGCACTGATGGAGGAGGGGGATCATCTAACGGCGATGACTCTACGGACGAAGATGAAGATGACGCAAAGAAGGAGAAGATGTTTGTTGCGCAGATGCCGAAGACGCCGTTTCTTTATGGCAAAGCTGCTAACAAGCGCTACCTTTACCACACTTTCACTTTGATCATCTTGTCCTTATGAAGAAGTAGAAGTAGAAGGTCCCATTCCCAATTGTCATTGCCTCGACGTCCTCTAAGGATCGCAATACTCTACTCTTCCGCAGATGCATCGCCATATCTCCGAAGAAATGCTATCTGAGGTAACTTGTTGCCTCCACACCTTCCGCATTGAGGATAAAGCCAGAGAGTTACTAGCTACCTCATCTGTTAAGGCTCCTGTAGAAGTAGATCATTCATCTTTATTCGGTTTCGACACATGAAGATGATCCTTGAAAGAAGTACTTATATGAGTCAGTATCTTAATCTTCTCACTCCTGATTATAAGTAGATACTCTTCAAGGATGAAGCTGAACGATAAATTTTGGGTCGTAGGTCTAACTCTGGCGTGGATCTTTCTTCGACTGCGCATAGTCCTGGCTTAGGAGGACCTACAGGTTACAGAGGAGCAAGCGGGCCGCCGCTCACTAGCCTTATCATTGAAAGCAATAGACAAAAGAATTTAGATGCAAATGCGAGAGCGGGTCGTGGTGGAGGTGCTGCTCAGGATGGTACTAGTAGGTGGGGCATCTTCTCAAGTACTAGAGGCGTTTCGTCGCCAGTTGATCAGCAAGAACAAGGGAGTAGTAATGCAGAGGGAGGCGCCACGCCCACGCCGTCAGACGCGACAGGAAGAAGCAACAAGAAGATGAACCTTCACGGTCTACAGAACATGCAAGTATTATGGCAACCGCTGGAGCATCCTCAGCACCTTCCCTGGCCCCTTTTTCAAGGGAGAAAAGGGCACAGGGATGGGCTCAGGGATGTGACGCGGTAGCTCTAAAAGTAGTGAAGTTGTTTTGTTTGAACTACAAGGCCAGCTGGCCGCTGTCGTTGATCTTCTCACCTGAAGCAATGCTGCGGTATCAGTGCATATTTTATGGTTGAAAATAAAGCGAAGAACCCAATCAATGTTGTATCAGGATCGTTCATGATCTAGTGTTACTTCTAGTAGTACACGACTGCTGATACTCACTGATTTACTTTGCACTGCTCACTAGTACTGCTTCTAATACAGAATTTGTACATCGAAGAATAAAATTCTTATTCGTTCCCACCTCTCTAATGCCTCCGCCACACGCTCTTCCTCCGCTACGTTGAACGCCGCTTAAGCGATGTCTGGATCATGGAACAGAAAATGGCGTCTGGAAAGAATCAGATTTTTCTAGGAAATCACGGGTATTCTCTCCGAATGCGGATGTATCACTTTGTACACAACTTGGTTCAGTTGTGCGTCGAAGCTATGGAGAGGAATTTCTTCCAGTTGATGCAAGGGCTAGAGCAGACTGGAGATGGAGAGGATGGAAAGTCCAGCTCCCAATTGTTAAGGCGACAAGAAATCGAAATCCAGGCCCGCCTCCTTCTTCTTTTCCAGCATCGATCTTCTCAGTCCCTTTTTTGTCCGTACTAGGGACATCAAAAATGGGAACCAGGAGGATGTTGAGCCCGAAGTTACTTAGTACAGATGAATTTCTCTTTCTCACTCTCTTGCTCGTATAATTTCTAAAATTGGAATCCGTGGATGACTTGATAGCTCTACACGATCACTTCTTGTACAAGAGTTTAACGGAAACGCTTTTGTTGTTCGACGTCTCATCCTTCGAAGGAGGCAGCGGGGGTGCGAGTTCTTCGGGGACGTTTTTACATGTTAAGGCTTTTTTACTGGTATCACCGATCATCTTTAGCATCTACTTGATGTTTACTTACTCCAACTTTTCACAATGTTTAATATTTTACAGAGTAGTTTATAGCACGCATGGAGTGCATGAAGCGCAGAGCTTTAAGGGGCGCAAGATGAAGCTCCCCCTTTAGCTCCATGCTACTCCATGCCCTCCATGCCCTCCATGCCATGCGAGCTGTGAAACCTTGGAAATTGCTCTGAAGTTCATAGAGATGGGACTATCTCGCTCGAGTTTCTCGTCTTGTTCTAAAAGTAAAGTGAATTAGTTGTAGAAGAAAGTAGGCTCAAGTACAGAAGTACTTTGACTTCCAAAGTGAGGCCCCCTCCTCCAAAGCTAAAAGTACATCTAATCTCTCTTCCGTAGTGAAAATCCTGAACACATGTGTGCTCTTCGCCACTGCTGTCGAAGATTTTATAGAGCGGTTTGGAGGTGTCCAATTTCGCACATCAACATTTGGCGGTGAACGTTCTCTTTCTCCAACTGCATCGGCTTCGAAATTTTCTGCAGCAATACAAGAGAATTATGGCAACGGTGGGCTGCTCCTGTGTAATAATATCCTCTCGAGCAGAGCATGAGTCGTGTCTCCTTTGCGATTTCAGAGATCCACTTTGAAATCGCAATCATCTGCTCTTACTCGTCTAGCATTCATTCCTTCTCTAATCCCTCAACCGTCTCGCCTTGCAATCCGTGCTGTCCAACGAGCATTACCGCAAGATGATAGGGAAATTCGAGAAGATTTTCGAGCAGCAATTGATCGCTTTGCTGGCCCAAGCACGTGAGGTCGTGAGGACTCAGCATGAGCATTTTTTGAATCAGTTGCTGATTCGGTTGGACTACAGCGATTATTACCTGGGGAAACAAGTTTAGCAGCACTATAGTAGCTTGATCATTCTTGTACTAGGGATGAACAATATAAATATATCTCGTCTCTATAGTAAGTTGGGAACCAAAGATCATCTGATGAAACCATTGTTCACACTGACTTTTGTATTTCGATTTTGCTGGATGTTTTTATATAGAAATTTACATTACGATTACATATCAACATCATGATCACTGCCACTGGAGATGGATACATACGAGGCCAGAAGGACAGTATATCCATCAAACAAGAGCCTTCTACCATTCATTGACAGAGGAAGAACTCTGATCTTCTGTTGATAAAAAGAGCTCTTGTTGATTTTGGAATAACACTTGTATCTACTTCTTGGGAGCAGCGTTCATTCATTCAAGTTCTTTTTTGAATTGCATTGATTCAAGTTTTCTCAGAGGAAAGAACAAGTTCTTTTCTTGCAAAAAAAAGGTGCAATAACTGCACAAGAGAAAAAGGCTGCAATATTAACTGCATTGAAAACTGTGCGACGAGATTAATTGTATTGTTGTATTGTACAACAAGCAAATTTATCATCTTCATCTTCTTCGTGAAACACATACAAGTACATCAATATAATTTGCAAAAATTGAAAACTACTTCTGAAATGACATGGCATCTGACGACGAGTGTTTATCCGGATTCGATGGCGGTCCTGCCAATTCGATCATCATCGTCGAGTTCATAAGACGATACCACAAACAAATTCTGGAATCCGAGGAGCTTGTTTCAATTAAGGCTCACGCGGCTAATCCATCTTCTGAAGCTTTTTGTTTTTCGGATGAGCATGAGCTCTAATTCACAGAAAGACGACGTCATTTGCGCATTGAAGGGCTACCTTAGTTTAAGGCTCAGAGAAGAAATGATTTCTATATATAAAAGTTTTTTTTTGCAGTTTGTTTCCTTCTTGGGATTCTGAAGAAATGCAGGCAAGAAGTGGAAACTTTTAAATTGAGGAGCTGGCCCTAATTAGTCATCCAGACTTCACAACTCAGAAATTGGAGAAATGTTCGCCTTCGGCTTTTCCGGCTTTGGTTTTGTGGGTGAAAGCGGTGGGACAGGCCTTGACGTTTCTGGCGACGGAGGGGAGGGAGCGAGAGTTGGTGGAGTTTAAAACTTTACAAGCATGGCTGGATTCAGCAAAGGAAAATGGGAATCAGATAGAAGAAGGAAGCGCGCCTAGTTGTAAACCAGACGAGACCACGTCAAGTCCGAGTGACTTCGAAAGATCCTGCCTCGACATGTTTGAGATTGCGGATGCAAGGTTCGCGAGGGCTAAAATGAGCGAATTCCAGGAATTTAAGGCAATGGCTAATCCACCAGAAGCTATGGGTAGAGTGAGGGACGCCGTTGGAGTTTTGGTGAGAGCAGCAGGACTTACGGGGGCTTAACCTTGACGCAGTTGGAGTTTTGCTGAGGGCAGCAGGATTCAGGGTGGCATGATGAAATACTCTAAGTTATGGATGTCAAGGGCTGTTGTTGTTGTTGTTTTATTAGGATTAGTGTATTGAAATCTTGTGACTTATTTTTGAAGTACTTTCGGCATAAAAAAAGACATTTTGGAACGCGCACATGACGTGTGACCGACAAAGGGCGACTGCCACGAAGCTGCAGCAGTTGCTTCGGAAGTGGAGGCGCAAAGATGCCTTGATTTTGATCGCACTCCGAAGTGAAGAAGTGCAATTTTTGTGTCGGACATGAAGATGAAGAAAAAGGCGTAAAACTATTGCATTTCAATTTCTAGCCCCTTCCCGTTCCCACCCCCGGCCGACAGTGATAAGGAAGAGTGAAGAAAAACGCATTGAAAATTATAGGTGTACTCGAAGATAGAAGATGCATTTTTAGAACCTTGAGAAAACGAAAACAAAAAATTGATAGAAAAATCCAAATCCATTGAAGATGAAGGGTTTTGATGATATTTGACTTTTCACGCGTAAAAAGAAAAACTCAACCTCCTTAAGTAGATTCGAAGAATTAAAGCGAAGATCAACGAAAACTATTCTTCGCATTGAAGTGATCGAAGATTTTTCCAAATCAATTATGTCTCTCACCGATAACGACGAGCTGTTTCATCACAGCGACGAACAGGCGCTGTTCTTGACGGTCGAACTCGAAGTCTAGCTTCGTACTCAGCACCACCGATTCCACCTGAGGATTTTTCACTGACATCATGCTACAGGATCGTAAGGAGACCCAAGAACGGTGGCCAGACCAGAGCCACGATGCTACGTCTACCGGTTTCGAAGCGGCCGATGTTCCTAGGACGTCACGACGACAATACTCCACTACGACCGGAGGACCTCCTGTGAGGTTGCAGCAGAGTGTGGGCATACCCTCGGTACCGTGGGGAAGCATAACAGGCCTATCGCCCTCGACGTCCTCTTCTACAGGTACTAATTTCTTACTTTTGTTCGTTTTTGACGATGTTACACAACTTGCTCATATGGACCTCGTTTTTTGAATTTTTGTTCTGGCCGCTGAGAAGTACAGCTGTACAACTTCGGACACGACTTGCTTGACGATGCTCATTTTTTTTTTGAATGCATGGTGCGCAGAGTACTGTAGTGAACAGCCCGCACAACCCCGGGCTCACCTTGCCCCCGCTATTATTATTGTTATTATTATTTTGAATTTTTGTTTGTGTTGGTGTTCTTCAATGACAGAAAGCAAGAGCGCCAAGAAAGAAAAATTACACGGCGATCGCGTCCTACATGTTGAATTTTCGAAAGATGCTCACTACAACATCAAAAATGATGCGCCGTCAGTTGATGTTCAGAAAGTATGAAACAAATAATGTTGATGCCATCAATACTAGGAAAAATGCACTGCAGAGTAGAAGTCAAAAACACAAGATGAACACGATGACGCCCGTGGTTCCTGTGAATCAATGTTGAAACTGCATTGAGTAAGGTATCTTCGCTCTTTCCATGTAGCTGATTAACGCCATTTTTCTTCACGATGACAGCACACAGCAGATCCACCTGCTCCGCTCTTCTTTCATTACTCGTCAAGAACTACGAGAGCCACTTTTCTGAAACCGAATCGTGAAAAATCTCATACCTCCATTCCAAAAGAATCTTCGTTCTGTGTCAGCGTCACGACCATAGGAGAAGATCTTCTTCTTACCTTCTTTTGTCGAACTTTTGACATCTTGGTCCAGGAGGACTTATGTACAACAGCATTCCACTTCTCACAACAAGAACAAACTTCTCCATCAAGCCCAATCATGTCTTCAACTACAGGTCTTCTTTTTAGAAGATGAACCGCGAAAGTATAAGTAAGAAGAAGTCGGGTGAAAGAAGAAGCTGTTGTTGAAAAGCTATAGTATCCTCTTCCTCGATGGCTCCACCTTTATGAATTATTATACTAGGAGCTTGTACTAATTCCGAATTTTGGAATTGGCCGACTGAAGATGGTGATGCATGTGTTTGGTAAATTTCACTTTTTTTTACACAGTAACTAAGTAGTACAGATGACCTACGTCGTTACATCACAAACTTTTTTCTACTTACGTAGTCGTACTCTTCGCAATCAAAATTTTTGAAGAATGTACATTGATGTTGAAACGGTATTTTTATAGGAGGTCAAAATATATAAGATAACTTTATAGAAGGAGGTGAGAGATATCCAGTTCGAGATACTTATAATACATATATATAATACATATACATAGTCTGTTGTTCTACGTACTGTATTGTTGTGGTGGTCTTTGGTAACCTGATTTTGATCATGAGGACTTTCAACTTGTCCTCCTACTCCAGCAAGCACAGGGTCGTTAGTAATGCTGTCCAACTTTAATTTGATCATGAGGAAAACAAGAAGACAACCCTTATGATCAAACTCATTCCTCTTTCAGGTGGTCATGATATGTTGACTGGCGAGGACTATTGGAGGCACTATTAAAACTAATCAGGCGGGGCGGATTGAAAACAAGCAGGAAGAACTACAACTAGAACTACACTAGTAAATCTAAATGAAGTAATTCCAATTCAATAGTTATTTGTGGTCGTGCTGGTCTTGCTTCTTTCACCCGCAGCACATCATATTATAGTCAGATTCATCTATAATGTACTTGATACAGAAGAAGATTATCTGAGAAATCTTCTACTTGCATTACGAACTCTAACTATATCATATCTAATCCTGATTTACTAGTAGAAAAGAAACAAGTACAAGGAGGAGACATGGAACAACTACTGCAAATGCGAGGACAACTGATATTTAATTAACTAGTAGTGCTTACACCAGCACGACCCGAGAACTTTGCTGGGTATATCATCATCATGAAAAACTTTCCATAGAAAATTTTGATCTTGTTCGTTCTTGGATGTGCTGGTTTTTACAGTTGGATTTGTGGAAAATTACGTGAAATATTTTGGTATATTTGATTAAGAACAAGTAACATTATCCTCATGAGAATTTCCACTAACGCATAGTTGTTCTTAAATTTGTCATTTGGTGCTGGTCCAGACCCAGAGGACCACATTCACTTGCGCTTAAACTACATCTTCGATTGCTGGTTCTTGTTGTAAGGATTCGATTTATTAGATAAAATAACACTCTAGAAGCAACGGGTCGTTCTACATTATTTTCCTAGTTGTCCTCCTCCACGGAGATTGATAATAACACTCCCGCTTCGGGAAGACTTGTTCTTGTATTTCAACATCCATATCGGATTAATATTTTCCGTTTTCTCTACTGCCTGCTGCTGCTCGTCTTTTTCCATTTCTTCTTGTACAGTAGAAACTAGGACTACTTCGACGTTTTGCAGCAGCTGCAGGACAAGAGGAGGACGAGGAGGAAGAGGTGCAGCTGCAGACAGACCTCATTTGTTCGTTGAATTTTCGACTACTTACATCGATCGGGAGACGAGATGCGCTTACATCGATCTATTTCATCAACAAAACGACCTGGTGGGGAAGATGATGTTGAGCTTCATCAACAAGAAGGACACGTATGGTAGTTCTTCATCTTTCCAACAAAGCCCAGAACAACATCTTCAAGAACAAAACGTCAAGAATTCTTCTTTGTCTTACTTACAACGCCTACGCCCCGCGTGTTCATATTTTTAGTATGCAGAACAATTATAACATGGTCATCTCCGCGAAGATGGATTCAGCGGCTACCCCGCGTACTCCTCGCCAAGCAGATTGGGCGAGAAAACATCACGACGACGAAAGGGGGACCAATGATCCAAACAACATGATACTTGGGGTTCCTTCTCCTTCTTGCGAAATAAATCGAGGCCGCACTTCTGATAGTGGTGGCCTCACCTGCAGGATTCAACAACGACGAGTGGCAGTAGTGGATTGGCCGCCGGCGCAGCAGGAAGAGTGTCATCTGATGTATACCACTAGTACCATGGATAGTGGTGCTATCTACATGAATGCCAACGCGGCAAAGAGGCAGGAAGCTACAATAAATGAAGACGATGAAGATACTACTTCGATATTGTATCATGCGGACCACTCGCTGAACGACTCATCTACTCCAAACAATATTAGTACTTCTTTCAACTTTAGAAGTGCACAAGAACTACAACAAGAGGAGCAATTATATAGATGTCGATATGATCTTGATCAATCCAGGAGTCATAGTGCTGGCCCCCCTCCTCAACCTCATGGAGGATGTCCTCAACGCCGTGCTGCGGAGTTTTTCTACCCGGCGCATGGTGAAGTAGAGCACGTAACGTCGGTAAGTGCTGGTCCCGAAGGATCTACAGAGGAGGATGCAAATGCATGTAGTTACAACGGGAGACAACAACATCAAACGTGGTCTTCAACAACATCAAGCAGCAGTGGTCAACTACATCAGGACAACTATCATTTCCCCCAGCACGAGGAAGACCTACTTCAACCAGCAATAGATGTCGTCGAGGGAGAACATGAAATAAGCTTGTTGCGGCAAGAGCAAAAAATCTTGCGTGAGCAACAGCAGAAATTACAAAAGCAGCAGCATCTACTTAATTTGCAGGAGCAGAAACTGCGCCAATTGCAGGTAGAAACACAACTACAACAAGGACAACAGCAAATGCAAGTCGAACAACAACAACAAGCACAAAATGGAGCTGCGCATCCGCATGGATCACCAAATAATAGTATCATGCTGGCAAACGGCACATCCAACGCCATCAGCAAGAACATCAACAAGATGAATAGAATGCATGAGCTCATGCTAAAAAGATCAATGGCACAAGGAGGCAACGCAGTAGAGGAACAAATGCAAATGCATCGATACAACTATAACAAAATGGACGCAGGTGGAGCACGGCAGCAGGCTCAGCATCCTCAGGCTAGTAGTCTGATGCAACAAATATTACATGATTCGCCACAGCAAGAATTTCATCTGCAAGTAGGAAACCCGATGCAAGGTAGTCCGATGTTGATGCTCCCTGCACATGATCAACAAGGTCGACGTCCTTATAGTGATGGTGCTGCCCAACCACATGGAAGTAGGAGGAAAGTCCATCTCCTACCTGGTGGTTCTGTAATGTCATCAAGGGCGACTGGAGTGGCTGCCAACATCACAACCACGACTAGGCCGAATCGCAGTCAGAGTTACCAAAATGAAGTGAGGAGGAGCAATGCCACTGCAGGACCTGCTATGATAGAGGGTCCACCATGCTTGAGACAACAAGAGCATCAGCTACATCAAGAACAATCTACTGAATCCGCTCAGAAGGCACATCAATCTCGGCTACATGCTCGTGCCCTCCGTCTCAATGAAGTACCATTAGCCTCAGTTGAAGGAGGCATGCCGAGAGGAGATCTTCGTGAAGCCTGTGTTCCTCCTTACATCAATCAAAACCTCCAATACGGGAAGCACTATCATTATCAAGGGTCGTCTAGGGATCGGTACATCAATCAAAACCTCCAATACAACGGGAGTAGACGCTATCATCATCATCAAGAGTCTACTAGGCCTCGGGACGATCGTGACAATCGAAGGAGCCAATACGGGATGGGCTTGGGGCAGCCTCATGGCACTGACTATCAAAGCAATCCTAACGAGGATGAATACTACAACGACCATGTGGTCGACGTGATGTTCTTGAACAGTGATGGCAACATGATGAGGAGCGAAGCAGAAGCTGGTGTGGTCGACGTGATGTTCTTGAACAGTGAACAAGAAGGCAAGAACTACTACGACGTTTCTACTAGCATAGAAAGTAGACGAGGATCTTCTGGTGGTGGACGAGCGGGTCCTCAACATGGTCTTCATCCAAATATTATCGCTCATTCCGCTCAAACAACAAGGCGTAGAAGTTGTAGCAAGGTCCAAACGATGAACCACGACGCATGCAGCTATGATCGGCGTCAGAACGAGCAACATGATCCTTATGCTTATTTTCTCAACAGCTGCCAGTCACCTCCACCTTCTCTTCAACTAGGTCTCAGTCCTCAGTCACCTCCACCTTCTCTTCAACAACTTCACGAAGGATCACTAGGATCGGGAAATTATACTTCCAGCAAAGGGAAGGGAGGAAAAGAAAATTGCATAGGCGTTGTGTGGTCTCCACGAATCAGTGACCGAGCGTGTTGTATGGATCAAGAGCTAGGTCCGTCATGGTCCTATAGATCAAGTTCCAGACAACAGCAACAACAACAATCTTTTCATCTGAACAACAGAACTCCTACTCCTAGTCGTGTAGCACATGATCAACAAGGAAAAGGTAGTAGTTCTTGGGGTTCGGGATCAGTCTCGCCTTGTTCTTCTAGTTCTTCTATAGAGCAAGTTCGTGGGCCAGCAGTAGATGTTGAAGATGATGCCAGTATTATTTCTTGCACTGGTCCTGGGACGACGCAACCGCAAGACAGGAGCTCCTCTCGCGAACGCTTAGAAGTAATCAGAAGCAGTTCTAAATCTACAACCAGCAGTAAAAATATTCAAGTAGGAGGTACTCATAGCCATACAAGCTCTGCTTCTGGCCGCGGAGGAGGTAAAAATAAGAGTTCATCTTTTGGTCTTGTTGGAGGCAACACGACCCCAAGGGGGAAGAACAAATGGTCAACATCTCCTGATCATTATATGGAGACATCGAGCGAAGATGCAAGACGCATTGCGGCTAGTTGTAATTTTCACGCAGCGACAAATCACCTCCAAGAGTTTATTTACAACTACGTCGACAGGCAAGAACATCAACAGTCTGATGCAGCTGTTGCACAGCAACATAAAGTTCTTCAAGTCCATGCTCAAGTTCAACAGGAGGATCCTGGTTCTGCTTCTGTGGGTCCTCCTATTCTTGGTGCTTGTGTAGCTTCTGTGCAGCGTATAAATACTAATATTATTGGCACTACTAGTACAGCAGGAGCTAGAGGACATCAACAGCATCAACATCAAGCACTAACATATTCTACCTCATCGCCTGCGTGTATTCCAAACCAGCACAACGTCGATCATCAGGTATATCGTGCTTTCCTTTCTACGCCAGCTCCGGAGCTCCTAGCATCCTCTTCTCCAGCAATGTCTTCAAGGGGTGTACCTGTTGTAGTGACCAAAGGAGGAGGACAAGGACAAGAACATCTTCACCAGGAAGGGCAACATCTAGCGCACCGAGACCCATATCCACAGCCTCAACTCGATGCTGATCGAGGGGTGGAGAACGTCACAAGCTCGAGGAGCAGTCCCCTTCCTACTTCTTAAGGCTCCTCGCTTGTTATATTCTTATTCATCTCGTAGTTGAGAGGCATCTTTGGGCCCACTCCCTTTATTTAAGGGAAAAGCGCGGTGATCCAGATGCGCTTCAAGATGAATATCGGTAAGGTCTAAACAACTCAGGAGTTGCAGAGTGACGCCAACATGATTTTGGCGAGGACAAACGAGCTCAATCATCAAATGACGCGCGCTCTTCGAACGTCGACTCCACCACAGAGGACAACTAGTATGACTGGAGGCGGTGGGCGGGGTAATTTTCCAGTCGCTTGGAGATCGATTTGTAGTTCTCCTGGTTTGCTCGAGCGCAGTTCTACTTCTCCTGTTACTTTTGCTTTGAACTCACCTTCGAACACGAACTATCACGAGGAACTAACTACAGCTGGCGCAACAGCAACTTCTAGTACTACGTCAAAACAAAGTACTTCTGCCAATACACTGTCCAGCATGTCGAATACTGCCACAAGAACAGCAGCCACTGCGACTGCTACCACGACGACTATGATGTTATGCCGTTCAACATCTGCTTTGACACCAACAACGGGAGCTATAGCGGCTTTGATGGAGACCTCATCTATTCCTACTATGTCTCATGTGGCCGCGGCTCTTACACCTACAGCAGCCGCGACAACGCCACGAGCCCTCGCAAGAACAACGTTGAAGGCCTATCGTCGTAAGAGGAATCATTCGACGTTGGGAGAGCACCTAGCTGTACACGACGTGCACGAGGAAGAGGACAAGATGAGCTACGGACTACAGGGTGTACACGACGTGCTGCACGACCAGGATGACGGTCAACAGGGTCATGGTGTTGGTGGATGTCGTGAGAATGGGATGGTTGTACACGACATAGCTGAGCAGGTGAAAATTGAATCTCTGCATGATCGACATCAACAAGACGAACTTAGAATGGGCCTGAAGATGGCCGGAGCTGATATGACGATGAGTCATCACGGCTATACATGCAGTGGTCCGGCTATACATGGAGAACAAACCTCTACCCAACATCAAGATCAAGAAGACTACTTGTTTCCCCCACCTCCAGCACCACGCCATGTTGACTTTCCGGAAGTAGCTCTACGAACGCCTACGCCTGACTTTCCCGATATAACTCACGAGGACCACCACGACGTGAACGTGACAAGTATTATAATGGGTGGTAAAAATGATCGTGGTGTTTCTCCTGCCCGACCAGGAGGTATACGACTACAACAATGTGGACAAGAACGACATCATGGAGGTGGAGCAGTAGTTGCAATCCCAGCTCCCCCTCGTCCACAGAGACTTGAGAGAAAGGCTGATCACAGGGGAGTTGAGATCATGACAGGTCCACCTGCCGATGTTGAGCTTGAGAAACGTAGGATGAAGAATGGCAATGGCAAAGGCTATCATCATGGAGGTGATGGAAATGTTGTTGGAGCAAGCTATCAACATCAACATGCAGCACAGCAAGAATCATCTGCTCATGGTCAACTTTACAACAACTTCTGCTAGTTGTAGTTTTAGTAGATCTTAATCATGTAGTACATGTTCGCTCCACGCCGCATGTGCAGCACATGATGTGCTACTATGAATCCTCTAAAAAAAGTAGTAACTACTTACATTTAATTTTTAATCCAGCAGCATCAAAATCAAAATCAACTATGATACGCTCAGCACCACTAGCTGATGTACGATGACCTCCTTTCCACATCACATGACAGTACTACTAGTTTTTACAACATCACAGAAATCTTCACATTCAACACGACCACAGGCGCCGGCCGCACGCCAGCAGGAGGAGTACCAGGATCATCTTCCCCAGCGCCTGCAGGATCACCAGGTGGAGGACCAGGCATGTATTATCCGCAGCAATTCTTGCCGTTTCAAAATTTGTCGTTTTCATCGAGTTCGAGTTCTTCGACAACTGCGGTTGTGCCGCGTACACCTCCAGCTATCACTATGGTTACAACTATCACTATGGTTAGGGTTACAGCAGGGTAGGCGGGTGGTTACCACGATGTTGCATTCTCAATGAGAATCTAGTACATGAAGATCCTAGGCTTGTTTTCGTCCAGTAGAAACATAGCCTGGGATCATGTCGTGCTGGGGAATGCAAGAATGTCGCAGCCTCATCTAATACTAGAAGTGGGGGAGGTGGGGGTCGTGGGGGATCATATACTACTAGAGTAGTTTATAGACGCTGGGCGGCTGGGCACGCAATTGGAGACGCCCAGCGTCACGCTGGGCGCAGAATTCGGCAGATCTGGCACATTTGGGTCGCCCAGCGACCCAGTGTGCCGAGCGTGCCAAGCCCAGCCATGTTCGGGAACCTTATAAACTGCTCTGAGATAATACAATTAGAAGGGGGGGAGCAGGTGGGGAAGATGGGGATCATCTTCATATAGTACTAATAATTATGCAGGAGGAGCGACATGGATACGACCACCAGGAGGAATTATGCCAGGTCCAGGAGGGCCCCCACCAGCAGGACTTCCAAACAGTGAATCGGCTTCCATCCACAACCACTACTACCCACCTCCGACGACTCCACCCACTCCCGCTCCCTATCTAGGGAGTGAGGCACCTAAGCATATCAAGAATTTGATGCGCCGACAGAGGTATTCGGATATCCACGTACCGCTTTTAGACCGACAACGTGCGATTGCGACTGCCGTGACGAATCTGATAAAGGAATCCCAGCAAGCGGCGGCTTTGGCAGCAAACAAACATTTTTAAGGGTCGTGGTAGGGTGAAAAGGTTTGTTCTGTTAATTAATATACCGTTTCTTTTGCCTGCTCTCCTAAGGGAGAAAGGTGGCAGAACAAACGGGAAACAGAAATACCTCCAAAAGCCTAGTACCTCTAAAAAAGAACAGGAGGTGCGACGTCAAGTAGCAGCTCATCATCTGACGAGCACGAGACCTCAGATGACGAAAATAGAGCAGATGCCTGTGCTGGGACGATGATAGGCGATGTGGAAGAAGAACAAGATCATCGGGGACGAGCTCCTGAAGAGAGCGCGGATATTAAGTCACCGAAGAAGAACAACAAGAACAAAGTAGATAAGAAGGACAACAACTACAAGTCGTCATCACCTCCAGCAAAAAATAGCAAGAGCTCCTGCACTGGAACTACTACATTGAGTGCAATAAATTCTCAAAAAAAGCGTTTATCTTCTTCCTCAGCTGCTTCAACCACAACGAGGACCTTACCCGCTGATCGAGTTGCAGGGCTTTTTCCGCTCTTTCAGACGTTGAGCAAGGGAGAGCAAAAGAGCGTTGCGCAAGAAATGCAAGGCCGTTGCTATGGACGGGGCAAACTTGTTTATAGCCAAGGCGACGAAGGCGACCGCTTATTCCTCATCATCCACGGTTATGCCCACGTTATCGTCTACGACGAGATTGAAGCCAGAGTAGGAGATGAGGTGAAACTGCGAAAGCCAGTCCATTTTATGGGCAAGTGCTATGCGGAAAACACCTTAGCAGTGATCGACAAGCACGATTCAAGTCGCGAGTTTCCGTACACGATAAGAATATTACATCCGGATTCCGGATCTAGCACCACACCTTGTTCATCAGCATCTTCGAAGTCGAACAAGAACACCACTAGCAATAAAGTTGGAGGAGCAACAGCAACTTGTTCTTCATCTTCGATTTTTAAGGGTTGACCAATTAGAATTACATCCCCCACAACGAACCATTCCTCACTGTAGTTTTTCCAGTAGGAAAGAGGTGAGGGATGTCCTGAAGAATGTAATGCTGCAACCTTTAATTCTTCTATAGGTGGAACTTCCAATGGCACCAAACTGGAAAGTCATTTTCATCCTAGTGGACGAGCAAACCTCGGAGCTTTGTCAACTACTACACAAGAAGGCGGCAAGACTCCTGTGGTCAGAGGCCGCGTGATGGCTCATGAGATAGAGCTTATTGGGAAACCCCCTTCTGCAAGATTTGTTGCCACGCTCGTCCCCGGCGACTATTTTGGCGAACAAGAGGTCATTTCTGGCAGTAGGGACCGCAAGGAAACCATTGTAGTTGGCAACGAAGCGGATTTGGCCGTGATGACTTTAAGGCTAGTCTTCACATGAGGACTTAAACAAAATGAATTTGAATACAACTTATAGAAGATACTTATTATAGATAAGTACTTATAAATAAGTATGTAAAAAGGTAGTTGATGTAAAGGTCTACTTGTTCTAATGACTCTGTCCCGTATGGCCTATAGGTCTTTAGGCTTGCCTTACAAGCACGCCCATGCTTTTCCGAAAAAGCCGAGACACGCGATCTGCCTGTCAAATGAAGGAGACCAAATTGGAAGTGGTGAAGGAGGACAAGTAGGAGGCTCTTTGAGTTTGACTCCTATGAGCTCACCCCGTAGAGGCATCAACGGCTTAGTGGCATCATCTTCGTCAAATAAATCTGAGGAAGCGAAGAAGATGATCATGAAAGCTCTCCACAACAGTCAGCCGATAAGAAAAATGCTGCATTTGACGCCACAACAGAGAGCAGACATAGCGGATCAAGCCTACAAACAAGAGTTTAGTGTGGGAGATGTGGTAGTCTCTGAGCCGCATAATTCCGTTTCTTCTCCTGCTGGAAACAAAACGCCTGCTGATATTAAGGCCTAACAAGAAACTTGAAGATCCATCTTTTATGAGGGATGAAAAGGTTAAGATGGATTTTTGCTATGATAGTAGTTGCAGTTCTAATGATAGTATCATCATAGTGGATATGGGGAAGTATAAAGTGGGAGTGAAGCAAGAAAAGCGTGTGGATTACGACCACGCAGAAAACGCAGTCTTGGGACACACATCGTTGAGGGAAAGAGAAAAGCAGACTAGGTAATATCTACTTTCGATTTCTTTTTAATAATTGATTTTGATGTTGATAGATGAAGAAATTTTCGCTTTCCATTATTTGACCAAGATTTTACGTAGAACAACAACAAGAACTGCGCTACTGTTCACCAACATCTTGTATCTTCCATCTCCTTCTCGTTCTCCTCCACCAGGCATCTCCGTGAGCACCAAACTAGTGGCATGTTTGGAGAGTATAGTGCTTTGTTCGGTGTGCCGCCTGTTTTTCACGTCGTCTGCGTCGCTCCGGGTCACTGCTGGGTCATTCCTAGGAAAGCTATCAAAAGTGCGCTTCTAAAAAGTAAGAAGACCGCAGCTAGGAGAGTGCTGGAGGCCTTGCATGATTTTAAGGAGCTTGTGGGCCTGCAACACTGGGAGAAGATTGAGATTGCTACCAATTCACATGTGCTTCAGTTGGAACAAGGGCAAATGATTCGGACAGGAGGTACTACTACCTCAAGTACTAGTACAAGTACAAGTAGAGAAGAACAAGATGGAGGTTCAACACTTGACCACAGTGGAGCTGCAGGAGGTTCTTTTTTCGCGCCTTGCACAGCTCCTGATAGTGGAGTGGTTAGCCTAAAAGGTGCAGCCGATGGAGCAGGAGGAGGAGCTGCTAGCGCAAGCTTTGATAATGCAGGAGCTCAAATAAATGCATCAAGTTGTAGTTCCTCCAGTTCAGCATCGTCGGCAGAAGAGATCATAGAAGACGCGGGAAGTAGTGCTGCGACATCGTCCTGCACCTGCTCAACAAAAAGGCCAACAAAAAGGCCGAAGTCGAAGCACCAGCATGAGGACTACTTCTATCTGCTTCTGGTTGGTGAAATGGAGATTCAGGGTGACCGCTTACATCCAAAAAAAGTTGCAAGAACAGAAAGAATACGAAAACATCAAGAGCAGTTGTTGGGTGCGGTGGATGTTGAGACTAACAAAGCTGGCACTGAAGTGGGTGCGGATGAATCAGAAACTAAGAAAGCTGGCACTGATACTACTGCCACTGGTCTTCCCAGCAAAGCTGAAAATATTACGACGAGTGGTGGGCTACTTGAAGGTGATCCTGAGAAGGTAAAAATGGGCGAGCCGACAGAGCCGGATACCAACGTACCAGATACCGGAGAACAAGGACAAGGAGCTACAACTTCTTCAACTACACTGAAAAACAAGACAACTGCTTTAGCTTCATCTTCCCCTTCTCTTACACCAGTAGGAGAACACGGCCCTCAGCATCAAGGTAAAGCCGACTACACTATTGGACTGGCGAGAACCGCAACCGGCTGCAGCACAGTGGTAAACAACGATCCTCCTGTTGTACGAATACGTGGGAATAATACGAGAATGATCAGTCTTTTCGGCGATAAGAGCTACGACGAGCAAGGGACGCCATCGGATGAGGAGCGACATACAGATGAAGAAAGCTCTTCAACGAAGCGAGACACGACACAGCAGGGATCGTTGCACTGGTACGTTATTACTCATTTTTGACTGTACTTATGTACTAGATTAAATAAAATTCAACATCGCTCCTGGTACTAGATTAAATACCAACAATAAAATTAAAATTCAACATGATCAGGTTTGGTGAACGCTCGTTGTTGCGAGGTAATGGCACCTCTCCTGAGACTCGTCGAAGAAGTCCCTCTTCCTCGTCTCAAGCTCAAGCGCCACAGTCTCAAGCTCAAGCGCAACCCCTACAGTCTCTCTCTTCGGACCGCGCAGTTGCTACAGTAGTCTCCAAACATGCTACAGTCCTAGCTGTGCCTCGCGCAACCTTTGACCGAGTTCTGCGGCCGCATGCTGAACTGTTGCTTTCGCAAGGCGTGCATAGGCGAAGTACAAAAATCGAGGACATCAAGGAACACCTAGTCCTCCAAGATTCCAACGAGTACCAAGGTTGGCAGGAACTCCCGTTCGACAGTCTAAAACGGGTCTGTTTGCTGGGTTCTGGTGGCTTTGGCGCAGTCGCATTGTATGTCCACGAACCGAGTGGGAATACGTTTGCTCTCAAATCGCTATCGAAGGCGTTCATTGTGAGGAAGCGAATGACCGGTGCAGTAATGAGGGAGAAGAAGATTCTCTTCATGTGCAAGTCGCGGTTTATCGTTCGCACATTCCAAACATACAGAGACAAAGACTATCTGCATTTTTTGATGGAGGTAATTTTTGTATACTTCACATTTTTGCAGAATAAATTGCTTGGAGGTGTGATTGCGGTAGGAGTTTATTCCACTTGTACTATATTTAGAGTTTATTTTACTCAAGTAGTTACATTGTATATTAATTTGATAGAGTTTTTACTTAGTTACATGCTTGGTTTTGGCTATCAATCTACTACTGGCAAGGCTATTTTTCCTTGTGCTTAAATGATCGCAAAAGTCTAGTCCTCTCATCATTAATAGATAGGGCGAGTGTGTGTGGTCTCTCATCAAATTATTTCTCCTGTTTCTAAAAAAAATTTTTCGATTCTATGAAGATGATCAACATACCCAACCACGATCGCAACCACGATCACAGGTTTGTCTCGGCGGCGAATTGTTCTCGCAATATCATCGATTCAAGTTTCATGGGTCAATCACCAAAGCGAAATTCTACAGTGCAACTGTGATCACGGCGTTTGCCTATCTGCACAAAAAGGGGATTGTCTATAGAGATCTGAAGCCAGAAAACCTATTGTTGGATCATTATGGATTCTGCAAATTGACGGACATGGGCTTAGCGAAGATCATAGGAGTGTCGGGAAAAACGTATACGACATGCGGAACACCAGATTACTTCGCGCCGGAAGTGGTACATTTTTATGAACAGGTTCATAGTTCTTGTACACTTAGACTTCTTTAAGCATATAATAATGTTGATCAACATATTGTAGTGCTGGCATTTCTATTTCACTCGTCGGATCATGATGAATTTACAACTACACCAACCAAGGACTACAACATCAACTTCTACAACAAAACCTTCACCTCGAAGTGCAAAGGGCGAAGACAGCTTGCTAATTAACGTCTTCTATACCTCACGAATGGGCAATGCGCACATAGTTGATCCGACACCCTTGAGGTTGAAAACTTATAACCCATTAGCTGGCTGAATACTGCCCGTCGGCTTCGAGCTAAGGCCAGGGTGGAGTGCAACATGAGTGAACTACTACTACTACGACGACTACTACGACTGACCGCCACTGCTACTATCACTACTACTAGGCACTAGCACTACGACTACTACTAAGTACTTCTTCTGTTACTCCTACCACTCTGGCGAGTGACCTTCCCTCCAGCGTGACAAAAAAAAGCAGATCTCCTGGCACGAAGGCCAGACTCTAGCCGTTGCTTACCTCTCGCCCCAACAAAAATTCCAACAGATCCGTCACGAAGGCCAGACTCTAGCCGTTGACTGGTGGTGCCTAGGAGTTTTGCTGTACGAATTGATGTCCGGAACAGCCCCCTTCGAATGCGGGGATCCTTCCGAGACTATGACGAGGATTCAGAAGGGAGTAGGCAAAGTCGACTTTTCTTCTTTCCGCAGAAGAAGTCCTGATTGCGTTGACCTAGTCTGCGGTTTGTTACAGGCAGATCCGAGCAACAGACTGCCTTGTAGACCAGGCGGTCCGTTGAGGAATCTGAGTATGGATGATGTTCATGTTTTTTGCATCTATCAGTAGACCATCGAGGCTGGTGCCCCTTTTCCCCTTATTAAAACTGTATGAATCTATAGGTTCTTTAGTGGGGCCTCAATGGTGTCGAAAACTGTATCTATAGGTTCTTAAGGGGCACCTGCTCAATGGTCTACCTAGTAGATGGAATAGGCACCATCCATACTGAGGAGGCACCCTTGGTACCAAAACTTCCCATGGATTGAGATGTGGAGTGGCAAAGTGCAAGCACCTTTTGTGCCCAACGTAAGGAACAACGTGGATATAGGGAATTTCAGGCGGGTGAATGACGGGAAAAGGCATGTGAATGCAGGCCCCAGTGCGCCACCGGAACCGGCAGATCCGGGTGGTTGGGATAGAGATTTCTAAAAAAAAAATCGAGGACCTCTACTCTGAGGATTCGGCTTGTTGCACTCAGCTGAAGATTTAGATTCTTCCCTGAAAATACGAGAACCACGACTGCCACTAGAAGTACGTTATTTTATACGTCGACATAAGTAGATACATCAACTCATACTTTCGACAAAGTGAATTCTTTGTCCTACCCTCGAAACTTTTTTGTCCTACCTATTCGGTTTGTAATACTTACTCCGGCCATAATTAATGAGATGAAGAAGTTTAGAATGACAACGATAAAAATGGCGTCTAGAAACAAAAAGCAAATATCAAAGCAGAATAGATTAGTCAGTGAGTATTTTTTGACATGATCAAGACTATCCTCACGGTGGCGAGGCCCTCAAGCCGACGAAAAATACATCGTGGTTACTAGGTCGAGACTCGTCTCCGTTGGGCACGAAGCGCAGTCGCAGATGCTTGGGAATTATATACATAGGTCGAGGAGACTCGTCTCCGTTGGGAAACGCAGCCCGATGGAAAAAAATAATGAATTTTCGAAATTGAATGAATGAAAAATGAAGATGGTCGTAAGCTTAATAAACAAGTTGTAAAACGACACGACAGTCGTGCTAGATTGTTTACTTGTCTTGTTACAAAATTAACTAGGTAGCAATGTACATACTATATAATATATGAATGTGAAAATAGTGCTCGTTCATATACGTTCTTTTAGGGCTGCTGCACCACGGATCCTGCTCCTCGTAAAAGGTAAAATGTCCTCGTAAATGAGGGAGCCGGTTACGACCACGGGTCCTCGTAAAACCTCGCTAATGAAAAATGGTTACAAAAATCATGACAAGGTAAGTACGTAAATGCCCATTTAGATACAGATGTCGTCGATCCTACGACAATATGTGCTAGATTGTTTGCTCATGTGCTGGAGGTAGAGTTTTTGAATTGAGTTGATATAGCATGGATTTTGAAAAATGAACGACGGATAAACAACGTTTGATCACAAGAACTAGTAATGTACTTATGCGAATGAGATGAATGAGAATGTGTTTCATGATAGAAGATATCTACTTATCGCGAAGCGAGTATCAGTTTACCTTTTATTTCTTTTCCATAGTCATAGATAGAGATAGTCACAACAAGTACAAGTCATTTCCATAGCCTTAAAATCATAAAAATGGGGAACATGATGAGCATATCAGCATTTTCAGGGAAGATGATGCTTCGACTTCGTGAGTTCTTCTTCTTTTAGCCGCCTACTAACGTGGTGGATTTAGTAGAACAAGAAAAGTGACGATCTTGCACTTGTTCTGCTTCTGATATGATAGTAGAATAATTCATAGAACGGACGTAGGATGTGGATGGACTTGGATGGATCGGCTGGGCCCCCCTAGTAAATCTTCGAGTCCTACTTAAAGCGACTACTTAGCGGGTCGGGGAAGTTGATCCGTTCATCCATCCGAAGAATCCGATCCATCCCACCCTGAATCCGACACGTGTTCTAAGATCATACGGATAAGGATAGTAGAGATGTAGTAGAAAGACAACCAAATAACCATGTTGTTATAGTGTAGTTGCTGTTGCCACCACGACTAGAAGGACATAGATGAATTAGAAATAATTGAAATTGTAGCTTTTTAAACAAAAAAGATGTGAAAGTGAATTCTGTCTACAGCACCCAATCCTGATCGTCCCCAAACAAGAAGAACCGACATTTATGTGCAGATGACAGAGATCCCAGCACGACCCCTCTTTGTTTCCCACAGTCTTCACATGGTCTTGAAAGCGATTTCTGATCTCACAATCAGTGGTCTCCAGCATCTTCAGGAGAAAAGAGCAACTTGTACTATGTTAAGCAGTCTTCAGTTCGTGGTCCGCCGGGGGGTCGGTTTGTTGTTCTCCTTCTCCCTATTAACCGTCTTCCTTGATGGCTGCGGTGGCAGTCCCCTTCTGTCTCGCTAATTCAGCCCTTGACGCGTCCTCAGAGGTTGATCCGTGTGACATGTACTTGGAGACGTTGAACCTGCTGGTGCGTGAGAGATTCTTGATCTGTAGAAATTGCTGCTTGATCCAGATGAAACAAATTCACATCATGAGTCAGAATAATATTCTTATTCGCTATAAGAAAGTGTGTATATATAAGAATATTAAGCGTCTTCCTTGGCAGGAACTGCGCACCTAGCCAAGAAGGGAACTGGAAGTGGAAGTCCCCTTCTTGGCTAGGTGTGCATCTTCGAAGATTTTCGGTATGAACTACAAGAAAGACTCCTCGGCTCGACGAAGATGATGTTGAGTATTTGACGAGTCCAGACCGGAAGAAGAAGGGTTCACTCTTCCAATTAGAAGGAAGCTCTGCTAGTTCTAGTTCAATAATTGGCTCAAGCCAGGAAAAGCTAAGTTTGGTTCTAGTTCTTCAAGTGCTATCACTTAAATACACCGAGTTGCAGAGCGTAACAAGCAACATCTTCGCACTCGTAGTTTCAGTATTTGATATTATAGGTATCTACTAGTATACTACATACTATTATGTATTGTATCAAAAATGGTGGTCACTGATATCGATTAGAGGGGTTGCAAAGCTCTTGCTTCACTCGTGTAAAAGTGTCGCAGTTGTGTTTTTTTACCGAGGTAAGCGAGTTCTTAAGGATTTTTCAGTCATGTAGTCTAGTGTTAAAGTTGATTGATGTTGATGCTGTGGATATTCACCTGGGGCGTCTTCGGGTAGTAGAAGTTATCATCTTCGTCAGCAACTACATCTTCCGACGAGTTAAGTACAAATCTGACTAGTGCCTTCAGCATCAACACGCATATTAATACTAAGTAGTTTCTACATCGAGTCGCTTTTTGATTTTACGGAATTCTCTCTTGTAAAAAGAGAGCAACTTCTAGAATTGCTAAAAGTGTTTGTCGTGTTGTAGCACGCGTATCATAGTAGTAGTTTGTAGTGTTTGTAGTGTCGTAGCACCTATCCTAACCTATCATATGACTATTTATCATTTGATGGATGTATGTGCACGCAGTTCGTGAATAGTTGCATCAGAGACTGAGGACGCGCGACCACTTTTATATGCGCCATTTCCATGTGACATGTGAGCTGAGTTATATACATAGTTGTGACGTTATTCTCTCGTATAAATGTAAATGATCACTCTTGAAGAAAAAGAAGAAGGACGAAAAACAAGAAGCAAGCATCATCATGCTGAATACGACGGATAAGGCTTTGGAGAAGTAGGCCTCATCTAACTGGTCTTAAGACGACACAATTTCTGACTTATAGTTTCAGACACGACAAGAATTGCAATCTCTAATATCTCGATAATCTCCATCTTACTGCTCATGAAGAAACCCAAATCAATGCGGCGAAGTCGATTCCTGTTCAACAACAACCATGACAATGGTTTGTGGAAGTAGACTGCTGCTCTTCATCTGACATATAGTAGTACTCGTGTGATCTTACAACAGGATGAATTTGAATACAAATCTTCGCAACAGGTATGAATAATCACGATACAGCGAGCAATTCCACAATGAGTCTTCATGTTCTTGAAGATGAATCCAAATGTTGGCGCATAATTCTTGCGTACTAATAAGTCATCTTCTTGATACGCCTAGGTTGATAGTGAGCATTCACCGACTTTAACCCTCTACTGCCATTTAGCAGTAGTTCAGTAGATCCGCACGCTCTCTGTTTCATCTGTCTGGTTACTTAGATGAAGAATACACATGGTCAAGTAGGTCTTGTTACTCTTAGTTGTACCACTTCTATTAATAGTCCTTGTCCTAGTTCTAGTAGTACTAGAGATCATAAAGTAGACAAAATGCAGCTTTTTGAGGATCAAGTGCGTGTCCAGGACCATGAGATTTCGCAGGTCTTTTTGGAAAAGTTCATCGAGCACGTCGAGCCAGTATTGCAGATCCGAAACAGCTTTGTCACTTTGCTGAACGACACTACAACTACGGAGGTGGAACAAAACAAGAATTCTACCTCTACGGCCACGAAGGATAACAAGGATGCTGTTGCGAACAATCCGAATACATCTTCTACTTCGGGCATCTCCTCATCATTCCTAGCCTTGCAGGAGAGATGCGAGCAGGCTTTAGTAGCTTACGAAAGACAGCTGGATAGCCTCTGCATCGAGAGAAACACGTATTTGGAACAGGTTGAGGCAACGCAGAGAAGAGACGCACTGAATGCGAGTCTTATGCCAGAGGAGAAATTATATGAGGAAGAAGCAGTACTTGATTTGTTTGTTGTCATCAATCCTCTGAGACCTCCAGGAGTATGTGAATGACTGAATGTGTATGTTGTGTCATGTGAGGATATTAGATACCTTGTTATATGTCGCTAAGCGTCAAAAGATACCTCCAGAACAGGTAAATGAATGAAATGAATGAATGAAAAATCTTCTCTGCCTCTAGATAGGATGAGGATCTACCTTCCAACTTGTTAAAAATTGTACTGGTCAACCACATCACAACTACACACCAACAGTTCCTCGCAGACATCTTTGACGAGCTCGACGATGAGTATGTGCCGAGTCCCAGCAATGCTACGAAAGAAGATGATCCTATGCAAGTAGAAGATGAAGGCGAGGACTCTTCTTCGCCAGACGCCGCACAACCTCCGACATTATTGGCATTGGCACATACGACGAAGCTGGAACTGTTGCAAAGTGAGGTACTTGTTCAGTACTGAGATTTGATGTGGCGCGGGTTTTGGTCATTGTCAGTCGTGGTTCTTTCTTCTTCTTTTTGAAAATGAGTTAAATCATCATCATTATCTTCTTAGGTCTTTTCCCGTCTGAAGGAGCGTCAAGAAAAGCAGGAAGAGGAAGCCTTCAAGCGGCATGTGGTTACAACCAAGAAGAGCCGAGAAATTTCATCTGCTGAAATCAGTAACCTAGAACGGGAACAATCCGAATGCTCTAAAATCCGGCAATCACACGACAGCAATGCCTTTTTGACGAACGAGCGGCTAGCGCACATTTTGTCCGAACTTTCGGACCTGGAAACTAGTGTCCGCAGTTTTGAGTGCTTAGAGCACGCAGCTGCCAAAACCGGTCCTCTTCTAGCAGGCCACGTGAGAAGCAATTCTAAGCCACAACTACAGCCACATCTTAATCAAAGCAATGTTGTAGTCGCCGGACGAGGTAATTATCACTACTCATCATCTAGTACAACTGACCAGCATCTTCATTTTGAGCAACAACTACATGCAGGAACTACAGGACTATCGCATCAACAAAGGATCATGTTCAACGTTGGACCGCAGCAAATGCGTCCCACATTCCAAGCACAAGCTGGGCCTGCGAATCCTAGTGGAGGTGTAACTGGAGGTCCTGGTATCACTGGAACATCATCTAGTGGAGGTCCTCAGATGAGGATCGGAGCTTCTCTGTCCAAGGCTGGCGGCTTCAACAAGATGATGCAATCGCAACCTCTAGGGCAAATGATGATGACTTCACCGTCAAGGCGTCCACAAGGCGTAAACCCACAACAAGTCGTTGCACCACCTCCACCACCCCAATACGTCCATCACCAGACCATCATGCCGGGAAACCACCCACCCGGTCCTGGTGGGAACAACTACTTCGTCCCGCAAGGGAGGTATCCACCAAATCAACAACCAACTCCTGGAGCCCCTGGCGCCCCGCCACCGGGAGCGGTTTATACTGCGTATAACGCGCCAAACCCAGGACCTCAGACCATTCAGCAACCAGCGTTTAAGGGTAATCCTTTTCAGCCACCCTTTCGGCCCACAAGTGCAGGACCTTATAGTGCGCAACCAGCGAAAGGTGCACAGCAAGGTGGAAAATATGGGAAGTATTGATGAAGCTAAAACTGGGAAATATTCTTGATGAAACTAAAACGTCCTCAAGGCTTGCTTAAGAGTTGATGTTGAGACGAGCTAGGCTTGGCAACCTCTTCTATGTTCAGTTAATAGAGTTGTTGAGAGCTACTAGGCTTAGGAGCCTCTTCTATGTTCTAAAAACCCAACGTCAGAAGTTTTGTGAATTGAATCTTGACAAAGCAAGATGAAAGGAGTCTGATGTACTAAAAACAATGCAGAAGAAGGTGCGTGATGTAGTTGGGTTCCACCTCGTCGCAAGTAAGTAATTGTAATGGTGTTCCATCTGCATCAACCTGCAAGGAATTTAACACTGTTTTTTTTTTGTGCCCAACGAAGGCGAAAGCGATCGAACTACCAAGGTCTAGGATCTTGGTTTTCCGACACTGCATCAGCGATGTTGAGACTCAATGAATCTCATGACCGATAACCACACAATAACAAAAAATGACAGGGGTGGTCCTCTATGATGATGTGGCAGTACCCTACTTTGTTCAAGAATTGCTGACCCTACTTTGAAATTATAAGCACGCTTTTTAATTCCACGTTCTGGGTGCGATGTACCTGTAGTACGGCATTCCAAGTAATATTAATATAAGTACATAATCTTCCCCAAATACAACTAACAGGAGAACAAACAGCTACAGCAACACCGAATTGCCTATGTAAAGAAGTAAGTAACCTCAAGTCCAAGTATAAAGTTTTTGAATTTTTTGTGATGACCACATTAAAATGTTGACATCTTCATCAGCCGGCTGGCGGATGAAGGTACGAATACCAGCTTCTTGGGATCATGTCCTCGGGTGGAGCATGACAACTGTTCTATGGTAGTTCGAGTTGCTGCATTTTTTTAAGAACGCCTTCTAATTACAACGCATTCATTGCTGTTTTGTTGCTCGTCAAGACGCAGATCTGACGTGGTTGTTCCGATCGTAAGCAACAGTTACGTCTTAAAGTTAGCGCCGACTTGTTCAACCAAAAGCGAGCTGTTGAACACTATAGCAAGCGACGTCTTGATAGATTGGTACTGAAACAGCGACCGCGCAGTAGAAGAAGTTTTTGCTGTTCTACAACGAGGAGAACGACTAGTACCAACACGCTTGCGCACCACTTCTGTACTCTGCCTGAATAAGCGAAACGCAGCTGCAAGACCCACACATCCTAAAAATACAACTTCCTCCACTTCCAACTAAGTACCCAAAAACAAGACTCGATCTTCTTCCCACATCAAGAAGATGCAAGGCCAACACAGGACAACAGCTCGGCTCACGCCGAGCGAAGCCACGAGGCTTGATAAGCAAATCGCCCAGGTCCTGGACATGAAGGAATTGTCAGAGGCGGAGACGAAGGTATGAATGGTTGTAGTTTGATTATCTGCTCTTCAGTAGAAGAACTAGTACAACTAGGAGCTATCTTCCAACAACGACCTCATGCCAGGCACATCAATCAATCAATCAGATGAAAGACGAGGCACTCGTCTTCCAGGAGAGTGTACGGCTGTGGTGTTTGGTATGGCCTGAATTCGATCACAAGGGTTCTCTTCTTGTTTTCCCTTATGATCCAATTCAGGCTAGACCAAATACCGGAAGCCGCGTACACAGTAGAACTAGTAGGAGGAGTGGCCATCAGATGAAAGATGCGGCACTCGTCTTCCTAGTAGTTCTAGAGAATGATCTTGAGGATCTTGATTCAACACTATAATCAACATGTTGGTGGCCAGCTCTTATCTTTTCAACCCCACTACAACTACAACATACATTGTATGATCTTTCCACAGGAGGAAAGTAACAATTTATTGTCTCAACATCAATTTATCATCTCTCCACAGGAACTAACAATAAGAACAAGGGAGATTCTAGCGGAGGAATCGAACGTTGCAATAGTAAAATGTCCAGTGACAGTTTGCGGCGATCTGCACGGGCAATTCATAGATTTGAAGGTATCTTTAGATTTCAAGTATCATCGATTTTTAAGTATATCAAAAGTACGAAGAACCTTTAATCGAAACGTCCAAAAGAACCTTTAAACGAGACTCCTCATCCAACGATACTACAACAGGAACTATTCACAATAGTCGGATCGCCACCAGAGACGAACCTGCTGTTTTTAGGGGATTACGTAGACCGCGGTTACTACTCAGTGCTCACGGTGACGCTCATGTTTCTTTACAAGCTCAGGTAGTACTACGTTGCGTTTTTGCTCATTATTTTTTGGTCCTAGAAGAATGAATCAGATTCATTATTGTCCTCGAGCCATCTTTCTAGTCCTTCTAGTTCTACAACTTCTACGGAGCAGGATGATACAACAAAAACGGCAATGAATTGTGAAAACAGTTGTCGAATGTTGTTTCGTCCCATTTTCAACAACCGGTTAGTTTTACCTCTAGAGACTTAGCCCTTCCAACAATACAATATTCTCTAAGGTATAGAGACATGGTATGCATAATTCGAGGAAACCACGAGTCAAGGCAAGTTACACAAGTCTACGGCTTTTTTGACGAATGCGTGCGAACCTACGGAAGCTCGGAGATATGGAGGTCATATGTTAGAAGTTTGGAATCACGCAGCTTTCTTGGGTTGTCACGTGGTTCGCAAATGAATGAATGAATATATAATATGGGACTCTTCATCTTTACTTCTCCTTTCAAATTACCTATCCTCATTTAATACAACTCCTTACAGGTGTTTTACCGACGCTTTCGACGCATTGCCGCTTACTGCCCTTATCGAGGACCAGATTCTGTGTCAGCACGGCGGATTGTCACCAAGTACTTTCTTTTTAGCAAGTTGCAGTCCACAACTACCTCACTACAGCTTGTTGTTTTACATTATTCAATGTTGTCAAAAGCTACCTCCCGAACAGGTATGGTCATGGTCATGCACTTCAGGTTCGACCCTTACTGGCCTTTTTTGAAGCAAAACTTACACAGGTAAATGATTCAATCAATCAATCAATCACCTCCATTAAAGAACATTCCATTATCTTCAGGTATCGACACGCTGGACAACATTCGTGAATTAGAACGCATGGTAGAGGTTCCGCATGAAGGCCCAATGTGCGACATTCTATGGTCCGACCCAGATGAGCGATGTGGCTGGGGAATATCCCCACGCGGAGCAGGATATACATTTGGCCAAGATGTTAGCGAAACGTACTCCTACTTCATAATCATATCCGAGCTTTTTCATGTAGTAGCATTAGAAGTACTTTATTTACTGACTCACCTCTACGCTATCGTCGAGGATAGCTTATGTTGAAATGATCTTACTATTACTTTGTGTGATCATCACAACGACCCTCGTGCACGACCAGCGAGTCCCTCTCTTTCTAAGTAGAATTCTATTATGAGGAAGCTGGAAGCACTAGCACCTCTATAACGTTAGAATGACGTGAGACGAGGCACCGTGACATGATATGACTTCTTTCACCCAGTAGGAACTAAAAACCTCCTCCTCTGACTTCTTTCACCCAGCAGTTGGAACTAAAAACCTCCTCCTCCTCCTCCTCCTCCTCCAATGTGGCTGTAAATCAAAACAACAGATTTAACCACACCAATGGATTGAAACTGATTGGACGAGCCCATCAATTGGTGATGGAGGGGTACACATGGAGTCACGAAAGGAATGTTGTCACGATTTTTTCAGCACCAAATTACTGCTATCGATGTGGTACGAGCTTACTTCTTTATTCTTCGTGTGCTGAGTTTACTTACTCTATGGGACACTTATACATAGCTACGCAAGAGCTCGTACCATGACATGATCTAGTAGACGAGAACGGTCGACATATTTTTTTAACAACATCAGTTCTCGACGTTCTCGTTCTCCTGCTGCTTATTTTTGAGCAATTACATCTTACTTCAAACGAAAGATTCGAGACTAAACACATTCATTCTTGTCCTCCCTCTCTAATATCACAGGTAACCAAGCAGCAGTGATGGAGATAGATGAACATTTGAAGTATACGCTGCTGCAATTTGACGCTGCGCCAAGGGAGCTCGTAGATGGCGCACCCGAAGCCATTCCCCCTCCAAAGAGGGTGCCAGATTATTTCATCTAAAGTACGTGATATGTTGTTTTTATCCTCCCAAGGGATTCATCTCTCGTCCCACCTGAGCAGGGCGGAGCGAGACGACGAGGAATACAAACGCATTGTCCTGCTCCGCATACTCATCCCCAGCGGCAGGATAATGTCGACAAAAACACTGCTTAACAACCACTTAGATTTCTCAATTTCTTCTTCAACTCGTCAACATGTTAATATTCTCGATTTATATTCATCTAGTAGAATCTTCAGCTTCTTCGATAAAAACAAGTCTTATTTTCATCAATAACCAGTGATCTTCAGTCTTTTTATCGTAGTCTACTTCGTTTAACTCTTCGTTTCGCAATGCATCATGGTGATGTCAGCTACTGCTACATCGTCACTTTGAGGAAGAATGCGGCGTAGCGCGCCGCGGCGCCGCTCGTAGCTGCCTGTTTTTATGAAGAAAAAATTAAGGTTATTGCTAATCTAGTCGAGAACACGAAAGTTGAAACGAAACACCGTAGGAATTAGTACTAAAGGCGATTAACAGACTCAGTCTCAGACTGGATGAAAGTAGGCTACGACAATAGCAACTGATGAACTAGCCGCGGTTGTTTCATAGTCCTCAAATTTCTTCTTCTACGTAGCTGCAGGTAAATACAAAAGGAGCTAATTCATGTTAATGCACTTGGCCAGAAGGCACCAGGCGCGTTTCATCAAGATCTAGATCAACCAGAGAACAAAACAAAAAAGAGCCCTGCTTCTGAAGACTTCGAACCCACGCCCACCACAACCTTAAAATTCAAAAATTTTCCTCGTCCCCATGCCAGACTGGTGGAGAAAAGAACTACTCCAGCTCAGTTGTACTAATACAAGAATTATCTTGCTTGTTTAAATCTTGAAGATTATGTGAAGATTCTTGACCACGTGTAAATATTTTGAGAACATCAACAATTTTAGTTGAGAAAAAAAGAACGAGAAGCAGTTTCAGTTTCGCCAAGGCTGGAGTCCTTGCCTCGCGCTTACCTAGCTCGTCGGCAGAAGTCGATCACCGTCTGTGTTCATCATCTTCATTCTTGCTACCATGACTGATTCAATTGTGGGACGAGTGATTCGTGATCATTAGACTTTCTGTAGTAAAAGGATCTTGATAGTTCTCAAAATCAATCCTCTTAGTTGTACTACTTCTCTGAGAAAGATCTTGAAGTTCGAAAGTTTTCTCTCGCTTCCATCCATCTGTAACGAGAGTGTTCTAGATCTGAAGAGTCTGTCCATCTGTAACGAGAGTGTTCTAGATCTGAAGAGTCTGTTCCATCTGTAACGCGAGTGTTCTAGATCTGAAGAGTCTGTCCATCTGTAACGAGAGTGTTCTAGATCTGAAGAGTCTGTTCCATCTTGTGGTCAATGTGATCTTGCAATTATACCTATGCCTTCACCTCATCGTGCCCTTCATTCTCCGACCACGGCAGCGCTTCTTCCCCTCTTCGATTCTCCCTGTTCCTGTTTGCGGCTTTGGCTATTATTAATGCATTCATCAAAGTCAATAAAAACCCCGTCGTCGTCTAAGCAATACTAAGGACGCAATTTGTTGCCGTACATGTACTTATACATCTACTTCAGACCACTAAGTAGAATATTAAAAATAATTCGCAACTCCTGGTAATAGGACGACACATTCGCATAATATTGCCATCTTCATCGACAGTAGCATAAAGCATCAACACCTACATCGTCCTTCATCGTTCAACATCATCACTACACGACCACAAAAATGTCTGCCGTCGAAGCACCCGCGGGTGAGGAGAAGGCCAAGCCCAAGATCAAAACGATGGGTCCTTTGGAAACAGATAGATTTCTTCCCATGGTCAATACATACTTGGAGAACGATTTCGCGGATGCACTTTATGACTGGTTTACTCTTCGTCTCCAATAGCTAGCTGCTTAAACATTTTTCCAAGTACATACAAGCAAGCTCAACGTCAGTTGATTCTTCGACCACGTAAACTCGTCAACTTGTTCTTCTTCTCTATAATTCAAATCTACATACATTTGCTACTTTTGCTGCTAAAAAGCAAGATACATTACTGTTCTAGTTCATTGTAAAATCATCGCGATCGCCTAGCTCACGACCCTAAAAACTTACTACTCCCTTCTTGCTCCTCTTCCACAGTCCACAGTCCACTTTCTTCATACCTGAGCCAACTTCGCCGAGCAGTACTGCCGAGAGTTCCGAAAGCTGACGAATGAGCAGATTGCTACCATGAACTTCGAGACGCACAAACATCGCTACCACGACTTGTGGCATGTGTATGTGCGGTCAATTGAAAAAAGTCTAGCCGACTTTTGTCATTCTAGACGAATCAAGGAAGAGGAACTGGAAATGACGATCAAGCAATACGAGGACTTGGAATCAGACGGCGAAGAAGCCGAAAATGGAGGTATTCATTATCTGTGTGAACAAGAATACTTGTCCTCTTGGTCTTCAAGGTATAATTCTTGAACAATACTTGTCTTGGTCTTCATTATCTGCTGCACAAGGAAGATTATTCTTGAATACTTGTCTTCAAGGTAGAATTCTTGAACAATACTTGCGGTCTTCATTATCTGCACGACCTCCAGGAAGATATTTTTACAGAACGAGGACTTGAAGACTTGTTGCGCTTGTTCCACCTCGTTTTAAGTACTTAATCGTACAGAAGAACTTCGAAAATGTTGAATGGTCCTTGTCTTCTCGTACATTTTTTTACAGTTCAAAATTCGTAGATGCTGCAGCTCAGTTGTCACCACTATTTGCTTCGAAATTCTTCGACCACCACGAGGACTTCTATCACCACTACATCAACGAACCCCTTCTAGGTAAGGGAGCAATCGATAGAGAATGCAAGCGACTCCTAAGAGGTTTCATTGCAACAACAGAGTATCAAAGCTTCATGGAATTTATGGTCTCTTACGTTGGGGAAATAGACGAATCCGATGGTTCAGGAAATGAGGAGGAAGTTTGTTGAATGGCTCCTACTGCAACTTGTACTTGGACGTGCTGTAAAAAGTTGCATAAGCATATTACTACCTGAGTAAATCCTCCTTCAGACGAGCAGGCACATCAGGTAGTGGGAAAGCACCATATTGACATCGCATTCGCCGTACAACATACACGACGCACACTACTTGTTCATACCATGCTTTACAAAGCAAAAATGGTAATTCCGAGGATCCCAGACACAATGAACCTCTTCACTTCTGTGACCACAACAAGGAGATGACACCACCCCCCCACATGAACCTGAATGTTCAACTACAATTACTGCTCCCTTCCCAAAAAGTGACGCTTGATAATAATAAGTAACATCTTTCGCGCGCGTGCTAGAAATAATGGATCTGTCGTGTGTACCGCCCTCGTGCCTGTAGGTTCATGAATATTGCGAGCTCGAGTCCGACACGCTTATCATGATGTGCTCTGCTCCTCGCACCGGAGAGCGAACAAAAACTACTAGATATGGAGGTTGGTCTCTGTTTCTCGTGTTTCTGATATCTCGAAACATCTGATCGCTTTGTTCAGTCGTGGTCGTGTAGTGCTTGTCGACTCAATCATCGGTATCTATAGATAGGAGAGCTCTCGACGAAAAGAAACAAAATGACTTCCATCCTCTAAGTGCTCCTGCGCGAGCGTCTGTCTCGGTTTGCCGGTGTGAGAGAACACTCTGTGAATCTGTCTCCTGTCCCCCTTCTCTCCTAAAAAGACATGCAACAACTACGGGTAATATTTCAAATGCACAAAATTGCAATTGCGCTCGATGTTGAACCACAATTATTATAGGTTCAGGAGCCTTTTTTTTTGGAGACGTATACTATTAAGTTGGAGGACGACGTCGCATCTTTAAACCATTCAGCATAAGTCGACGTCTCCTGCTATTTATTGATTTTTATGACACTGGACGGAGAGGCAAAGCGTGCTCGTGCGGCTCATTCGACAAAAAACTTAAACTTTTTACATGAACATCCATGAAGAAATGAACAACGGTTGGTCGTCGGCTTCAGTACAACATGCCCCTCATCTTCTCGTCTGCGTTTTTGGGTAACGCAAACCTGTTGCTACCGGGATCGGCTTCCTTTTGAAGATTGTATAACGAAGCGACGTACTACGGTAGTGAGAATTTTAATAGCGACCACGGGCATTTTCTAGTGCAGGTGGAGATCATGCTCCTGATACAGCTGCAAGGCCAACATAGTGCTGTTCAACTCGGCGGCACGAGAGAACATGTTGTAATGGTCCTTTCTTGGCGAACCTCGCTTCTACAAATAACCGAACAAGCAGCAAGACGAGGACAACTACGAGGATAGGAGAAGTGAACAGCACATAACGACTGTTATAACAGTAGTCATCCACGCCATAACGATTATAACACTTCTCAACACACAAAGATGTTTGCAGAAGGCGCTAGCTTCAACGATTTTCGGATCGTTCAGGAGTTAGGGCGTGGCAGTTTTGGAACCGTTTATAAAGCCAAATGGAAGAGCAGCACAGAAGGACTCACTGGCTCCGAACCGCAATTTTTGGTCTTGAAAAGGATAGACTTTAAGCCATGGCATCAGGAGAAACACAGACAGGCTGCGAAGAAAGAGGTACAACGACGACAGATCATACTACAGAATTATGAAAACAACTTTTAGAATATAGTACAGAATGAAAACAACTCTTAGGAATAGGATGGCTCTTCACACCCGTCGTGCTTGATGACTTCTTTGTTCCACTCAGAAACTTTCATACCAAGTATCGTACTAAGGATCTCCATGATCCTTAGTTGTACACATCGACATCCCCGGCATACAACATACTAGGTCCAAATGCTAGCCAAAGTTCGTCATCCCAATGTGATTCGCTATTTTGGGAGTTTTACGTACAAAACGAGCTTCTTCATCTGTATGGAGTATGCGTCTAAAGGCGATATGCACCAATTTATCCAGAAGAGACAGAGAAGGCAAGCCTATTTGGCAGAGGAGTTGTTGTGGCGGTTTGCGGAGCAGCTTGTGAGCGCGATTGCGTATTCAAAGTTTTCACCTCCTCATTTCTTGATGTGCATGTTGTTACACATCAGCAAGAGCGACATCATCAACGAGAAAGATGCTAAGTTAATGACTTCAGTGGTGTCATTGTTAGAGTTCGATGAGTGGAGTCGTGCCATATTTGGGCGCGCTCCTATTGTCTCAAGTCTCTCCACTTCCTTGGTTATTCTTATGCTTGTCGACGTTTCTCGTTCTCGTTAAAAAGGCGAGCAGGGTACTCTTATCACTCGGACAGAGATGACTGCCTTTCTTGTCGCCACACAACCTAGAAAATCATCTGCCGCCATCTCTATGATCTCTGTCACAGACATCACCAACCACTCCACAATCGAAAGAAACCACTATCAGGCACCTTCACTCGCATAGCATCATTCATCGAGACTTGAAGCCCTTAAACGTCTTCCTTGCGGAAAACGACACGGTGAAAGTTGGAGATCTTGGCGTCTCGAAGCTCGCAGAAGAATTCGACCAGAATCACACTCGTGTAGGCACACCATTGTACCTGGCGCCGGAGCAGATAAAACATCAAGGGTATTTTTTGCTGGACTACATCTAGACTTCATGCACTACAGGGCTAGTAGTCTCCTTCTCTTCCAATTAATGTTGATTGGTGATTCGTGGAGGTCCTCTTAGGTTGATGAGAGCTTGGAAACCTGAGAGCTTGGTGGAAATGGAAAAGATCATCTTCACTCACTCCTCTCCACGACGAACAGGTATGATTTCAAAGTGGATATTTGGGCTCTTGGCTGCCTTCTGTACCTTCTCACCGCTCTCGAGCCTCCCTTTCTTATGAACAAACGGACACGCTTGTGGAGCAGGAGGTCAAAATTTAGGGAAAACTTATTAGGGGGCCATATTGTGGCTCGTCCCTAATTTTCCCTAATTTTCCCTATGTGGGAGGTTTAAGCGTGTCCGTTTGTTTCTAACTTTCATGGGCAGAATTTGATACAACTTGGCAACGACATCGTGAGACGCAATCCACGATCGTTGTCTCAGTCGTATTCGCAAGAATGGAGGACTTTGGTTTCGCAACTGTTGACAAAAAGAGCTCCAGATAGGCCAGACATTTTCACGGTTGAGGCAACATTTCAAGCGAGTATTGCAGCAGTCGTGATGGCGGCAAGAGGTGGTGCTCAGAATAACTTTGGACATCAACAAGAGGAGGGTAAGAACGATGTCACCCCCACTTCTGGCGCAGGTACTAGGGATGGGAGAGAAAGACGTGGCTCTTCAAGGACGCCGAAAAGGAACAGTTTCGATGCATTTGGGAACCCTCCTGGAGGTAGTGCTTACAACTTCTGAATAGTGAATGCCAAAAATACACTCTCTCACTCTCAGTGGTCTCAATTTCAAAAAAATAATTCTCTACTCAGCTGCCACCTTATAGTAAATTGAAGATGAATCTTCTGTAGGCGAATGATTTCTTCAGACTCATGATCATGGGTGCTAAGTCTACTTCTAGTACATCATTGAGCAAGTGGAAATGCTACTCGACGACGCCCCATTGAAAGTCTACACCAACTACATCCACGCAGATCCCGGGATCGCCTTACAACCTGGCGGTGCACCTCCAGCGCCTACCGATCTCCCCGATTTTCGTGGGGGCGGTAAGATTCGTCCTATGTCAGCTGGTGGCCCTAGGAGAGTTCTTGGAGTTCCTGACAATTCTACAGCACCTATGATGCATGCTGGCAATCTTGTTCACAAAAATGGAAATGGAGATAGGGTGCACAACTACAGCAGACCTGCAAGTGCCGTCGCTGCTATTGCTGGAAGAAGTAGCTCTAGGCGAAGAGCAAGCGCTGCAGCTTCATCTTCTAGAACAAGTTGTAGGAAGAACAATTCTCAAGAAGAGATGGACCACGAGGAGAGTTGTAGAGATCAACATGATCCTCGGGAAGTCCTTGTAGGAAGATCTCCATCATCTAATGATCCACGTTCTAGCAGGAAAAATAGCCGTAGTAGGTCAGGCGGTACAATCAGACCTGCGACTGCGGGTGCTCGAGTAGAAGTTTATTCCGGTGCCGGTGGAGCTGGCCAAATTCATCCGGCCAATGGGGTGACTGTGTCAACGGTTTGGTTAAGGGTAGGCAGCTAAAGGTGCTTTTGTTACCGAAGTTTGTTATGCCTCTCGCCCTTAGGTGGGGACAGCCATAACAAACGGGATAAACGAACACCAAAAACCTCCCTCTAATTTGGAAACAGCAAGGGCAACATGCTCCTCTTCAAGATATTAATGCTAAAAATCTGCTACTAGATGTAAACCAAGAAAGTTCTGCGGTATCGAGGTCCTCCTCCAACAGCCACGCAAATAAGAAGCGACCAAGCAGCAGTGGCGGAATCCTTGTAGTTGGCGGATCGTCTTCGTCAACCGCTCCACCTACAACTGCAGCAGCAGCAGCAGCAGCAGCTGTTGTGCAACAACCTGAACGAGGACCAGAAGATGACCACGATGAGCATCAGGAACATCTCTACGATGAAGGCAACCACGGACCGAGAGGTGGTGTGACTTGGATGAAGCAAAAGAACGAGAGCAAAGATGCTCGCGGAGGAGGAGTTCAACTACAACAACTACTAGACAGTAGCTCTACCAAGAACATCACGAAGAATAGGAGAGCAGGAGAACAAGTCGTCCGACCTGTAAGTGCACCATCAATACGCAGAAATCTGAATCCGGGTGACGGGCTGCATCGTGAGGAGCATCCTCAGTATGCAGCTGTGATGAGACGTGCAAATCCTGGAGGAAGCAGGAGGCATAGACATGATCAGCATCTTAGGAGCGAGCAAGAGGAGCATAAGAACTATGGGAGAGAAGAGGGCGAGGATAGAGTTGTAGACCATGGGTATAATTATACTAGCTACGATCATGATGTTGCTGTTGACCCTGCTGACCGTGCAGGAGGACAGACGTCGTCGAGAAGTCCTCAAGAAAAGCATCATAATATTGAGGATGACGATGAACTTCATCAAGCAGAAAACGAAATTAGAGGACCTTCACGAAGTCGGAGAGTAGACAGTAGAGACAGAGACACTCGTGGATCCGGAGCTACCTATTCACGAAGAATTTCTGCTCCCACACCAAGAAGCCCACTTTGCAGTACCCTAGATGCAGAAGTGGACAATTACATCATCGAGGACGATGATATCGAAGATACGCTAAGACCACCACATGAAAATGTGGTTTTGGTTAGTTATGACAGGGACTTTGGGGTTTAGATAGCGTTGCAATAATGTGAGGAATATTCACCTCCTTCATGTTCATCGAATAGGGTAGTTTATTCTTCTCTGTACAACGAACTAGGCTTCTTCTCCCACTCGTTCTAACCTGCTACACAGCCACAGAAGACAGCAGGTGGACTTAGGCGACCCTCACGAGCTGGATTCAGAAGTCGGGGAACAGAGGTTGCACCAGCAGTTGATGAAGATGAGGACCAACTGCAGCAGCAGGATCGCAATGATCTGCAGCAGCAGCACGATCACAATGATCTTCATGGACACCAGCATTATTCCACTACATCTTCTGCTCGAAACCACTCTACCTCCACCTCGAAACAGAGAAATGCTTTCAGTATCAGTGCAAGACCTCCTGGATACAGCTCTGATCATCATGCTCAGCAAGGACAGCACTATCCGACGTCGAATCCAGCAGACACTGTCGTGTTCAGAAGTCGCCCTCCTCCTTTAACTTCGCAGCTACATCAAAATGCACAGATCCGAACAAGCATTTTCACGAGGCCAGGAAGCGCGAAAGTGCCGTCTAGTGCTGTTGTTGTACTTGGCAGTAGTTCTTCTATCGCAGGGGGAGGAGCAGCAGCCGCACACCAGCATCAGAGTGCGCCTCTGAGATCAACAGAAACAACACCGAAAAAACAACAGCACCACCTAGTAGGAGGAGGCGGTGACTCACTAGTACAATCAACACAGCAACAACCTCCACCTTCTTCTGCAACATCTTTATCACAGCAACAGCGAATGAAGCAGAAAATAGTGGGAACAAGCGGGGGAGGTGGTTTTCGAGGGACGATCATGGTAGACTCAGACTCGTTAATGCAGAGCGCGAGTACAACGGCAACAACCGTAGGGACAGTAGGGACCTCAACAACTACTGCAGCAGCAGCGTCTCTAGCAACTGGTGGCAATCATCTTTTTTATCCACAACCACCTCAGCATAGCTCTGGAGCTGAGATGTATAGTACATCAAGATCAACGAGTGGTGCAAGAGTTGTAGAACAATGCCAAAATATTAAAGGACCAGGTGGAGCTGCAAATCCGCCAAGACGACGGGCGCCAGCAGCTGCTTGTGCTGAAGTCAACATAGCTGGTGACGACGAGTTATTTATCGTCGAGGACTTGGATCTGACCGAGAACCCCATAGACTTCATAACATCTTCTCAAGCACCTGGATCAGGTTCAGGTGGTCAACATCCTGGAGGTAGAAACAGTGTTTCCGTTACTAGTCCTAACCAAAAGCAACATGTGCGTTCTTCTATCTCTAGTGCTAGCAGCCATTCGGGAGTTCTTGTACAACTTCCGACATCATCTTCCAGCACCTCGTGTGCTCCTACTCGTACTCCCTATGGTGCACCGAGTGGCATCGGAGGCGCCTCTGCCTCCTCGTCCTCTCAGAACTACAATCGGCGAGCTTATATGCGGTATCCACTGAGGCCTTGGACTCCACCACCTGGGTCGGCATTAGCAACACCAACTGCGTCGAAGCAAATGGGGATGAAGCAACCACCTTCTTCTACTGCCACGTTTGGAAGTAGTAGGGGTGCTGTAGTACGTGCGGGGGCCCCGACTCCTTCTTCTAGAAGTACAAATCAGCACAACGAGCAGGAGGAGCGTCCTCGTGAGCATCATGAAACAAGTAAACAGGAAAATACAACTACATCAAGTACCAGCAAGACTCCGAAAGCGACGTCCTCCGCTACTTCTTTGAACAACAAGTCAGCTGCGAAACTCGCGGAACAAATTCGTGGGCAGCTCGTTCAACAGCACCAGCAGATGGAAGCTATCCAGCAACAACATCGTCGGCCATGGTCCTCCTCCTCAACGGTTTCGTCAAATTCTAAGAGCCATTCTTCAATGAACAGCAATTTGAACAACAAGGTCGTTCCCGTCTCTGGAGGCATCTTTAGAGTGGAGACAATAGGAGTAGGAGAAGATGGAAATGCCTGCTTTTCTGGTATCCCTAGGCCATCGACGTCGCGAGGAGGAGGGAAAGCTAGATTGAGTATTCATGATCTGTGAGATGATGAAGATTGTTGTACTACAACGTTACAACAATAGTTGTAGAACGGGCCATACCCATAGTTGTAGAAGAAATACTTTTTCATCACAAATAAATCTTTTGCAAGAACATGATAACGCAAATGCACTTGCTCAACTAGTTGTTGTACGATAAGATAAACAAGTCCTTCTTCTCGACGTAAACGAAAACCTCTAACGCAGATAAAATTATCAACGTCAAATAAAATGCACAGCCTGATCATGAAGGTGCCAATTTTTCTAGTCCTGAATGTGCTTTTTTTAGTCTCGACACCTGCAGTCGGAAACACAATAAGGCAAAAAATCAATACGGTCAACAAGAATCACGAATCAACAAAAGTCTACTTTTAGTCCATTTTCACAGAGCTAGTAGAATTTCTTGTAATATTTTTCCGTTAATATTACTGCTCCACCACAGACGCAGAGGCTGTCCTGAACAGAATTGAACAGAACAGGAAACTTTCATCTTTGAGGGCTTGCATTTTTTTCGTGATTTTTGAGCTCAACGCGAAGAAGAGTGAATTTGAATCCAACACCATCAGCAGAAATGCCTGTGCTAGCTACGACCACGGTCTGTCTCATTTCTCAAGAAGAATACAGTCATTTTTTCTTTCGCCAAATTCACGCAACCACCCAAGTTCATCTATGAAAAACAACTTCCTAGTACATCAAGAACAGCGTCAACTACTGCATTGCGAAACATCAGTAGACTGTGTTGAAAACGTGCAAGGCGCCGGTCGCATTGATCTGAATGATTTACCTCCAGTCTCCGTATTGAAAGAAGCCAGAAGTCAGTGTGGTCTGTCGTGTCTCCAAGAATTTCTGATTTTTCTCAGCAGGAACAACAAGAGGTGGCGGTTCATCCAGATGATCATGATCATGATCTAGAAAGTCATTCTTGTAGAAGTGAGTTCTTAGTGGTCTACTTAGTTGTATCTTAGTTCATCTTATCGATGATTCTCACCTCTACCTCACGACCACCTTAAAGGATCAAGAACAGAGAGGACCACAAATAAGATGGACGACGATTTCCTCAAATCATTGACCTCTGCTTTCGTGGATGGGCATGAACCACCTTCATCCAGTAAAAAACCCGAACTACTACCAGCCTCAGCGGCCACTGAGCAGAAGCAGGTACTTCTCAGGAGTAGGGAGGAAGTGGAACGAGCGAAGAATACCCATGCTGTAGAAGCCAATGGAGGTGCTGGTGTTTCTGTTGTGCCAGCATCTAGTGGTATGGTCCTCCCTGTTGTAGTTGCTGCTGCACCTCCTGGGGAAACAGGATCGGCGACAGACGTAGCGTCGCTGGCAGGAACTGAGCAACAAGATGTGGAAATGAAGGATGTTGCCAGTGCAGCAGCTGCAACTGCAACATCTTCTTCTGTCGTTCCTCCTATAGGAGGAGCAACTACATCAGATGCACCAGCAGCAACATCTACCACATCTTCTTCTACTACAATGGCTGCTCGTCCAGTAGCGACGACAATGGCAGTTCCAGTTGTAGGCACCCCTTCTCCAGAGGCAGAGGAGGTTGAAAAAAGCATAGCAGGAGCTGTGGAAGACCCGAAGCAAGAGGATCCTGTTAAAGCCTTCGCAAGAGACCGATTCTCACGCTCCTATGGGGTCTTCATCATTCAGCGGGCTTGCAAGAGCTGTAGTAGTTCATCTAGTAGTTCGATTAAGGCTTCCACACGTGAAGATTCATCCTGAATAAAGGCATCTTTAGCACGTTTTCAAAGGGGATGAAAAATAGAGTGGTCAAAGAAGCACTTCAGGATGAATAAGTATTTGGAATAATGTCTAACTCTAGTCGTGGCGCAGGAGGCCCAGCGGGCAACTTTCCCTCTTCCGAGGTGCCACAGCGAGTGATGATAACCGCATGTCACATATTTCAGACGTACTTCTGTTATTGTGCATTTGACGACCACGACATCAGATATGCAGCCTTGGCTTGCATCAATATGGCCAATAAAGCGGAGGAAAATCGGCTCTGCACGTTGAGGAGTTTAGTGACGACAAATCTGCACTGGGTTTTTGCAGCTGCACCAAATACGAATACAAATACATCTTCAACTGCTGACCAGATGAACATGACAGAACCGAACCAAGATGCTCCCTTGAACCTACCAGCAGTAGCGACAGTGGTGAAGCGTGTAGTCAGGATCGAAAAGCGGATGATGCGAGTCTTGGGTTTCGAGCTGAACGAATTCTGCAGTTTTGCGGAAGGTCACTGCCACAACATTCTTTATGCTTGGGGCAGTGAGTTAGCGAGCAGTGGTCCTCTCTCACCATCACCAGAACTACAAAACCAAGACAAGGACATGAAGAATCTTCAAAAGCTTGTGATGCGGATACTCCACAAAAGCATCGGATATGCCAACGATAGCTTGCGAACTACACTATGCTGTCGACAGGATAGCCACATCATCGCAGCCGCTTGCTGGAACCTGGCGTGTAGAGAAGAAAGGTGTAAAGACATGATCCCTAGCACTCTTGCGGAGAGTGACCAAACAACAGAGGGCAGCCTCTTCCTGCAAAAACAACAAGTTTTGAGGGCTATGCGAGAGATCCAAGCACTTTATACAAGCACAACAGGAGGTATCGATGATGCTGCTCTGGCTGGAGAAACTTCTACGGCATTTGTACCTTATCAAAACCTACCAGCTAGCCCTGAAACTACTGATGATGAACAACAAGAACCAGCACTTGATGCTCAGGTGACAAAGTTGTAGGACATGCTCACCCATACCCGCCTTGACCCTCTATTCGTACCGTCTTCAAACATCATTTTATAAATCTGCTGTCGTCTGGCTCGATGTCGATATCCTCGTTGTGAAACAATACAAAAAAGGCACCACAAGTATTGCCTCTCGTGTGTTTACCGAGGAAGAGGAAGTTGTTCTTCGTACGATCAAACCTGTCATGGTCATCCAGAGGATCAACACAGTACTTGTACAAGTGTGCTGATGACGACCACGATGCAATCGAATTCATGTTGAAAATTGTTGAGACCGACGAGTGCAGCGTCTGAGGATCTGAAGAAAACGACATCGAATTCAGTGGTTGTACTTAGATTACTTATATGGTAGAAAGAGTCTAGATATTCTTGGTGGAAGTCAGAAGAAAAAGGATGGACCTCTCTGTCTCAATTTTGAATTATGTGGCGACGATCATATTAAAAGTGACCTTCTCTACAACTATTTTTGAAAAATCATGTATGATCTACAAAGTTTTGATGTAGTTGAAGATACTAAAACTTAGTTATAACACCTTCCTTGATTTGGACGTGGAGATACTCAAAAGTCTTTTATCTCTGGAATTTTCAAATTCAAATCTTGAATTCTCGAAAAAATGTGTTTTTATCAACTTTTAATTCAAATTCAAATCCTGATAGTCGTTTTAGCATTCAAATTCAAAAATCAAAAATTAGACGAAAAATACTCATCATGTTTTCAAGAACGAGCATACCTTATTCCACTCTCAATCATTCCACTGCTACAGAGAACGTATTGCCCGCTGTGATAGAATATAGTACCGTTCTCTTCCTGTACCTTTAGCTTATTTTGGTATTTTTGAAGTAAAACGGAACCATCGTTGTATCCTTTGATGCAGTGCTGTAACTATCACCACCTAGTACAAGGAAAAAATGGAGTCAACAACTAAAATGTAGTAACGAGCATCGTCCTCGCGGCCGACACAGAAATTGGAAGCTTCTTAGCTGCTTCCTGCAGTGGTCAAATTGTTCAAGGCTTGAAGAGCGTTGATGACCACGACCAGCACAATTTGGAGCTACATCGAGGCCGATGATAAACGGCAGAAAGAAGCCAACCTCGCTGGTGTTTGGATTGCCACCATCGCGGTCCAAAGAACAAGATGGTGCTGCTGCTGGACCACCTGGAATCCATGACGAACCAGGACGTCGAGTTGGGTCGACTGCCGCCCAACACGATGGCTTGGTATCGATTCAGCATCGAGCGGAGGTTCTCCGGCAAAAGCGGCAACAAGCTCTATTGGATGACGACATGCGACTACGACAACTACGGGCAGAAGAGATCCGACTTGAAGTGGGTGGAGTAGATGATGGCGGGTATGGGTTCTTTATTCCGCAAGATCCATATAATAAAAATGCGGCTCCTGGTGTGTCAAGAGGAAAAGGAGATAGAGGAGAAGCATCGAATACGAAAAGGTGGAATGGAGCAGGATATCTTCAACCTCAAGGAACACTCAACGGCGTAAATGTCGTGGACCACGAAGATGAACTCTTAATGTCCTCCTCTGGTCTCGATGAAGATGACGACGACGACGACTGCTTGATTCGAGACGAGATTGAGGATTCTTTTTCATACCGTCAATTGCCTAGTCATGGTGCTTTTGAACAGCAACAGACGAAGACCTTTCGGTCACCAGATAGTGGTGGAAGACTGAGGCCTTTTCGTATACCATTCTCTGCAACAGACAGTTGCAATGACACGTCTATGGTGGCACCGCAACCGGGACCACATCAGCAACCACCAGGACAGGAACAAGATGTTGGTCGTCGTGCTAGTAACGCCTTCGCTCCTATTTCGCGTGGTGGAGGAGGAACCAGATCAAGTCTCTTGATCGAACAACCAAACGATCCCCAAGAACAATCCTCAACATCGTCTTCAAGTAGTAACGCCTTTCCCACTACGAGCACACGATCTCCAATATCTTTCTCAGCCCGACGACAACAAGAACAACAGCCTTTTCCCAACACGAGGACTAACCACCACCGAGACCTAGCGACAACACCCAACGGGAAGCAGGAGATGGGCTATCAACATGACCCCCCAACACCCTCTAGTCCCTCCCGACCAGGATCCAAGAAGCCCAATCACGTCGTCAGACAGCTAATTGGCTTCGAGAAGCTCAGAAATTTGGTCGAAGAACGCGCACGGCATGTTAAGAGGAAGACCGCTGCAGCAGTGACCTTGGAAGGAGCTCTTTTTCTCAATGCACATTCGAAAGCGATGAATGGCTTGACATCATCTTCCAGTTCTCCTAGTTGTAGTAGAGGTGGAACATCTTCAGGGACTAGAATTAAGGCTAGCAGAAATCCATCTTAGCCGGCATCTTCGGCTCGTTTTCTAAGGGGAAACGGGCACCAAGATGCTCCACAGGATGGATTTCTTCTAGCTCTAATAGAAGAAGTGCTGTTGATGTCTTCTACTCGAACCTGGAGAAAGAAGCCGCACAGTATGGGAAAGCTGCTCAGTGTGAAACCGAGCGCGTATTTCAAGAAGCCTTTGCGGAAATAGCCAAGATACAGCAGAAGGAAGCCGCAATACAACAGGAGGACGCAAGACGAAGGGAAGCAGAACGACGACGGAAGGAAGCCTTAGAATTGGAGGAGGAAGCGAGGAGAAAAAAGGAAGCTGAAGAGGAACGTCAACGTCAGAGAGAACAAGCTGCAAGACAGGAAGAAGAAGAAAGAGCACGTGCTGAACAAGAGCAAAGAATACGACAAGAAAAACAAGCGGCTGAAGAACAAAGAGCAAAAGACCAAGGTGCCAAATCAGATGCACCCCCTGCTGTTGTACCACAGGAATCTACTTCATCTATTGTCGCAGCACCCAGTGCTGCTGCTCCTGCAGCAAGTACTGTGGTCACAGCTCCAGTCTTGCCTCCTTCAGAATCTCTAGTGCTTGCACCAGGTGCTTCGACAGCAGCTGTTGTAGGAGGATCAGTGATCGCGCCGAATGAACAAGACGGGCATATGCTAAACCCGGCGACACTAGCTGAGAAAGCAGCACTGCTTGAGGAGAAATTGGAACCATATTTAAGGGTGTGACGATCATGATCTTATATGACTGAGTACCTGTAATAAATAGTCCTTTTCGACTCTCGTCCTACTGGTTCAAGAAATTTAATAAATTTAATAATGCCTTTCTACTTCAGGGGTCACAAATAATATGAATGTTGATAATATAATCTTCCCTCTTCTAATGCTTAGTCGCAGCAAGGAGCCTTTGATCAAGCAAAAGCGGTTGCAATTGAAGAAAGCAGTCACCTCGCAGATTGGCAAAGTCAGTCGTCAGGCACCCACGACTATCGCGTGTCAAGACGCTATGAAGCAATTGCTAGATCAAGCAGAACAACCCGAGGCTGCACAAGCTGACCCCTTATTTGCTGAATTTGTCAAGTACAAAATTGCAGACGGCTTGTGCGAGCAATGGAGCAACATCCCAGCAAGAGACTGTGCAGCCGTGTGGCCTTTCTGCTATGTGATGCACAGATTGTGCAGAATTAAGAAATTCCGCAAACCAGGAGGATTTCGAGACGTGCTTTTGGGCATGCTGCATCATAGGTGTCCATATACGATACCAGCAACTGAAGCTTCAGTGCAGTCTAGAAACAACGGGCAGGAGGAGGAGGAGGCCGAAAGTGCCTTTTTTCACAGGCAGACGAATCTCTTGCGGTTTTATCTTGGTATTTACTTATGAATAATTTATGTTTGTCTCTCTGTCTCTCTTTCCTCTGTCTTCTAGACGACGTTCCTTCGTCTTCTAGACGACGTCCTCTGAAGACAAATCAATATTAGCACTTTCGTTTTTTTGAACTACGACGATTTACCATCCGACGATCACTTCCTCGTCAATATTGTTTCACTCAGGCACACTCGTCCTAGCAAACGACGCAGGAAGACTATGGACTTGGGTCGTTACTCTACTGAACCACCCGCCAACCGGACGTTTTGCGCCTTTTGCGCTGTTTATCTTCCTAGAAGTAGCAGGCGCATTTGCGATGAAGCGATTTGGTGACCAGTTTACGCAGAAAATTTATCGGTATTAGTTTCCTCGAGGACCACTTGTTTTTGTTTTTACACGAACACGACTGTGTTATCAATAAATTATAAGTCGTGCATAGAGTAGATGATTGAGCAAGATGAATGTTTCCGCGTCAAACCATGTCAACATTTCAATAGAGTAAACATGATTTTAATGCATCTGCTTCATCAACTACATGATTATGATCACCAAACCATCAATGCAGTGATTACATCCCCCGCACCTTTCTGCCTGCCTGTACCGAGCGTCTCACAGTAGTTGGTGATAAAGCGGAGGTCACAACCAAGGTTGCCGTGATCAAGACGTGGTTAGAAGCCTGTAATAAGGGAGAAGATATGACCCCAGAAGGCATCGTATTACAGGCTCATGGAGAAAGCGATATTCGGGATGATATCTAAATGATGTTGTAATGCGAAGGACTCGGGGGGCTAGCCTAGGGTTCAGTGATGAGAAGTACGCGGCTTTTCTTGGCACTACTATAGAATGTGAACAACATGATAAGAATGATTGTGAACATGAATCATTCCACATGTAGCTGAATGGATTTTTCACCTCAACACCTAAACACCCCATCAATCCCAAGCTTCACCTTTTTTCTCCGAAGATCAATCATGGTGTTACAACTTCGCAGGCCTGAAGGCCAAGAATAACTACTGATGTATATGAATCATAACAAGAAAGTATTCTCGTAACGACGAGCTTAGCAACAGCAGCGATTCTGATGATTATCAATGTTCGCATTCATCATTTGTCCTCGTGCTCGGTTAGCTACTAAACTCATGAATATGGAGGCATTCGGTAACGGTATCGGTTTGAGTGAAGGGGAGCGATCATGCTAGGAGGTACAAAAATTGCCAACAACTTCAAGGAAAATGATTCTTTTCCCCTTTTTGATACAGAAAAGAGCTGTGGCTATGGCAAACATAAGAAGCTATTGCGACCACAGAAGTCAAAAACTACCTTCAACAACACTACTTTTAGTTTGCAAAGTTGTAATATGTTGAATAGATCACTTGCGGTGGCCTTTCTCCTGAGCAACATCTACACTGCGCACTGCCGAAAACGACAAGACATGCAGCAGGCAAGCGATGGTTACGACTACTTCCAGCATTATCCGAAACAGTATGTTGCGAAGCGAGTAGGGAGGAAGAATGGCGGAGTCGATATGGCAAGATGAATAGAAGTGCTGCTGAGATGTTCTTGGCCTTGAGATCGATGGCCCATTTGTCCATTGAAGATCATCAGATCATTCGTTTTCTCTCTCTATTAAGGCTACCGCTGGAGCACCCTCAACAGGATCCTTAGCCCTTTTTTCAAGGGGAAAAAGGGCCGAGGGAGGCTCTCAGAGATGCACGTCGGTACCTCTAACTCTACATCCACTCAACATTGTACATTCATACATTCAACCTCCCCATAAACTCAACTGAACAATCCATCCACTGAACCTGCTCAAGCTCATTCATACATTCAACCTTCTTTCTGAACAAGCTCGACGGCGACCCGGACACAAAAGAAGAATGGAAGACTGTACCTTACTCAGAGGCCTTCGTGGATATCACTGGGGAACCCGAAAATCCAAAAGGTCCAGAACCAGGTTGCGATACAGTGATGAAGATGCTGTACGACGACCAATATTTGTACGTCGCGGCGAAGATGCAGTACGCAGGAAGGCCGATAATAGCGAAGTTCGAGGAAGAGAATGTTATGGACAACATAGAGACACAGGAGAGGACAACATAGAGACACAGGGGCGCACTTTTTTACCTTTTTAATTTCTGAGAGGTACTACGGCTACAACTGTACAACTTGTAATTGGACGAGGAAGCTGCATTGCACATGCACTACTACTTGCATTGTTGTACTTCGTCACAACGAACTCCACATCGTACTACTACTACTTGCATTGTTGTACTTCGTCACAACGAACTCCACATCGTACTACTACAACTTGCATTGTTGTACTACGTCTACGTCACGACAACGAGAGAACGACGAGAGGAGGACTCAACAGACTGCCTAATCATAACCACTTCTTCTAAGCATAACCCAATCTACCAGAAAGATTCGGATTTCGAAGTTTTTGTGGACATGCATGGAACCTGCCACGCGTACAAGGAACTAGAGCTGAATGCCTGGAATGTCACATGGAACTTGATGCTTATGACACCTGTTTTAGAGAATGTCACATGGAACTTGATGCTTATGACACAACTTTTAGAAGTAGAAGTACTTAATCTACTACTTTGCTCACATGGAAGAAGAGATGAACAAGGAATCTGCTCTGCTCACATGGAAGAGAGATGAGCCAGATCTTGTCCTCTGATGACCATGACTTGTAGGAGAGAGAATATTGCACTCGAGAGGATATTGCACTTTCATTTAGGTCAATCGCCCTTACGCAGATGGTGGGGCAGAATTTTCAGGACGTGTGACAGAGCCGCGGAATAACAAGACGCATCCAAAGTACTGGGGTCCGGAAAAGCAAAGAACTTTCACCAAGCTCAGGAAAGGCCAAGTCAATGGGAATGCGAGTGATGTTGCGGAATATACCACGGAGATAGCACTTTCGTGGGCTGATCTCCTTGATCGAACACCACAAGGAGGAGGTGCTTCAGGAGTTGTAGTTGCTCAGGACAGTTGTAACAATATTGAAGGCTCGACGAGCACGACTACGACACCAGCAGGCACTACTAGTACAAAGCAAGAATCATCTTCTTCACAACTGCCACGTTGGATTCGCATCAATTTCTCGCGTGTAGAGGATCAAGGCGATAAAAACTGGGTGTGGAGTCCTATGATTACGTACGATGCAAGTAAACGTGATTTTCGCGGTTTCGTAGACATGCATAGACCTGAAGCGTGGGGTTATGTTTACCTTGATGATGCAACGAGTAGTGCAGAGGGCGATGCGGATCATGCAGAGAGCGTGCAGAATAGTACATCAGGATCATCCACCTCTCCTGTAGCGCAAGGTCCACCTCAAGACCCTTCTTTCCCAGTTCGTTTAGTAGCAGCGCATTTGTACTACGCACAGCGAGCATATAAAGACGCAAGAAATGGCACTCATTTCGCGACCTCTTTGTCCGAGTTACGGCCATATACGCATCCTGACGATGCATTTCTGGAACCGTTTGAAATTGAAATATTAAGTAGTCTTAGTGGTAGTTTCACGGTGAAAGTAACAGACTTGAATCGAGGGTGGAAGGCGAGCATTGACGAAAGTCGTCTCATGCTTGTGGAGAGTATACGAAGTGAATTCACGTGTTAGATCTAAGGATGAATGGAACTCGTAAAATGGGAATTTTGGAATTTCAAACAAATCCGAATTATGACACAGTGGGCATGATTGTTGAGTGTTCCGAAATAAAACCTGTGCTGTTGAAATGAAGCAGGTACTTAAGTAGGTAATGTGATTTCGCTCTTTGGATGTCGTGACTTTCTTCCAAGATGTTGGAATGTACTCCTGAACTGTTCTTGACCTGATCGAAGTCCCTCTCTTCTTTGAGAATGCTTGTAGTTCCAATGGTGGTTTCAATCTCTGCGAATGGTAATCTTTGTTGCCAGGAGAACTAAACTTCTAGTTGTTGTTGATCAAGGGAACAAAAATCGAAAGCCTCAGGGCACTTATCTTCGGACAATTAAGTACTGAGAATTAAAATCAAATCAAGCGAACAACAACAAGAAGAGGAGTCACAAATACTTCATAACTATAATCACAATTTGCCTTGGAATCATCTGTTCTACTGCTGCTTGAGCTTGCGGTCTCAAATGCAGAATAAGAATCTGTTTGCCGTTCTTGCCAAATTGAAACGACGCGGGAGATGATCTCGACGATCCTGATCACGTCCAACAAGCTGGTTCTGTATGGTCATCCAGTTCTTGATCTTGGTGGATGCGGTGCTCCTCCTGGTGCTCTCGGCTACTTACAAGAACCAGATGGTGCTCTTGGTCTTGTGGTGGAGAACATGGTCTAGCGAAGTGAATAAAGATAAAGTACAATGAATCGATGTTAGTAGAAGATGAAATAGAGGTACTACGTACTAGTAACTACTACATGTAACGTTCGTAGTAGTACGTTCTCCCTTCTTCTTCATCTTCCGTCCTTAAATCATCTTTGTTCTCCTCTTAAATCATCTTCGTTCTTCTGTCCTTGCATTGATGGAAATGGATCTTGATATTGATGTGGTTTTTCTCCCTTGCAGCTGAAGCAGTGCTATCGGACAGCGACCCCCATGTAATGTACAAAGTTGTTTCACCCAAAAAAATCTAATAAAATAGGAGCTAGTAACCAGCTAGTTTCATAATAATATGCATATGCCTGTTTCACACGACCCTCATGGTTAAGTATTCCAATGTGACCTTTCATATTTTACATGTGTCTTGACGTAAGAAGTAACCTACAACAACCAGAACCTACTGTAATGAGAATGAAAAATGACGCTTCTTTTTCCTCGTTAGGAGGTACAACATGATTGTTGTGGCTTCCACAGGAGACTGGTGACAAGGCGAGTTGAGGAGCAAATAAAGGAGGTCCCCACCTTCACAACATCGAGCAACCACTGGAGAGGATTTAGCAGCAGGAGCTCGGCCCCAACCCATACATCTATTGAGACGAGGAAAAACAAAAATCTAAGGACAATAAAGAACCAGACTACTCATTGTTCATATCGAGCTATTGACCATTTTCAACACATAGTTTCTACACACAACAACGAGGAAAAGCAAGATGAACAATTTTCCACCAGGCATGCAGCTGCCTCCTGGTATGGGAGGTAGCGTGGAGTCGATGCAGCAGATGCAGCAAATGATGCAGCAACAGATGGCTTTGATGCAACAACAGATGGTAAGAGTGTTTTTAGGCTTTGATGCTGCAACTACAACAGATGGTAAGTTTCAGTTGGATACAGTTTTTTTCGAGGTTTTGATGATTGAGGAACATCAGATTTACTTCCTCAGGAGTCAGTAAAAAGGTTGATTTAGATTTTCTGCTACTCCCTTTTCCACACAACTCCAAGTCCAACTCGCTCTCCCTTATAATTTCCCAAAAACTACTTCTACAACCACACCCCTCCTCAACCATAACCATACAACAGGGTGGCGCCACTTCTAGTACCAACTTGCAACAAGAGGAGGAAGGCCAGCAGGAGGAAGAGGAAATGGAAGTGGATGAGGCTTTCTTAGACGAGAAAGCTCGCAAATGGCAAGCTCTGAATGCTAGGAGGTTTGGTCAGAAGCGCAAATTCGGCCATACACATGAGGCCAAGGAGGAAATGCACCCAGCAAGTTTACGGAAGATAATAAAGGATCATGGCGACATGAGTTCAAGGAAATTTAGGCACGACAAGCGTGTCTACTTGGGAGCATTGAAATACGTGCCGCATGCGGTAATTTCCTACATCAAGTTTAAGTGCTCCTAGTACTTGTTTGAACACGTAGTGCTTAGATAGTTGTATTCGATCATTACATTTGATGACTGCATTCTTCTTGTCCCTAGTAAAAGGAATAAACCCAAGAAACTGCCAGCAACAGCATCTCACGACCTCACCCACAGGTCTACAAGCTTCTCGAGAACATGCCTATGCCTTGGGAGCAAGTGAGGAATTGTCAAGTCGTGTATCACATCACGGGTGCCATCACTTTCTGTGCTTGCGTCCCCAAAGTTGTAGAGCCTGTGTACATCGCGCAATGGGGTACGATGTGGATCATGATGCGAAAGGAGAAGCGGGACCGAAGGCACTTCAAGCGAATGCGCTTTCCGCCGTTCGACGACGAGGAGCCTCCTTTAGATTACGGCGACAACGTTCTCGACGTGGAACCTCTGGAGGCGATTCAGATGCGGTTGGACGAAGAGGAGGATGCGCCAGTGGTCGACTGGTTCTACGACAGTCAGCCTCTGCTGAACACTCCGCACATCAACGGGAAGACGTACAGAAAGTGGAATTTGAACTTGGCGCAGATGGGAGTGCTGTACCGCTTGTCGAACCAGCTGGTCTCCGACCTGCTGGACCAGAACTACTTCTACCTCTTCGACCTGCAGTCGTTCAAGACGGCGAAGGCGTTGAACTTGGCCATCCCAGGGGGACCGAAGTTCGAGCCTCTGTACCGAGACATGTTTTCCCACGACGACGACTGGAACGAGTTCAACGACATCTCCAAGCTGATCATCCGTCAGCCAATCCGAACGGAGTACAAGATCGCGTTCCCCTTCGTGTACAACAACCGCCCGAGGAAAGTCGCGCTGCAGCGCTACTTCACGCAGCACGTTTGCTACGTGAAGGCAGACGACCCGGACTTGCCGGCTTACTACTACGACCCGATCATCTGTCCCTTGCCAGGGTACAAAGCTTCCTCCGAGAGCACAGCAGAAAAAAGCGACGAGCAGATCGATGAGGATGAGATGATTGAAAATTTACTGGAGGACTTCGAACTTCCAGAAGAAGTTACGCCATTATTGGAGGATGTGTCTCTATACGACGACAACACGGCACAGGGAATCCAGCTCTACTGGGCACCGAGACCGTTTAACTTGAGAGCTGGTACTATTTTTATAACTTTTTACCTGACACCAGCACTAAAAGAATTATTTTCAAACAGTACTACTACTAGGTAGTACTACTACTATAATGTACTTCATTTTTCAGCAGGTGGAAGATGAAGTAGTTCTTATCAAGAAATCAAAATCATTTCAACTTCCAGAAAAGTCCCTATCCCTACAACCAGATGTCTCCTCTACTTCATCTGTCCAGTACGCAAAAAACAACTTTTTCTAGGTGTCACACGTCGAGCCCAGGACGTGCCACTTGTAATGCAGTGGTTCAAAGAGCACTGTCCTTCCCAGAACCCGATCAAAGTCCGTGTTTCCTACCAGAAACTCCTCAAGTGCTGGGTTCTTAACTCTCTGCACAAGCGCAAACCCAGACCTCAGAACAGACGAGACATGTTCCGGGTCTTTGCCGCGACGAAGTTTTTTCAGAAAACGACATTGGACTGGGTGGAGATTGGTCTCCAGGTGTGTCGGCAGGGATACAACATGTTGAATCTGCTGATTCATCGAAAGAATCTGAGCTACCTGCATTTGGATTACAACTTCAACTTGAAGCCAGTGAAGACGCTGACGACAAAGGAAAGAAAGAAAAGTCGATTTGGTACGACCACTAAAACTGGACTTTATTAAGTTTATTTAGTTCAAGCCTCGTCCCGTCATTCTCTCTTTCTTCAACTACAACATGCTTTATCCCGAACATCATGATGCTTTTCTTACTCCCAGCGCATGAACCAAATGAACACCAGGTAACGCCTTCCACTTGTGTCGTGAAATTTTGCGTTTGACGAAGTTAGTCGTCGACTCCCACGTCCAGTATCGCTTGGGTAACGTCGATGCCTACCAGCTTGCCGATGGTTTGCAGTACATTTTCGCTCACGTCGGTCAGCTAACGGGTATGTACCGCTACAAGTACCGATTGATGAGACAAGTCCGCATGTGCAAGGATTTGAAGCATTTGCTCTACTATCGTTTCAACTCGGGTCCGGTCGGGAAGGGACCCGGTTGCGGCTTCTGGGCACCGGGATGGCGAGTCTGGCTCTTTTTCTTGCGTGGTATTGTGCCACTTTTAGAGCGGTGGTTGGGCAACTTGTTGGCGCGTCAGTTCGAAGGACGTGTGAGTAAGGGTGTGGCGAAGACGATCACAAAACAGCGAGTCGAGTCACATTTCGATTTGGAACTACGCGCGTCAGTGATGCACGACATCGTCGACATGATGCCGCAAGGCTTAAAGGCGTCCAAGGCGAAAACGATTCTGCAGCATCTCTCTGAAGCTTGGCGGTGTTGGAAGGCGAATATTCCATGGAAGGTTCCGGGTTTACCCGCTCCGATCGAGAACATGATTTTGCGGTATGTGAAGTCCAAGGCCGACTGGTGGACGAACGCAGCATACTACAACCGCGAACGAATTCGGCGTGGCGCGACCGTGGATAAAACCGTCTGCAAGAAGAACTTGGGTCGCTTGACCCGTTTGTGGCTGAAGAGCGAACAAGAGAGGCAGCAGAACTACAACAAGGATGGTCCCTACTTGACGGGGGAGGAAGCGGTGGCGATCTACACTTCGGTGGTCCACTGGCTGGAATCAAGACGATTCGCCCCGATCCAGTTCCCGCCAATCAACTACAAGCACGACACGAAGCTGCTCATCTTGGCTCTGGAGCGGCTGAAGGAAACGTTTGGCATGAAGTCGCGGTTGAACCAGCAGGAAAGAGAAGAGTTGGGCTTGATCGAACAGGCCTACGACAATCCCCACGAAGCTCTGGCGCGAATCAAGCGGCACTTGCTCACGATGCGCGCGTTCAAGGAGATCACGGTGGAGTTCCAGGACATCTACTCGAATCTCGTCCCAGTCTACGAGATCGAGCCCCTGGAGAAAATCACCGACGCTTACCTAGATCAGTACCTGTGGTACGAAGGCGACGCTCGTGGCCTGTTCCCGAACTGGATCAAGCCCGCGGATACCGAGCCGCCGCCTCTGCTCGTCTACAAGTGGTGCCAGGGGATCAACAACTTGTCAGAGGTGTGGGAGACTTCCCAAGGCCAGTGCATGGTTTTGATGCAGAGCAAGTTCGAACAGGTCGCGATGAAGGTGGATATCACACTGCTGAATCGGCTGCTCCGCTTGATCGTGGATCACAACATCGCGGATTACATGACGGGAAAAAACAACGTGTCCATTAATTACAAGGACATGTCCCATACGAACATGTATGGGCTCATTCGCGGATTGCAGTTCTCAAGTTTCGTCTTCCAATTTTGGTGCATGGTGCTGGATCTGCTGGTACGATTTAACTTTTCAACATCTTCTTACAAAAGTAGTTTATTTCCTACTGTTCATGTTCTTGTTAAATCTTCAAATTAATAATGATGTCCTCGATGATGTTCTATCTCTTCTAATCTTCTATGCCCAACACATTGCCTTTTAATATGTAGCAAATGATTTTGGTGAAGTACAGCTAAACAACTAGCTTTAATCCTTTTGAAGAAACATTACTGAACCCTCCGAGTAACTGACTGAAATAAGGGACGTAGTAACCCTTTTGAAGAAAGAGAAAACAACTAGCTTGTTTAATCCTTTTGAAGATTTTGGTGAACTACAGCTAAACCAGAACTACAGCTAAACCAAAAATCCTTTTGAAGAAACACAAAACAAAATAACAGGCACTTGGTCTGACCCGTGCTTCCGAGATTGCTGGACCGCCACAGCTGCCGAACGAGTTCCTCCAGTATCCGGATGTCGAGACCGAAACGAGACATCCAGTCCGTCTCTACGTCCGCTACTTGGAGAAAATCTACATGCTGTTCATCTTCACAAAGGAAGAGAGCAGAGATTTGATTCAGAGGTACTACTACCTCTAGTACTACCTCTAATTCTAAGCTTTATAAGGTTTATTTTACGACATGTAGTTTAAGTTGTGCATATAGCAGAAGCTGAAGTTTATAAGCTACTTGTTGGACGACGACCTGTTGAACGCGACAATAAATATTTAAGTAAGAACGTTTTTCTAATCAAGATTTTCAATTTGAACATCCCCCACACCCACTCTTATCTCTTCCTTCACCACCATCCCACATCTTTTTACCGCACCACCACCGAAAGGTACCTGACCGAAAACCCCGATCCGAACAACGAGAATATTGTTGGCTACAACAACAAATCCTGTTGGCCACGCGATTGCCGCATGCGTCGTGTTAAACACGACGTCAATCTCGGTCGCGCCGTCTTCTGGGAGATCCAAAATCGACTACCGAGGTCTCTAACTACGCTCGACTGGGATCATTCTTTCGTTTCCGTCTACTCGAAAGACAATCCGAATTTGCTCTTCGACATGGTCGGTTTTGAGGTACGCATTTTGCCGAAGATTAGGACTTACCAGGAAGAATTCTCCATGCGCGAAGGTGCGTGGAAGTTGCAGAATGAAGGCACGAAGGAGATGACGGCCCAGGCGTTTTTGCGAGTGGAAGACGCGGGCATGCGGGAGTACGAGAATCGGGTTCGCCAGATTCTAATGGCTTCCGGGTCAACCACCTTCACGAAGATCGCGAACAAATGGAACACAGCGTTGATTGGGTTGATGACGTACTACAGAGAAGCAGTGATTCACACGGACAACCTGCTGGACTTGCTAGTGAAGTGCGAAAACAAGATCCAAACGCGGATTAAGATCGGGCTGAACTCGAAGATGCCCAGTCGATTCCCGCCAGTGGTGTTTTACACCCCGAAAGAGCTGGGAGGATTAGGCATGCTCAGTATGGGACACATCTTGATCCCACAAAGTGATTTGAGGTACTAACTTCGACAGCACTTTCCCTTGAATAGTTTTTGATCATGTTGATTTTTGGACGAGGACTGCTAGTCGTGTAGTAGTAGAAAAGTACTAGTCGTGAGCTTGAAGAACGTACTATCGATTGCGATTGCTGCTCTTGCTTTTTTAATAAAACAAGAGATACAAGTTGGATCATGTTGACCACCACCAACGACTGAGAACCCTGTGTCAACCAAGTATCTTCTTCACGACACGACCCTCAATGCGGCAACAGGTACACTCGTCAAACTGAGACTGGTATTACGCACTTCCGAGCTGGTCTCTCGCATGAGGAGGATCAACTTATTCCTAATTTGTACCGGTACATGCAGACGTGGGAAGCTGAGTTTTTGGATTCTCAGCGCGTGTGGGCTGAATTCGCACTGAAGAAACAGGAAGCGAACACGCAAAACCGAAGACTGACATTGGAGGACTTGGAGGATGCATGGGATAGAGGTGTGCCGAGGATCAATACGCTGTTTCAGAAAGGTACCTGTTTAGAATGTTACTAGAAGGTGGCCTAGTGTGCTTGCTGTAGTTTGCATCTACTACGAAACAGAAAAAAAGATCATCGAGGACCACGACTACCTACCATGACTATTATATGAACTTGGTGGTAGTAAGAATTTAAGATGCAGCCTGACCACGACCTACCAACAATCCACCAACAATCCTCATCAATGATCAACATTCTCTCACCCAACGACCAAAACCACCATCAGATCGCCACACATTGGCCTTCGATAAGGGCTGGAGAATACGACAGGACTTCAAGCAGTATCAAATTTTGAGAATGAATCCGTTCTCGTGGACGCACGCTCGGCACGATGGAAAATTGTGGAACCTGAACAACTACAGAACAGATATGATTCAGGCGTTGGGTGGGGTCGAAGGTACAGTTTTTTTTTAGATTTTTTGAGATTGATATTTTGGATAATGTTGGAGAATGTTGATTATACTTCGAATTTCCTAGAAAGTTGTAGAGAAACTTGAGTAGAATTGTTAACGTTGTTAGATGAAAATAGCACTATTAATTCATTTTTAGACCAAAATCAGGTAGTTTTTGCTTCAAATATGATTTCGATGCAATCTCCTCGCCAGGAAATGAATTCGAATTAAATGGAATAAAATCAGAAATTCTTGGATATCTTCAGAATATCAAATTCAAAAATTCAATCATTTCTAAAAATTTTGCACACTACTCCTTTCATGCTACAGGTATTCTCGAGCATACTTTGTTCAAGGGTACCTATTTCCCCACATGGGAGGGTCTTTTCTGGGAGAAAGCCTCTGGTTTCGAGGAAGCTATGAAATTTAAGAATTTGACGAATGCCCAGCGATCTGGTTTGAACCAGATTCCCAATCGTCGCTTCACACTATGGTGGTCGCCAACTATTAATCGAGCCAACGTTTACGTGGGATTTCAAGTCCAGCTCGATTTGACTGGAATTTTCATGCACGGCAAGATACCAACATTGAAAATCAGTTTGATCCAGATTTTTAGAGCACACTTGTGGCAGAAAATTCACGAATCCATTGTCATGGACTTGTGTCAGGTATACATGGATATGTCTTTGATTACATTGGTTTCATTTTCATTTGATCCTGAAAATTATCTCTCGGTCAGAATTGAATTTGAATTAAAATGGAATAAAATCAGAATTTCTTGGATAACTCAAATTTTTGAAAATTGAAACCAACAAAGGTTTTCGATATGGAGCTTGATACTCTCGAGATAGAGATGGTGCAAAAGGAGACGATTCATCCACGAAAATCGTACAAGATGAATTCTTCTTGTGCCGATATCCTGCTTTTCGCTTCTCACCGTTGGCCCATCAGTAAGCCCAGTTTGATCTCCGAAAGCAAGGACGCGAATGATCCCGGTGTTGTCTCTCAAAAGTACTGGATTGACGTGCAATTACGATGGGGCGACTACGATTCCCACGACATCGAACGATATACGAGGGCTAAGTTCCTCGACTACACGACCGATAACATGTCGATCTACCCCAGTCCAACGGGTGTTTTGCTCGGTTTGGACTTGGCGTACAATTTGCACAGTGGCTTCGGAAACTGGTTCCCAGGAATGAAACCCTTGCTGCACCGTGCGATGAACAAAATCATGAAGAGCAACCCTGCGATGTATGTGTTGCGCGAGAGAGTAAGGAAGGGTCTGCAGCTGTACTCATCCGAAGCGACCGAGCCTTACTTGAACTCGACAAACTTTGGCGAGCTGTTCAGCAGTCAGATTATCTGGTACAACACATTAAGAGTTTGTTCTTCTCGATACTACGTATACCAAGTAATCCTAGTAAAAATCGGTGTAGTACTAGTACTCATCTGAATTTTTATCTTCAACTCCATAGAATTCTAGAATCTTCTATTCTACTTGTATGTTCAGAAATGTTCATCAGAACTTCATCTCCCCCCTTCATCTCCCACAACGACCCTATAATTACTTAACCTCACCAGGTTCGTCGACGACACCAATGTGTACCGTGTGACGATCCATCGAACCTTCGAGGGTAACATGACCACTAAACCGGTGAATGGTGCCATTTTCATCTTCAATCCTCGTACCGGTCAATTGTTCCTCAAGATCATTCACACCTCCGTCTGGGCCGGCCAGAAGCGTCTAGCGCAGCTGGCGCGTTGGAAGACAGCGGAAGAGGTTGCTGCGTTGATCCGCTCCCTGCCGCCGGAAGAACAGCCCCGGCAGCTGATCGTCACGCGTAAGGGTATGTTGGACCCGCTGGAGGTGCATTTGCTGGACTTCCCCAACATCGTGATCAAGGGCAGCGAATTGATGTTGCCGTTCATGAGCTGCATGTCGATCGAGAAGTTCGGAGATCTGATCTTGAAGGCGACGCAGCCAGAAATGGTGTTGTTCAACCTCTACGATGACTGGCTGAAATCCATCTCGCCGTACACAGCGTTTTCACGCCTTTTACTGATCCTCCGTGCGCTGCGTGTGTCGCCGGATCGCACGAAAGTTTTGCTCAGACCAGACAAAACAACAGTGACGCAGCAGCACCACGTGTGGCCGACTCTGACCGAGTCGGAGTGGATGCAGGTCGAGGTGCAAATGCGCGACTTAATTCTAGCGGACTACGGCAAACGGCACAACATCAACGTTGGAGCGTTGACGCAGAACGAGATCCGCGACATCATTCTTGGTATGGAGATCGCGCCTCCGACACTGCAGAAACAGCAGATCGAAGAGCTGGAAAACCGCGGTAAAGAGTCGAATGCCATCACAACCGTGACGACGAAAACCCTGAACGTCCACGGGCAAGAGATGGTGATCACCACAGTTTCGCCATACGAGAATCAGCGCTTTTCGTCGAAAACAGAGTGGAGAGTGCGGGCAATTGCGGCGTCGACGTTGCACTTGCGAACGAATCAGCTGTACGTGAACAGCGAAGACATCAGGGAGACAGGGTACTACTGCTCAATATTTTTTCCATTTGCTCTTACTAGTTGTGAAGTCGTCAAGAAACTTAAAACTTACAACAACATTTTTACTCCATAGATTGATTGATTTACCTAGTCTAGAAATACTGACTTTGAAAGGTCCTGGGTAAGTCTCATTATAACGCTTGTTAAGCCTAGCGACTCTCTTATCTGTCCATCATTTGCGTAGTACCTTGTCGTAGGCTTTATTTCTTGCTCTTCCTGTTGAACTCCAATATGATACCATCTTCATATTACCATATACATTACAAGAATTCGCCTACAAACTACACAGAATCATCTCTACTAGAAACTAGTAGTAGGCCTATTGCATTAAAAATCTCAATGAAAATATTACCATATAGACCCTCCCCACCATATTAAGATTAACGATCAGGTACACCTACAATGCCTCAATGAAAATATTACCATATAGACCCTTGTCCCCACCAACTACATATTAACGATCAGGTACACCTACGTGATGCCGAAGAACATTCTGCGGCAATTTATTACATATTAACGATCAGGTACACCTACGTGATGCCGAAGAACATTCTGCGGCAATTTATTTGCATCTCCGACTTGAGAACGCAGGTTTCCGTCTACCTATACGGCAAGTCGCCGGCCGAATCGCCACAAGTGAAGGAGATCTGGGCCATGGCTCTGGTTCCTCAACTAGGCACGCATCAGAGCGTCCAATTGCCGAACCTCTTGCCGGATGAGGTCTTGGCGGCAGGTGGCACTGAGAACAATCCACTGAAAGGGCTAGAGCCACTGGGTTGGTTGCACACGCAGAGTGCGGAGTTCAAGGACTGCACCGCCATCGACATGACCATGCATGCCAGAGTGTTGACCGACCACAAATCTTGGCTAGCGGACCAAGCGATCATGGCGACGTGTAGTTTCACTCCAGGTAGTTGTTCCTTGACCGCTTGGCGTTTGACGAGTCAAGGATTCCAGTGGGCGAAGAGCAACAAGGACGTGTCCAATCCACTTCCGAGCGGCTACAAACCGGAGTTCGCAGAGAAAGCACAAATGCTTCTCTCCGACATCTTCCTGGGCTTCTTCCTAGTACCTGAAGGCGGCATCTGGAACTACCATTTCATGGGCAGTAAGATGCGCGCTGACATGAAGTACAGCTTGGTACTCGAAACACCCCACGAATTCCACCACGAACTACACCGACCGCAGCACTTCTTGACCTTCACAGATATGGGCGGAGAGACGAACCCAGGGGCGGCGGACAAGGGAAATGCGGAAGCGGATCGGGAAGACTTGTTTTCATAACTGATTACAACGGGAACTACTACGAGACTACTTGTTTTCATCTAATTATAACTGATTTTTACGTCAGTGCACCTGGCACTCTGACTCGATCGAGGCCCCTGAACTTTAACTTTAGAGGAGTACGAGAAGGAGGAGTAGCTTCATCTACTTTTTGTGTCGTGTCTTGTAGATCTAGTTGAACTTGATCATGTCTTCATCAGAGTCAGAACTTGAATACATAAGATGAACTGCGCCTCCACATCTACTAGCTACATAGAAGATACAGATAGAAGTTGAAAATGATCGTCATACTATCATAATATCTTTGACTTTATTGCTGGATGACAGTAGCCTTCTAATACCTCGGTCCACCTGGTGGTGGACACGTAATAGAAGCACAACTCCATTAAGCCTTGTTGCTATTGTCGATAGTTTTAGTTTTTCGAATAATACTAGTATCTATTCTTGAATCCTTGCTCTACTTCATCGTAGCGGTTGTAATTATTTGCCCGTTGTAATCTAATGACCACGCCTTCATCGGTGCAATGCTTTAGAAATAGATTGTCACGTTATTTTCGAGTTCACGTTCGGATATGATCAAATTATAAAGTATCTAAATCTATCGCAACCTTATTTGAAATATCGAAGAATTACGATTATGAATCCTTACAACTATCATTTGATGTGTGGTTTCTCAGCAACATAAATGTCATCAGAAATCCAAATTTGACGAAAAAAGGAGCGCATCCCGTTCCCAGTAACTACAGAGAGTAACAGCGTCTGCCATATTAAACTGGTTGAAGACACGACACAAATAGCATCATGATCACCAACATGACCATCAAGACTTATATATATGTTATCCTTCGCTTTCGTCGTAAAACGAAAAACTGTAGTACAACAAACTACAGGAACAAACTACTTGGTCGTGTGGTTCTTCCGAAAAATGTACTACGACTCAGACTCTGTTGGCTTTTCGATACACAGTCAACCGATTCCGGTCTTGCTGTCGTCCTCGGTGTATCAAGGTAAACTTAAATAGATGAAGAGTTGATTGTGCTCATGCTCGAGCAGCCAGGAGAAGGAAACGGTCTCGGTGAGATTGAGAGTACCACTACACGCCAACAATCTCTGAGTTCATAGCAATACAGAGCAGGCCATCTGAAAAAGGTTTCGCGGCTCCTGCAGATCGGTCCAGAAGTGAATAAGACTATCTCTGAAGTTCGGCTTCTGTAGTATTAAATGAACTCGGTCACAACAACATTAATATATCAGGAATTGGCCTGGATGTTAGTGGGAGGCAGTGAGCACCTACATGAGTTCTGCTCGAGTAGAAGTAGCTCCCTGCACTTTTGCTTACCTCAAGGTTTGTCGAGCGCTGCCAGTATCATAAAGATACTGCCAGACCACGTCGCGACGGTCATGATCGTGAACGATGGCAACAGGGACAGCAGCATGCATGGTAGCCGACCTTTTCTGTTATTAGTAGAACCAAGATCCCTCTTTGACTTTGTGTTTGTCCTGGTGCCTGAATGCGTATATAATTGGTGGTATCGATCTACCATTCTTACCTAATACAGAAATAAGTGGAAACTACTTCTATGATAACTACTTCAAGAACTACTTCTTGTTGTACTTGTTCCTGCTCATTCTTCTCACTTGCTGAAGATTACACATAGATTATTGGCGTCGGTCTTGTGTTCCTCTTTCTGTTCTTTGCTCCTTCTGTTAGTCATCTTTCGGTTATGAGCTATCGGTCATGCTGTTGTTGTTTTCATCGGTAGAGGCTTTTTTGACGGTCTGCCAGACAGTGATGCACTCTTACTTAGGTTGGCCCCTTTGTTTCCTCGTGCTGGGAGCTCTGGGCTGCAAGGGGTACTTATGGCCCAGAGCCCTGACCACATCCCTCATTCTTATCGGTTACAATACTGAACTGCTACCGCAGTCTTTCCCTCCTCCCCTCTACTAGTGTGTGCGTTTCTGATTAGCTTATGCATCTGCGGGGCTTGTGATGCTGATGTTAAACAACGCCCAATCTAATTCAATCATCATTATAGATTTTTCATGGTTGAAATTCAGGGTCCTCCAATTATCGTACAATTGATCATAGTAGATAATTGTCCAACTTACAAAGAATTCAAACTATCCGAACCCGAAGACAAAAAGAAAATGTCGGCCTTCGAAGAAGAACCTCCCATTGCACCCCCCTCAGGACTTCCGGTCCCTCCACCCTCAGGACTTCTCGTTCCACCTCCCGCAGATGGACTTCCGGTCCCTCCACCCTCAGGACTTCTCGTTCCACCTCCCGCAGATGGACTTCCGGTCCCTCCACCTGCATCTGGTAATCCAAAGTCTCGATTGCTCTTTGACGAACGTAGTCCATCCGAGTCTTCACCCGACGGATCGTCCTCCGGACGGCCACTACTTAAGAAGAATATCCCCTGTCCCGTGAGGGGAAAACAGCTCCAAGATGTTTGAATTTCAAGATTTATTACCTAAAAAATTGAAATTACGACGTCCACGGGATCAAGAACTAGACTACGTCCACGAGCTCTAAACTACGTCTACGGGATCAACTAGGAAAAGATGAAGATCATGAAGAAGAAACATACATTTTTCGACAATGGACTCCTGAGGAAACAGTTGCTTTTGAGTCCAAACGATACGTCGATGCCCTCGCTTCTCTCGAATTCGTAGCAGCACTCTACACGGTGATAGATTCAGCGGCACTCATTGTTATGGCAATAATGCTTCTTAGTTTATCGAGTTCAAGTAGAAATAGAAGTCTCGATCATCTCAAAAGTGTCATGATTTCTCTATTAAGTCATGTTAGAAACCACGATTTTTTCTAATTCCAAGACGTCTAAGAAGCATGGTTAAGACTTCTTATGTCTGAGACTCTTTGTCCTGCTGTGCAATATCAAAAAATTCTGCTAATCTACTGGCGAACAAATTTGGCTACGTGTTGAATCGAACTGGGGGGTTCGCTCTGTATGCGAGTGTCGCCACCAATATAGTACCTGGGACTCCTCAAGCCGCTAAATTTGCCGATCTAACTTTATGCAACAGTAAGTTGTTTGAAATTTCTATGTAGTAGTCGTTGTTGATCATGAATGTTAAAATCTAACTTTACGCTTCTTGAGGTACTACTCGTACTACCTAACTCGACGCTTCTTGTTGAGGTACTTAAGTGCATTAGTTGAACTTTTTTTGAAGAACATGATCAGAGCGGACTAGTACTAGTAAGTACAACTATGGGTCGTTTTCTAATCTCGAAGATGAATGATCTCCACAGTTGCTTCAGAAGATCTAATTTGCGAACGAGTCCCTGCTTTGAAAACGGGATATAAAAATTCATGCCAGAAGGTTGCATGTCTCGGGGTTATGTTTCTATCGATCTTCCTCTTCCGAAGGGTCCGAAAGCGGAAGAATTCCGGAATGACGACCAGAATCTTGCTAAGCGGTGTGATTTTTTATGAAGATGGTCATATAATGTAAAATGTGCTGGTTGAATAGAAGTTAGTATGAACATGCGATCATGTGGATCTTTGACTCAAATTTTTGAGTCTGATCATGTGGCAAGTGGAGTTTTCTTCTCTCAGTCTTAACAATCTGGAACTACTCCTCTCTCAACGAGCTCTACTCTCGTCTATCTCTGATGTACTCGAAAAACTGAAATATGCGAGTAAAAACATCAGACGAGAATAACCGAGATACTGATGAGAAGGAAGAGCAGCCTTGATGTTAAGCTACGCCCCTTATTTCAGTCAGTAACTCGGTTATTTCAGTTTTTCGAGTAATATAATGGGTCTTCTGGTGCTCTCACCGAGCTCTACTCTCGTCTATCTCTGATGTCATGGGTCTTGTTCTGGTGCTCTCAACGAGCCCTACTCTCCTCCTCTAATGTTGAATCCTGAGTTTGGGCGCAATCATGTTTGGAATTTCGCGGGTGTCCGTTTTTTTCGGTTACACGCGGTTCCTGCGTTCTGTGGCTGCTGCGTCAAGAGAAGTGTTATGTATTTGCTTGTAGTTGTACTACTACATATAATGATTGAAGATCGCCCGGAACACCTTACCCCATGCGTAGCATAGGTAATCTCCAACTAGAAGACTAAAAGTTCACCTACAATCTATCCACGTTCATCTTTCTCGCCTCTATGTTGTTGCTTGTTCAATGAGGTCGTTCTCGTTCATCCATTTATTATAGTGATTGTGTTTATGTACTTAGCACTCCTAAGGAAAAACAGCTATCTACCACTTATTTCTGTTCCTCATCTTCTACTTACTTCTAACACTTGCTCTTGCAACATCAACATCAACCGGACCCACTGCACCTAGTCGTGTTTCAAAAACTGTGAAGGCAAAGACAGCATTTACTGAAATAACGACGGCGAGTATAGAGCCCAACATAGTAGAGGTGACGAGAAAAGTAGGAAATAAACGTATGGGAGGTCCTGGCCGGAGACTTCGAGCATCTTCTCGAGCCTCCTTTCTTATGGTTTCCGTGAACATGAATATGATATCTGTAGAGCGAAGCGATAGTTGTAGACCCAGGAGTAGGTACTACCAAAAAGATGTAGATGAATTCTGTAGTTCTCCTGGTGCAGCGAAAAATTTTGAAAATAAAAAAGTACGCCTTACGCCAAGTAGGCATAATATATTTTCTTCTAATTCTCTTGCTCATGGCGAAGATGTTGGAGGTGCAGATGATAGCGGTTCTTTCATAGAAACTAGAGCAGAGGCATCACGATCACCCGGGATGGAAAACATGGTGGCGAGGGACATGGAATATCTGGTGACGGTATTTCCAGTATTGATGGAAACGTTGTTCCTCTTCTTCGTCATCGTGAATGTGCTTCAATTATGGATATGAAAACTGATTGATGTGGATCGATTGGTTCATTTACAGCCCCGCGAATGGGAAGCATGAAAATTCTAGGCTGCTTGATCATGTAGAGTATAGTCCATCTTGTTCAGTCTTCGTGTTCGTCTTCTCCCGTTCCAAAATCCACTTAGGATGAGAGAAATGAAAGGAAGCTGTTATTCTTCAATTCAAGAAACGAATTAATTTCTATCTAATGAGTACGACTTCAATCTATAAACTTCCATCTTCACTCTTCTTATCGTGAATGTGCTCCTTCAATTATGGAGATGAAAACTGCTAATGAATATGTGAGCAACAAGTAGATCATCTAGATTATATATCTTTTTCTAATAGGAATGCTTCTGGCTCATCGTGCTCTATTCTCGACGGACAAAGAAGGCTGGAGCAGCGAAAATGACAACGACAAGGACTTAAGGCGTGATATATCATGTTAGAATGATTTATAGTAAACATCAGCTGCTGGTCGCTTGTCGAAGACAGAGTTGCAAGCTGAGGAGGATCTCACTCGCATATTAGATTATAGAATAATTCATAGGGGTGCCAGATCCAGCATCGGATGGATCGGATGGACCCCTCTATGTGAGTGGGATTCTCCTCAGCTTACTACCCACGAGTGTTGATGGACTACCAACACTGTGACTCAATTCATCAACCACGGGTAGCCATAGTGATGGATTTCTGCCTCATCTAATGAATGTAGGAGAAGAAGGAGGAGAAAAAGATGAAGCAGTATCTCCATTTCCTGAACAAGATGCTAGTGCAATCATGGCTGCTGAGCGACTAATTGATCGTGCATCAGCTGCAAGTTCAAGGTCTTTGACAAAAAACAACTTAAGGCCACTTATAGCAAAGCTGGCGTCGGTCTCTGAGTAGGCCGAGGGTCAAGGGAGATCTGAAGGAGAGATGAATTGAGATTTGCTTTTTTATGCTCCTGTGATTCTGACTTCTAAGGCAGCAAGATTCCGGTCGGAGCACAGGTGCACCAGATGATGAGACAAGACCACCTCCAAATACATCGCGGAGCACACCACCAGGCTGGTCGCAGACAGGGAGGTCCTCCGAAACCGATTCCTAGACTGAGTACCTCTGGATTTCTAGTCTACTGCAACTACAACGTCTATTAAATGAACAAAGTATTCAAGTTGGGATATCAACACATGAGTAGACGAGGACAAAACAGCTGCTACAGATATGAACTCAGAAATTCCCGGACGGTGTGTGAAAACACGGATCATGAAGTTGCTGACTGCGCACAGAGATCTCAATCATCCTCTCTTCAGATGTCAATTCAAAAAATCTGCTGTTGCTACACCAGGCTCTATAAGTAGGGCTATGAGTTGCTTTGGGAACTATGAGGACCAGGGAAATCTTAGGCATATTATCGCCGTGTAGCTTCAAATCATCAGCAGAGTATAGTTCTGAACTATAGCAAGAGATGGAGTAGGGTAGACTCTTCCACCATAAGCAGCGCTAGAAGTAGAGCACTAGCAGAAGGGGTCGTGATCCATTTTTGGCAGTCTGCACTGAACTTTCGTGCGAGATTAGTCGCACTATTGTATTGCGCCGATCATGATCACACTCAGACTTTGTAGATGACTGGTGAGGCATGTGAGGACTTCACCGGTCGAGATCTCAAAAACATTAGTTACGTCCGATCTCTGCGCTTATGCTTAGCACAGGCTTGCTTCACTGATTTCGGGTTTGCTAGTCGTAGTCAATTTTTTACCTGTCAGCTCATGCTTTAGGCGGTTCATCAGTAAATCAATCATCAGTGCTGCGGCGTGTCATACCCCTGCAGGTGTGCTGACTTGCTCATGGGGCCCCGCTGCGTCGGGTTGCGCCTTAGGTTTTCTACAGGAGTCGAATGCGCGGCTTCTCCGATAGATGTAGATTTGTGGCCGATTGTGCGGTCTTATGCGCCCCCAGTATGTAACAAACTTGTATGACATTAGTTGAGCGTGTTCTTTAATTCTTTGATAGGGCGGTGGCATATAGTCCTCACGCAAACAAAAAAAAATCTACGGGTGCTAGGGGCAGCACTATCAGGAGCACACACATGACATGCGTAGTCCTTCTTGTTGGTCCTCGAAGAAGATGAACCTGGAGGACCATGACCTTTATGACTTTCATGGACGAGCTACGGCTTCCTTGTTTTGTTCATCTACTTAGGAGGCATCTTTGGGCACGGTTTCAAGGGGAACTCACGTAAAAGATGCACTTTAAGATGAATTTTTTACGGGAAGCGCTAATCGAGGCCGCCAGCATGACTTTCATGGACGAGGTCACCAGAATGATCTTTGTGGGAGTCTGGTGAATGTGAGACACCTGTGAAAAGGGGCTGAGAGACCCGTAGTCTGTTGAGGAAGAAGAGACCGGTTTCGTTTTCTACTGTTGAAGGAAAGAGGCATATCTGCCTAGTAGTTTTCTGTGGAGGAAGACAGAGAGTGGTCTGTGGTCATTCTGTGTCTGCTTGAGATCCTTGCGCTGACAGAAAATGTCCTCAAGCTTGTCCCTTGAAGAGAACAAGTGTTGTTGAGATTGAATTTTCATTTTTCTGTTAGAGAGCGAGGAGGGCCAACAACGTCATTCATTTTCTGTTAAAAAAGAGGAGGAGAGTCAACAACGCCAAACTTCATTTTCTGTTAAAGAGAAAGGTCAACGTGGTCTTCTTCGAGTCAACGTCTTCATTTATAACTAATCCAACTCCTTCACGACAGATTCATGGATCCACCAATCGACTCGAGGTCGACCGCATTCAACAGCGACTTTTCTTGACTCTTCTTTTTACAAGCGAAACCAACTGAGTGTAATAATAAAGTGTACGTCTAGCAGGTACAGCTGCATCAAATGTTTCAAGAACTGCGTCGTAAGATAAGATAGAAAGAAGACCCTCCCCTATCTTGTTCTAGTTTTTTGTTTTTTTTTTACAACAAAAGGAAGCTAGCTCCACCTACAAGATGGCGTACAATCCGCAATATGATGGAGGCAACCAGCAATATGGCACTATGCCGATGCAGCAAGGGGACGGTTATTCCCAAGAGGGCGGTTATCCCAACATGCCGATGGCGCCGCAAGATCAGAACACTATGATGCAGCAGCCGCAGCCGCAGCCGCAGCCGTATATGGGAGAAGTATCGCAGCAGCAGCCGCAGTATGTGGGAGGAGTACCGCAGCAGCAGCAGCCGCAGCCGTATATGGGGGGAGTACCGCAGCAGCAGCCGCAGTATGTGGGAGGAGTACCGCAGCAGCAGCAACAGCAGGCCTACATGCAGCAACCGCAGCAGGTGGTGATGCTCGCAGTGGATGAGGCGGAAGTGAAGAGCCTCCGTTTTTGGAACTGGACTGTCTCTCTGGAGGGTCTCTTCTATCTCTATTTCTTCTTTGATCTGGTGATGATCATCGTGGTCATTAAGGGTAGCAGGTTGAAGGTGTTTTTGTTACCGTTCGTTTTGCCTTTCTGAGGGGGAAAGGCATAACGAACGGGGTCAACGAACACCAGAAGCCTACCTCTAAGGCCAATGGCAGCGGTGAAGATCGGTTTCAGTGGGTTCTCGGTGGGGGAGTGCTTTCGTATATGATTATGCCATCAGAAACGCCAGCTATTGCGGGCGTTCCCTTCGCGATGACGATGCTGAAGATGATTGTATGGATGATGTTTTTTCTCCCATCTTCAACAGACCACTATCGAGGCTCCACCATAGGGAGCTATGTATCTGTTTATTTCAAGGGGAAAAGCAGGGTAGCTGCCTCGATCATGGTCTGGCTAGAAGATGGAGGGATCAACACCATTCACAGACTGCTATGGCTGGCTTCTTGGTGATGATGCTGGTTTTCCGCTGCGCTCGCTGCATTAGCGACCTGCACTGGGGTCAATTCCGCAAGTCGTGCGGTACCCTGATCATGATCTCTGTTCTCGGCTCGCTAGCCGCCATCGCGCTCCTGGCTTTAATCGTCACCGTAGGCGTTTACGCCTACTTTGGCGCCAACTCGCCGGCTGAGGCTGGCGCTGGATTATATTTCCCGATCATCTACTACGCGCTCTCTGTAATCTTCGTTCTAACCGGTCTCATCCAAATTCTGGTCGGTTACTGCGGACTGGCTCAGAAACAGGACGAGGAAACTGCCTTGCTGATTTAAAGATACGAAACGACAACAACAGCAACCTACTTGGAGAGAAAGCTTCAACTGCTACTTGTTAAAGAGGATGAAGGAAGCGTTGTAGAGCTTGGAGGCTTTCATCTTCTAGACGGAGGAAGAGGAAACCAAAGTAGAATAGTACCAAAGTCATCTGTCTACGAAGTAGCAGAAGATTCTTCAACCTCGTGATCAGGTGAAGACAAGCATGGAGGTTGTTGAAGAATGAACTGAAAATACTTAGCAGAGTAGAGATGTTGAAAGTAGTACTAGTAGTTGGAAAAAAGATTAAAGATCGAACAAGAACAAATAAGACATAGGATGACGTGCACGACCCGATGACGTAGGACACTGTGCGAAACAAGCGGAAGCGTAGAGGTCCGTAGCAGCTGCGCTAACGAGTCTCTGGTGCAGCTGCTGCGGACCTCCACCTAGCAGGTACAGCTGAACTAGAGGTCCTGCGAAATCTCAAGTTCAGGTCGAAGGTCTCAAGAGCAGGTCGAAGCATTCATTCCTTTGCCTATTGGTGTAGTTGGTGTAAGTGAAGATCCTACGCATCTAGAAGATCGACTGTATGTACATGCATGTTTGCCATTTTCACATCTGTCGTGACTAAAACAATAAGTACTGATTGAGAATTAATGATAATAGAATTAACGAACGAGATGACCAAGAACTACTATTACGGGATAATTAATGATTCATTGATCTATGCAGCCTACAACTGTTGTACAACATGACAACAGAAGATTAGACAGCAACCACGCCTTCTTCTTCACTAGACTTAAGCTTCACTATGCTGCATAGCCATAGTACTACTAGAACTCTTGCAAATTCTAAATGTGCATGCAACTCTAATTGAAAAAAAAAGAGTTATATGCTTATGATTGTAAAAAACGATATCTAGAGGCTCCAGGAGTCAGACAAGATGAAGTACAAAAAGGGGAAAAGTCATAATCTATCATCGAGACTGCTCAAAAAAACATAAGTTGCAAAACACAAAACATGAACTGAATTTCAGCCTGGTTGTTGGGACACCAGGAGGACACCAGGTGGAGGGTGGCACATATCCTAGGTCATTGCATGCTCGTTGAGAAGCTTAAAGTCTGAGGAGGGAGAATCCTAAGTACAAGAACACTACACAGTCATGATAGTCCTCTGAGGAAGGAGAATCAGACTACATTGTACAGAGCAACATTAAACAGAGGTCGCTTAAGATGAAGGAGCATATCCGCGCTGCAGAGGTACAGGAAGAGAATGAAGTAGAATGCGAGCTACCACTGGCTCATCTGTTGAGCATGAGCATCGTGATTCTGTTGAGAACAAGGAGGCTTTATGTGCACATGGCTGCGGTGCTGGTGGAAACTTCCATCGAAAGCTGGAAATGACCGAGTTACTGACTGAAATAAAAAGGGAGGTAGCTTAACATCAAGGCTACTCTTCCTTCTCGTCAGTATCTCGGTTATTGTCGTCTGTTACTTGCTTACATCATCACTGAAGTAGTAGGGCACATGCAACACGAATCGGTTTCTCGATCTCTGAAATGTGCCCTTCACTGAGTCAGTTTATCGATCTACTATTGGAAGAGAGCGTGATCGTAGTCGTGGCCTTCTGTCTGTTGAGGGAGACGGTGAGGAGTATTACCATTCTGTTGAGGGAGAGGACGGTCGTGAGGAGTATTACCATTCTGTTGAGAGAGAGAGAGAGACACTGAGGATTATCAGTCTGTTTTTGAGGACGCCCGTGAGGCGTGAACACAGAAAGAGAACTACAGTGAGATTACAGTTGCTGGAGAGCGTCCTACGCGAGCATAATCATGTCCTCCTTGTTAAGTCCCTAAAAGAATCATGTATGAAGTTGATCTTAACTTTTTGAATGAGAATGAAATCTTCAAAATCATTTTAATATTCTCTTCCATTATCTTGATCTTGTTCCTATGTTGGTATCCTGACCCTTATCCGTTGTTGCCCTGACCCTTTTCCATTTTCCCTCATGTCTTCTACGTTTTGAAATTCTAGTCAGTCAACAACGCCCTCTAGTCGACCACTCAAGAATAAATATCTTCCTCTTTTTTTATCTCTATTACTTGTTGTGACGAAAAATCACTATCACATCTTCAAGAATAAAGAGTCACCTAGTTGTACATCAACAAGATCAACAAGTCCTCAGCCTCACGACCTTGTTGTAGATTTCTTTCTACAACATCTTCATTCTTCTATCTTCACATCAAGATAGAACAAAAAAATCAACAAAATGGCATTTAACCAGCAGCAGCAGCAGCAGTATGGTAGTACTTTGCCGGCAGGAGGGCCTGTCGGAAGGATGTCGGAATTTCAGGCCCCTAATGTGCAACAGCAGGGACAGGAGCAGTATTATATGCAAGCAAATCAGCAGCCAATGTATCAGCAATATCAACCAGTGATGGCTCAACAGCCGCAAATGGTCATTATCGGAGTTGATGAGGCGGATGTAAAAAGCAAACGTTAAGGCAACCACGCAACTACAGAAGTTGTATCTTCCATAAGTATCATCTTCCGTGAGGAGATGTACTTGATACGATATTTTTGCGTATTTTTAGCTTGTAGAAGATAATTCTCTCTTTTGGCTTTTTGTCTCCATTTAACTACGCTGCGGCCGGAGGCTAACATCAAGGACTACTTGATGTAGGCCGCAGGGTGGGAAAAAGTAACAAGTTCGTTGAAGGTTTCACAAGTGAGAAACCATCGAAGTAGGCACTCATCCCATTCCCAAGGATGATTCGAAGATTTTTGCGAACACCGTATTTATTATAGCTCCGCTGTATCTCTATTTATTGATATAGCTCCTGTATCTTTTATTGATATAGCTCCTGTATCTTTTATTGATATAGCTCCTGTATCTTTTATTGATATAGCTCCTGTATTTATTGTTATAGCTCCTGTATTTCTTCTAGCTCCTGTATAGTGGACTCCTGTCTTTTGAGTCATTGGGTCTTCTCATGGAACTACTCCAATACATAGTACCTACACGTTATAGACCGCTTTGAAAAGTCCTAGGTACTATACCCCATCATTATTGGAGAAGCTCTAATGAAGTTTCTGGAACTGGATCGTTTCCTTGGAGGGAAGCTTTTACTTTTACTTTATCTTCGAACTGATCATGCTCATTCTGGTCAACACGGAGTGTGGAGTTGTGCCCAGCCTCTTTCTGTTGCAAGCTGTTAAGGCCTAGAAGTAATGTAGTTCCATGATCCAAGAGGTTTTTCTTCAATGGGAGAAAGGTATCTCGTATTAAGGCATCCTGAAGAAGCAAGAGTCTGCTTCTCAACCATGGCTGATGGATGTTCTTGATCTTCCAGAAGATGTTTGACCTTTTTCTGAACTCTCCAAATCCACCAAATCCAAATCATTAGCAGTGTATAGATAAAAGCGCTAACCTTGGCATCTTCTCCTACCTCAATCCCCAGAAGATGGGCCTTCCTGCGAACGGGATGTCAGGAGGAGGTAGCGACGGTCGGGATATTCTGAAACAAATGCAAATCGGCGCTGATCAACGAAACGCCGCCAACGACGGGGCTAGCATCGATATTGCGCTGCCCTTTTCTTTCACGATTGTGAAGATGATTTCTACCGGTTCGTTCTTGATCCTCATGATGTTAAGGCCCCTTCCCTATATAAACAACATGTACTAGTAGCTGCCGAATTATAGATTCGATTCGTTCTCGTTCAAGGTGGGTCGAGTACTTCACACATCATCATACGTATAGAAGACAGTTGTACAACGTACTAAATCTACTAAATAATCATCCTGAAAGAACATGATGTTTATGAGAAATTAAAGTCCTTCTTCCCTTTTTGAAGGCATTGCGAATAACGCCTCTTGCTAGGCACACTCACTCACTCCCTTTCTCTAATGATCGTCTTCCGTTGCGTACGCATCAGCGACCTACATTGGGGCCAATTTCGGAAAACGTGTGGTGCCCTGATCATGACCTTGACTCTCACGATTCTTGCGGTTATTTCCCTCCTCTGCGGTATTGTGCTTATGGAAAAATTAAATGAAATTGTTGTTATTCAACATTCTTTTTGACTGCACCGCCCCATGACGAAGGGGCTACCTACTTGTACCATTGCTACTATTAGTCCTACTACTAATATTCCCAACACCGAGAAATTCATAGAATGACTTCTCTGAGGTTTAGAGAAGAAGTACTATCTTCGCATCGCGTGGTTGTGGACTATGCGGGGACGTGGAGGTTCTCTTGATAATAGAGATAGAGGTGCTCGATCTTATTTTAAAGGCGATCTTATTTTGTTGCTAATTAATTAATATATATTAATAACAAATTTTGTCTTACCGTTATAATACCCTTACCCCCCCCCTTGAACCCCCCCCTTTGAACCGTTGCGCCGACCCTTATGACCCTTACGCCCCCCCCTTGCGATACCCTTTGAGACCCTTGCGACACCCTTACAGCCCCCCCCTTACAGCCGCCCCTTATGAAGCAGGCGACCCCTTATGATTTCTCCCCCCCTTTGTGACCCCCTTACAAGTTGGCACCTTTTTCCAACCTCTTCACCGTCGAACTCCGCAAAGTGCGCGCACACCTTCGCACTCACTGCCAGTGCTTCTCCTTGATGGTGTTCGGGATGTCGCGACTTTTGAACATCACCGCGCGCCGCTCTCCCATGGAAGTTGTCAGCTTTTGGATCATGATCGACAAGAGAGACAGAGCGTAGAAGAGTGCGCACCGGTCTACCCTGCAAGAGGGCCGCGCCCTATCATAGTGGTAGTTGTCTGGTCTCTCTCTGTCTGCTTTCACAGTAAAGAAGATGAACAACAACAACCAAGAGGAAGAAGATGACGCATCTTCAAGGCCTTGGGCTGCGTGCGTGTCTCACATGTGGAGACTTGGGGCCTGGCTGCTGGTTCCATTTGGGAGATGCTACTCGCAACACCTGCAGCCGGCCACATGTCTGGCAGATGGGCAACCGATGGGGCGGGCTATGTGCCTGCCATCCGAAGGAAGCGCGCTGCTTCTTATTGATTCGGCGCCTGACTGTTCAGTGTCCGCGTTGTGGTTGCCGGCTCTTTGCAGAGGAGGCGCGCCGTTTCCACCATTCCACAGCACCAGCGCCGACGGCTGATTCCCATGCTGTTGCAACGGTGTAGGAAGTACCCGCCCCCCTTTCCCGGGTGATGCTGTTGCTGGTGTTGCGGGTCAAGAAGGCGAGTCTCCTCCTGGCGCTGTTCTTGCTGCAAACGGAGCACCAGGCGAAGGAGGTGCTGAAGAACAAGGGAAAGGCAAGGGCAAAAAAGGCCGCGGGGGAAGCCAAAGGCAAAGCGAAGGCCAAGGCGAAGGCGCGCGCTGCGCCATACTGAACTCACGCCACAGAATAACAGGGCCGACAGTCGTGCTCCATCCTTTTGCACTTTCTTCGCCGGGTGTTTTCCGGGGGCGTGCCCTTTGTTTCCATTTTCTTCAGCGAGTGCTTTGCTCTGTCCTCTTACGCGCTTAGTTTTCTTCGAAACGCCGCATGTGGCATTCCCACCCCACGGCCAGACCGACCCTACTCAATTTCGCAAGCGATCAGTAGTCCTCTGCTAGACCGGCCTGGCGGCTCTTTTGGTGTTCGCTACCTACTACCCATGGCGTTCGCTACCTACATCCCATGGTCTTTCTCGCTCTCTATCTCAATGCACCCAGCACGCACCGCACTAGTTGAATTGAAAATCGATCTTATATATAAGGCGACCAACTCGTCCAACCTAAAGGAGCGGGGAAGATGAAGGGCAAGGGCAACTACCCAGCACTCAACCACAGAAGAAGATAGTGAAGCTGGGATGCACCCTTCTAGTATATTTTCATAGGCTACCAACCATCCAAAGAAATAGAAACTTGAAAACTAGAGCTACGCCTGGCCTCATGCTGGGGTCTCTTGGTAGATCACTACACATGGGACACATGTTGACCTGACCTGACCTTGCCTGACCTCATCCATATGTACTCATCTAATTCTGGCCTCGCGTTCTACGGACGATGCTGTTCTCTGCTGAATCAAAAAGCAGAAGCGGAGGATGCGCCCGCTTGTGTGGGCACGATCGGCTTCCTCTTTCCGCTCATCTTCGACAGCGTCTTCGTCTTCGTTGTGCTTCTTGGCGTCATCCAGATTCCCATCGGCTACTGCACTCTGCACCCGAAAACGGATAGCATGGTCTAAAACGGATAGCCACATGTTCTAAGGAGGTTCTTTGGGCTCCCCCCATTGAATCAAGAAGATCAGTGGAGGCAGCATGAGCTGAACACTGGAGGACGTGAAGCTTGTTAAACAGCAGGACTCCACCAATGGAGATAATGTTGAAAATCATACGATCAAGAACAGCGGAGCAAGGAAAAGGGCCGAACTAGAAGATGCTCCTCTACGTCGATCCACGGTGATAAAGGTGATTCTGATGGAGATGATGATGTCATATAATTTCTAATTATTAGCAACAAGTACAAGTAGGTCGCTTTCAAAGAAAAACTGCACCAGAGTTTATACCTACAAGAATTTGAAAAAATAGACTTACAGACCGAGATGGCTGTTCTTCTTGATAGTATGAGAGATAAAAACGAACGAAATAATTAAACAGGTAGAGAAGAATTGATATTTATTGAATTGTTTGTTTGTTTGACGTGTACGCGTAGACATAGACTGAGATTGACATAAAGATATAGAGATAGTTACTGATAAGGAATATACTTGATGAAATAATTAACGAAACCATGCCGAGAAGGTGACAACGTCTTAAGTCTTTAGCTTGGTTGCATCTATGTATAAAACTGGCTAAACACGGACGACCAAATGTAGCTTTTGAACAACTCTTGGAACTCTTGCTTCTTGGGGCTTTGTACCTACAATTGATGGCTCTTTTTGCTGCCCTCGTCGCAAGAAAAAGACAACATGTAAGTACTCAAAAGAACGCGTTGTACTAAAAAGAACATGTTCTTGTACTAAAACGAGAAGATTTGTCTTCCACGAATATCGACATACTAGTTGTATTTCGAACAATTAATGACAATATTTAATGAACACAGATACTTTACTCCAATGATGACATCAACGGGATCCAGTGCTCGTTTGCGCTCAGGTCATTGCAGTGCTATCAGGAAAACGCGACAGGCACAGGACGAGATTTATTGACTTAGTCTAGCTCTTACACTCTTGTGCTGTCTTTTTCTTTGCGTCTGTGAAATGCGTGCTTTCTTTGCGCCCACCCCAGCTGGTGCGTCGAGCGATCGTATTGGAGGTTAATGCACTCCCACCATCGCCGGGCAGCATCCTGGAAAATATGTGGGTCATACTAATTATTTAGTATACCGCCCGCCATAACCCCTTCGAAGAATTTGCAACTGTAACTAGCTCTTTGGAGTGGTTCCCCAGGGGCAGGGGTCAACGGAATTTCAAAACATTTGCTAGAACAATGAACTGCAGGTGAATGTGCAAGAAAAGCAAACAGATGCTTCGCCAAAATAAATGTGAAATAGCATCAGTCTCGTCTTCTGGACGAAATGCAAGGTCAAAATTCAAAATCCAGAATTCAAAATCAAAATTTAAAGTTCAAAATTCAAAATTCAAAATTCAAAATTCAAAATTCAAAATTCAAAATTCAAAATTCAAAATTCAAAATTCAAAATTCAAAATCAAAATTCAAAATCAAAATTCAAAATCAAAACTCAAAGTCAAAATCAAAATTCAAAATTCAAAATTCAAAATCAAAATTCAAAATATGAAATCAAAATCAAAACGAGGGAAAAACTTTATACTGTAAGAGATTGTAATGGCATTTTGTATATTAGAATCTTAGGGAGAAAAGGAAAGAGCAATTTGGATAATTTGAGCGAAGAGAACGAGAAGGAACACTACGTGTAGGACAATTATCTATGAAATGAAATGAAAAAAAGGACAATTATCTAGAACTGAAAGAGACCTACTAGGCAAGAACTGCGAAGAGAGTTTTCGTCATCTGTTGAGCAGGGAGATACATCTGTTGGGCAAGGAGATAATTTTCATTCTGTTGTGAGGATTCAGAAATTTTCATCAATGCTCGCGATCGCGAACATTATAATAAGGATAAATAAAGATCTTCTTCACAGTTCTTGTACTTCCTAAGTTGTAGTCAACTTCTTCTAGATACGAATACAAGAAGTACAATATTATATCGTTTCAAGAGCAACAAAATGGCATACAACAACCAAGGGGACAATGTCGAATATGCTGAGGTGCAGCATACAAACAAGAGGGCAATGTTCACGCAGCAAGCGGTCCACCGGAAGCGGATACAATCGCTGCGACGCAACTTTTGACCAACGGCCATCATCATCGGTTGTTAATAGGAGCACTTCTAACAACCGATGATGATGGCCGTTCAACCGCAGATCGCGATGATCCAACCGGACAAGGCTGACGTGAAGAGCAAGCGCTTTTGGACTTGGGTAGATGAAGATGAATCACGGAGAGCGCTAACTCTGGAGGGAAGCTTCTACTTCTATTTCATCTTCTTCGAGCTGCTCACGTTCGTCCTTTTGGCTAACACGACGCACAGTCTCGAAGGTCTCGCGCTCTTTTTGGGAGCCGGTATGCTTTCGTACCTGAGCCCAAGTACTGGCCGTGCCGGGGAACAAGCTAATAACCCCCCATTGGAACATCAGGGCGCCTCAGTCTTCTTTTCTTTCACGATTTTATTGGTCGGTTTTTTTCATGAGAGAAAGAATGATACTATTCACGAGAAAGCCAAGCACAAGAAAACCAAGTTCTTGATGCGCATAATTTTTGATTAAACCAGCTGAAACTCTCACCAGCTGAACAGTTCTTACTCATTCTTTTTACGAAGTTGCCTCATAAATGAGGCGTCCTTCTCTCTCTTGGAAAGTTGTTTTTCCTTACGTAAACCAAGTTCTTGATGCTTCTGCCCGTAGCCGGGCATTTCTCATTTCAAAGATCGGCACTTTTTGCATAGATCGACAGTAGCGCTCTTACCGATTGCGATGGATTTTTTTAATAGTATCATTTTTTCTTTCACTGGCTTGGTTCTTGCTTCCCTAGTTTGTAGTTACGTCTGCTTCACCGCAAATTTAATTACTCATGTTGAGCATTTTGTCGTAATCCCCTTCCCTCAAAATACAAATCCTATTCATCCCATGCATAATATCCTAATGAGAAAACAATGAACTAGACGCGCAACAGAATGCCTACAACACAGCAACGAACTTAGTCTTGGGCTTGACCACAATAAGTTCTAAGACCAACAAAAAGTAGGCGCAGACGCAGAGAATTCAACATACCAACTTCTTACCGATAAACTGACGAGGGCGTGTAGATGTAGAACTAGAAGAGTGTTGTACTACTCCTTGATCATTAGTATAGCATAGAAGAAATTGATGAAAACATCAAGCGGAGCAGGAGGTGACGTAATAACTTCTTTAGCTCTTGATAGATGTAATTGATAGCTACTAATGAACCAACCAACAAAATTTGTATATTTTCGAGGCCATTTTCCCTCGAGTGATGTGCCCCTCCTGGGGGCCTCACAACGAGAATTCATCAACATGTTGCACTTGAAATGCTAGATTATACCAGGAGGTCATGGATGAGGACTACAAACATGATTTTCAAACCGGCGGGAAGAAGATGACTTCTTCTAGTACTGATGATGATAATGATGGACTTCTGTTGCTTAGGAGGACTACCTCGACGCCTAGCCACGTAGTCTCTGAGACGCCACGACGATGATACCGTAAGTATAAAAGCGTCTTCTGTTGGTGATGAAGAGCCTCCGTTGTCGTTGTCGAGTACTGCAAATATCTCGAAGGTTCTGTCGGTGATGAAGAGCCTCCGTTGTCGTTGTCGAGTACTGCAAATATCTCGAAGGTTCTGTCGGTGATGAAGAGCCTCCGGTGTCGTTGTCGAGTACTGCAAATATCTCGAAGGTTCTGCCGGTGATGAAGAGCCTCCGGTGTCGTTGTACAATTGCTATCGCAAAGGCGCATGCGCAAGACTTCACTTGTTCGCTCGCAGCAGTAGCTTCTTCAAAAATACAGCTCTACTACTTTGATTGGAGTTTGTTCTTCTACGTAGTCGTGGACCCACACCTAACCTAACTACAACTAGTAGTAGTACCTCTTTTATAGTCATCAAAGAACAGCAACGCAACATAGCAATAAAAATGTCCTCCAGACCAGCATCCTCCTCACCAGCATCTACCGACGTTCACCGGCTTCTCCGCAAGAAGGATGAGCAGGTGCCTTGGTCTGTACAGGAAGTTGCAGATATTGCGGACAGGTTTGGTACCCCGCTGCACGTCTACGATGAGACAACGATTCGAGGACAGTGTGGCAAGCTAAAAGCCACGTTCGGTGGGCTGAATAAAACGTCCTACATGAACTATTTCGCAGTAAAGGCGACGCCGACGCCAGCAATATTGAAACTGATGAAGTTATGAAAATCTTGTTCGTGATGAGGACTGTGACCGTGTACTTACGTATTCAGACCATGCGCTAATTGCATACAACAAGTGCATGAGAAAAATTAAATGAAGGACACCAACGCAATTTTTAGTACTTACAACATGCTCTTGATAAAGAGAGACTAGGCACAATCATCATCATGACCATTACACTACTGCTCCTACTCCTTCCAGTCTTTGTTTCTGCCTGGAGGAAGGAAAGTTGCCACCTTTCTGCCTCTCACTTTCTGCCCCGTTTCTCCCTGGGAGGAAGGGCCCCACCTTCGTCGTGTCAACGAACCGAGCCCAACGAGCTAACAAGACTCAACTCGACGTCGACCCGACTCAACTGAAGCCAACTTAGGCCCCCTCAACTGAACGCAGCGCAACTTAAGCCAAATTAACTGAACCCAACCCACCCAGCCCAATGGACGACTGAACTCAAGTCAACTCAACGGAACCCAACTCAAACAACGGAACCCAACCCAGTGCAGCCTCCTCGGACTTAAGCCAGCCACACTCTCTCAAGTTCGTGCGCCCAGCTCTACCGGATACAATTCAACCTGAGCCCCACGCAAGTTAACCAAACTCCAACGCAACTCAACCAGACACCATCGTAGTCGGCCACTCCGTGAGCTCCTTAGCCGTGCTAACCATTGCAGAAAGTGGAGCCTAGTGCAGTCCCGGATTCAAACTGCCCTAGGGTGTGCAAAAAAAGCCCCTGTAATGTTGTAGGGCCCCTGTCGCCGGCCCTACCCTCCTCCTCCTCCTCCTCCTCTAACATCCGCAGAAGGCTTTGGAGCGGATTGTAGTTCGATGGCTGAACTACTATTGGCAGAACGATGTGGCTTCCAAGGTGAGGAGATTATGTTCACGTCCAATAACACGCCGTCTGCGGAATTCAAGCAAGCCATGGATCTTGGAGCCATTGTGAACTTCGACGACATCACGCATTTGGAGTTTTTGGAGAAAGAAGTACTTTTATCTATTTTTTAGAGTTATTTTGGAAATATGAAGTTGTACTAGTACTGTTCGTTGGAAAGAAAACCAAGAAACTGCAAAATAAACATATCCGCCAACTCACAGATTGCACTTTGGAACAAAGAATCTCCTAAGAAGTACTCCTTTCCGGAGTTGGTGTCCTTCCGTTTCAATCCTGGGCCTTTGCGCACGGGCAATGCCATCATTGGAGACCCGAAAGAAGCTAAGTATGTTATGAATGGTGGTCGTAGATGAATCTCTTTGTAGAAGCGACCTAGCTACGCAATAGTACGAGTTGTACTGGTAGTTGTATTTGTATAGTTGAATGGTACTAGTAGTTCTTGACTACATAAAAATTAAGCCATGCCGATGCCCAAGGAGTCTCCCTATCACAAGAAATAGCCGCGTTTTATCAGTTCTTTGAGGACTTGACGTTTTTCAACATCTTCCACTACTTCTAATCAATGCCTCTCCCGCAAGCAGTTGCTACAGGCATATGCCTATGCGCGTGACACATGCGGCGCCTCGCGGTTTGGATTGCACACTATGGTGGTTTCGAATTGCCTCAAAGCGGAGGAGCTGGTGCAGACAGCGCATATGCTGTTCGAGCTTTGCTTGGAGATCAAAACTGAACTTGGGATTGACATTGAAATGATAAATTTGGGTGGTGGAGTCGGAATCCAATACGATCCGCGTGACGGTTCGGACCTAGATCTGGCGAGAGTGAGGACAGGACTCGAGAAAGCTTATCAGGAATGGAACGTATTTGTTTCTACGTTGGTTGTTTCTATCTCTTCATCTAATTGTCATGATTGTCTTTCTCGTCTTTAGAAGGTATAGACTACTGTGGTGGAAGACCCGCGAGTGGCTCCCTCTAAGTGATGACTGTCTCAGTCTCGAGATATTTATAATAGACTAATTTTTTAGACCCGCAAAGGCAAATGCTAGTGGTACAACTACGAATACTACGTTTTATGTTGATCATAGTAGACTCCTGACGTCCTCCATCAAACTCAAACTCAGACCCGTTCGAGCGGCTTGCTCTCGAGTACCCGCATTGTGACAGAGTGTGGTCGCTTTGTGACAGCACCAGGTGGCTACCTCCTCGCTCGCATGATGTTATGATGGGAAGCGACAGTGTTGAGAGTAAGTACGTCGTAATTATTAGACCAGAACACTTGATGATGAAGATGTAATGCCTTGCTTTAGAAGTTGGAGACGAAGGGTCTAGCTGGTTGTTGGAGATGAGGGGCAGAGCATTTAGTTCTACTACTAGATGCTCTTCAGACAGCATGGAGATGAAGATGAGTGGTCGTGTAGTTGAGCAAGTAAGTAACATTAAAACAGCATGCGCATGGTCGTGTACTGGTTGAGCAGATATTAAGTAACACAAACATGAACATCCTAGTAAGTAGTGGTCTATCTCTAAACTTTCACGGCAAGAGGGTGTACAAGAACTACGTTGGGCTTGACGCTTGCATGGCCAACCTAATGCGTCCCGGCATGTACGGAGCTTATCATCACATCACCTGCTTGCCTATGTTAGGAGAGACATAATCATTTGACTTTCTCCGTCTAACTCTCAGATGAGACTTAGAACTTAGATGAGCATCAACGTCGGAGGTTGTAACTAGTCGTGGAAGTAAAAGCTGGTCGTGCCATCTACGAGGGCATTGGTCTTTAGTTGATGTAGTATTTATGTAGTATCTTTCCTTCCTCCTGTCGGGCCACCTCCGTTTTTGACACTCTGGTGCCAGTTACACTAAGACTAAGGAGAACAACCTCCAAAAACTACCTCTTTTTTATAGTATCAGGACTCCGCCTCTAAGACTATCTGAGCCAATTACACTGCCGAGAGTAGCGCCATCGTCCAGTAGCTGCTCGTCGACCGCGGTGGGTGGTGACTCTTCTGCTTCCTGTTGTTCCATAGAGGATGTGGCTGGTGTTAGTACTACAAATATAACATCTACGTGCACCAAAACCAACCAAGGACTCAATTGGCAGACTGTGAATAACGAGGAGGAGATGAACATGTGTGGATGGACTGCTTCAGCATCTTCTTAAGGCTCAATATATTTCATTTCATCTCTCTGTGTTTCCTTCCTGGGAATCTAGTACAGAAATGAGTCTGCACTGTACCGCGGAAAATATGTAGGCAGGTTCTTCACGGAACTCGCTCGCGATACCAAAAAAAAAAAAAGCGAGATTAATTGTATTGTATTGTAGCCAAAGAAATGAATTGTTTGGGCTCGTCTAATCTTCCTCGTCCTCTGGTGGTAGTGGTGGTGCATCAGCATCGTCTTGCTCAGAAGGTTGTCTGGGTCCCGTATTGGCTAAGATAAGCGAGGCGCTTAACAAACCGAAATTTTTGGAACAGTTGATTCAGTTAAGACTTGATGTTGGGAATATTAAAGATGACAGAGATGATGAAGACACTGTAGGTAATAAAAGCCATCTACTTGTTTCTGTTTCTCGTATTTCTTCCTGTTCCTCAACTCGTATAACATCGCTTTCCTTCAAGATATTTTCTTCGTTCTTGCTGGAGTCTCAGTTTGTTACTACATCCAAGTAAGTTAGTAGGTGGTTTGAAAAGAAACCCGAAACCTTACATACTGAGCTTCTAATTCCCCCAGGAGCAAGAGCGAAAACTTCAACCACCGAAGGTTCTGCCAGCGACAAAACAAATCTGTACGATGTCACAGGAGGCCTCTGCGAAAACAACGACAAGTTTGCGATAGACCGATATCTTCCAGTGGAACCTAAGGTGGGAGACCTGTTTCTAATCCACGACGCTGGTGCACATGGGCACTCTATTAAGACATAACAAGTAAGTAGAAGCTGAAGTAGATCTAGATGCTACTTCTAGAAAATGAAGTGGGATACTTCTGATACTTCTAGCAGTGGGGTCCCTTTTCATCTTATTGTAAACTTCAAAGTGAATAGTCGAGTCCTCCTTGTCTTCCATCTTCAAAATCAATCCTGCTAGAGTTTGTGCTCGTGTTCCACAGGAAGATGAGATGATGTTGCGCTCCTATGCCCCTTGGTGTAGTGAGCAGATGGAGTTACTCAGTATGAATATCAATATGTTTATTTATTGTTACCTCTCAGGGAAAAGGAAATCTTATCGCCGAGTAGATTCGCATCGTCATGCGTATTACCTCTAGGCCCTTCGACCGTCAAGAGGTTATCCTCGTCATCCTGAAGGCTGTTCTAATTTTCTGGGATTCAACTACAACGGCAAGCTACGCAGTGCGGAGGTGCTGGTGAAGAAAGAAGGCCCTGTCCTGATTCGCCGCGCCGAGACGCATCAGGATTTGTTTGCTTGCATAGAAGGGTATTACGGACGAGAATAGGTCTGTGTACCATGTCGCCAAGTGGACTCCGATAGGTCTGACTGACAGGATGATGTGGCCCCGTATTTGTGAAAATGCGTGTGGGTGTACGACTGAGAAGATGTTGGTTGAGGACGTATTCTCACGGCTAAGTACTACGTTGTATTGTTCGAGTTTTGGGTTGTCATTATATATGATAGAGAGCGCTGTGGCGAAGTCGATGTCGAAGATGTTGTGAATACTAGATCTAGAGGGACGCACCTACGAGAACAACACAGATTGATCTATGGTTTTTTCATGGGAGTACATACTGCTCGCAGCACTGCTCTCCGTATACTACTATCATGAGTTGAACAAGACGCATACTGCAAAAGACAAAGGAATGACACACAATGAATGGCATAGAGTTCACATGTTATGAGTGGGAGCACAATCTCAGATACCAGTGTGACTGAGCAGATTTGATATCATAAATGAAAGTCGATAAGTCCTTCCTTCAAATCCTAACCGATGCCGCGATACCATTCAAGAGCAATTAGCTTACCCTTAAAATATCATGTGTCAGCCAATCTATCTACTCTAATTCCACTTCTAAGAAACCGGCGCTATCATTTAAAGTCTAAATTTCTGTCCGATCTTATCTTTTTGCTATTCCTAAAGAGTTGCAATATTTTCATAGAGGTTTGGAAAAAATCGCTACAAACAACAAAGAGTGAGAGTGTCGACTTGCGTGAGCAATCAGATGCATGGCCCGTACTAATGGCAGCAACTACAGAGTTAGAACGAAGTACCAGAGCGAGAGCTCTGGCCCGCTGGAAAGTCATATGGAAGTCGATCCTTCCGAAGAGTAACGAGAGTGGAGCACTTTTTTTGACTCGTAACGAGCGACTGACGAGCACGAGTTGCCTCCGCATGTTAAGGACCCGAGTGTCTGCGGCTCTTCTTTATTTCATCCCTTTCACTTTGAAGATGAAAGAACAAACACAATTGAAGTTCTTGATCTCTCTACATTCCGATGTCCCCGAACATAAATCGGTCCTTCGACGTTCTGAAAGTTCTTAAGTAAGTATCTTCAAGAAGACGAAGAAGTTCTGAAACAAGAAAACAGCAGGATTGCGTGCTTCTCCTCCCTTCTTTTTCATCCCAGACACCTCTGAAAATGTAGTTGGTCCCCAAGAACCCAATCTCTTTCATCTTGTTATAAAGGACTCAAATATTGAGGACTCGAAGATCTCGCTCATGCTCATCTCCTCGTAAATGAGATAATGTACTTGCACATGTACTACTCGACGATCTTGTTACTTGTCGATGAAAGTAAGTGTTTTCGCACTAGAAATCTTCAATCAAAGTACTAAGTGTTTTTTTAGAAAAATCCACAAGAGTCTTCAATGAATGTTAATAATTGCAGAGGTACGACGTTAAGGTGTTACTCGTACCTACTTGAAGCGTAGTTGTAGCAAATCATCATATAATCGTTTGCACTAGAAGCTACAACGTCGCGACCTGCTCCCGCACGTCATTTAGTGCTAATAGACTGCTCACAAAAATACCTACGTGTGACTACTTCTGATTACGTGTGAAGTGAAGTTGTAGAGGAGGCTTCTACACGATGAATCTTCTCGCGCCAGCTGGTGAACATCAAGCCGCTCCACGACCCGATGGAAATCAAGCGCCTCTCCTTAAGGCTTGCAAGTATTGACCTATCTAATATCATCTATTCTTCTAATATCATCTGTCTTTTTTCTAGTTAGGTCGGCTCCACCACAATCTATTATAGACTGTAGAACATCCCCTCACCTCGTGCAAATGCATTAAGATAAAGTCACCCAGCACACTGGCGTCCCCTCGCTCTAGAAAACACCTCGCGAACAGGTAAATTATGAGTGAATGTTGAGTGAGTGAATGATGCACTAGTCTAAGATAGTGATCTTTTCTTTTTCAAGGGGGATAAAACTAGAAGGCATTTATAATGCCAGATGTGTTCGGAGATTTGCACGCTAGATTTCTAGATCATCATCGGTCAAGAACTTGCAGGCGCTAATCTCTCAGCCGGTGGCGATCAACCACCAGCAACACAGGTGGATGTTGGGGTGAGCCAGAATGAACCTGAGGATGCCGATAATGCGGATCCTCCACAAGAAGAAGTGCGAGTCTCAATGAAAGTTATGGCTACAAAGATGAATCATGGATATCGATGTAATTCATTCATCCTCTGTAACTCTAGTGGTAGTGCTCTGCAACTCACTGTAGTAGTGCTAGTGGGTTAAATTTGTATCAACCTTACTAATACTAGAGTGGTCTATAATGGTGTGGGTTGTATCATTCAATTCCGCTTCATATCAACGTAGCTTACTGCTCGGCTACATACCGAATAATTATCAAAAATACCCCTCCTGCACATTAAATATATTTGCAGAAAGAGAAACCATGCCCATCCCGATGCAACATGGACGAAAAAACCACAAGGTTTAGGCTCTCGTCTCATCTTCAGTTAGCTAAAGCCTCATCATCTAACACCCTATCGAATTCGTCGGAGCTAGAACCCATACGGAGTGCCAAGTTAAGCGAGGAGGTGAGGAAATGCCGCAGGATAGCTCCAGAGCGCTACCAGAGCGTCTTCAGACAGGCTCAGGCATACTTCTCAGTCGAAGACTTCGAGTTCTGGCTTGAAGATGCACAAAACCAACTGAGGCTTAGGGAGTACTCGTTGTTATTTTGAATTTGGTGGAGCAGTTTTTTTTCGTTTCGTTTTCACTATAGATACTTTCTGTGGTGCTTGAAGTCATGATATTATCTTGCTTGTTTTCAGTTTAATGATCATGAAGATTATCTTCAAGCCTGCAAATCGTGCTCCGAAGCGACCTGCCTGCCAACAACGACCCCCGTATCATTTTCACCACCAGGGTAATGTTATTCTGGGGAGCCCTTCTATCTTCACTATCTTCACCAGGTGGCTCCTGCAATTCAACAGTAGTGACGCGCATATTTCCTCTAAGGGAACCAAAGCTCTGCATGACTTCGTGAAGGTGCGGGTGATGGCTAGGCGTCGCCAATTGGACGCTCAGGGCATGTCCAGCTCCAAAGTGGTGGAATACTTAAGGCGTGGTGATGGTCCCTTTTTAAAGTCCTCCCCCTTTAATTCAAAGGTGGCGTGGCCCCATTTTATTCGAAAATTGATAACATAAGCGAATACATAGCTGCTAACTGAAATATTTATAACGAAATCCATCTTGGTTGGTGAGGAGCATCTTGGGCGAGCCTTTGCGCGCCCCCTCTAAGGAAGCATCTTGAGAACAAGCATCTTACTTCTTCTTTGACCCCTTTTCTCTAGTAAGGAAAGATGAAAGCTTCTCCGTGGAGCCTTGCTGTAAGGGGAAAGCACATTCATCATCACGAGGACAGATGCCCTCGCATCTTCATCTTTGACCATGGCCTCCCCTTTATTTCTCTATAAGGTAGGATAGGAAAGCAGTCCATCCAAGATGCTACCCATCCAAATCCATATCCAAGATGAGTCAATATATCTGGTTTGTGGTTGAAATTAACACTGTTCGTTGCCTCACGTAGTACATGCGATACTGTAGCTATAACGCAACTACAAGTCTGTGTCATGATGGAGAGTTTACCTGGTGTAGTGGAAGTAAATAAACTTGTAGACGAGTTAGATTGACATCGTTATAAGGCATCAACTAGCTCTAGCTCTAAAGCACGTCTTTCACCGAACAAAGAAGGCATACGGATCACAGTCTATGGGGTTATGGGCAGCCTACTTGGAGTCAAAATCACAAAAAGTCGCTGTGTACGTGGACAGCCATATTCAGTAATATTTAGATTTAGGTTTACTATTTACAGTAATTGTGCCGCTGTGCCTGGTTTTTGTTTCATCTTCCCGTAGTTACTAACTTATTGATAGAGTACTAGTCTCATCATCTATACCTATTTCTAGTGCTTTTTTTTACGCTAATAAACATAGCAACTTTTGAATTTGAGTAATATTTGGATGATATTCAAGAATTTTTGACTTTATTCCTCCATTTAGATTTAATTCGAATTCATTTCCTGACGGAGAGATTGCATCAGCGTCAGAGGCTGCCATACTTTGTCCTGAAAAACGAACTAATAGTGTTCGTGTCATCTAAAAACTTGAACAGTTCTCGAATTTCTCTAGAAACACTTAAAAAAGTTAGAATATACTCAATATTTACTAGCATGATGTGAATAAACAGGTTCAAATCCAAAAAAGAGAATCTAAAAAATAATCTATACTAGAACAGTTTATAGGGCGGGCGTCAGATTCAGGATGACATGGAACGGATGGACTTTCCAGGCCCGCTAAGAATTTCAAGTAGGACCCGAAGGCATAGGTGGGTCTATCCCATCCATCCCCGTCCGTCTTACCTCCGTTTTATAAATTATTCCAATGAATGGTCTTTTGCTTTCTGGCTCTTTCTCGTGTTTGTTTATGTTACAACTTTGACCACCGGTATTACGTAACCACCTATCGAGAACACCTATCCACTAAAAAACTACAGGGAAGCAGAGCGCCTGCATAAGTCAAAATCGTTTACAAGTAGTGGAGCCGCTTCTGCTAGCAATGGCGCAATAGGCAGTTCGGGATCTAGTACAGCTGCTCTGCATCTGCATGAGAGGATCCGAGCGATTAAGGCGAGAGCTAACGCTACGGATAACGCACCAAGAACACTGGTGAATGGAGGTATGATTATCTACCTATGTATTATTTTCATACACTAAGCAGAGGCGCGGCCCACGCACCTATCCTATCCTATGGGTTAGTTTTCTTGATGAAAAAGTTTCAATTACGATAGTATAAAAACAACTACAACACTATTTTAATTATATGGGTGGACGTGTATAATGTTGTTGTAGTTTTTTTGTTTTCTTGAAATGAATTATATCCTGTTGATGTGGGAACTACAGAGATGTCCAAACTATTCTGCACAAGTCAGGTCCAGTTAGCACTTTGACGCTGACCCAAGACGCGTTAGAGAAGCTGGGTAAGAGACCCGCGCCTGCACCGCCTAAAGACGTGCAAAGGAAAAGAAGAAAAGATTAAGGCCTCAGCACTTAATACATCTTTTAGCTCATCTGGTGTAAGCTGTTTTCGAGTAGAAAAGGGAAGACAGATGGGGCGAATAAAGATGGACTGTAGTGAGATCTAAAAAGAAGAGGAAGATAAAGACCGAAGGCGCAAGCCAGATCATGTTATGGCGGATAGAGGCAATCCGAAGCGTACTATTACCGGAGCTGGTGGAGTCAACACAACATCTTCTTCAAAGGTAGTAGTCGAACCCAGAAACGGTGGTAGCCTTACCGCACAGGAACTGCTTGGAGGAGATCCCTCGCCAAATACTAGGAAAGCAACGACTACAGCTGGTGGGGCTTCATCTAGTGCAGCTTTTGGTCATCATGCAGTTGCTCCAAGCACGACGACCACTACGACCAAGAAGCCATCAATTTTCACTACCACGCCACACTTAAGGCTTACAGTCACACTATAACTCATCTTATAAATATTGAGAAGCATCTCTGACCCTTTTTCTAAGGGGAAAGCACGCTTACACTATAACTCATCCTATACTTTTAAGAAGCGCCACGACTGTCTTTCTTTGGTCCCTTTTTCTTTATAAGGGACGAAAGAAAGCACCACGGCAAAGAAGATGCTTTTCGTCAAGATCGATGAAGAATATAAGTAACAAGGTCTAACACATGGCCTACCATTGCCACCGCCTGCCTCCTCAAGTAATATGCCAGCAGTTTCAATCTCTTCTAGCCCAAAACCCACTACTTCTGCAACGACAACGAGCATGCAACATACTAGTACTACGGCAGCCGCTGCATCAGCTGCTCCAGGACCACATACTATTAAGGCTCTTTCAGGGAATCCATCTCCAAAAGCAGCATGATCTTGGGACCTTGCTCTAAGGGAAAACGAAAAGCAAGCCCAGGGTGACTTTCAAGATGGATTCCGGGATGAAGGTCTAACACAGCAAGTACCAATACCAGTGCAGAAGGAGCTGCAGTTGTGCCTGGAGGAGCTAATGCAGCTGTGCCAAATAGTAGTTCCTCTTCAGCAGCAGCCTTATTAGCAGACGATGACGACGACCTCCTAGCGGCCGACATGATTACTACTAAAAAGAAGAAAACAACGACAGGCTATGAAGATGTGGACATCGACTACGATGATTTGTGAACGGAGGAGATGAAAGATACGAACATGAAGAGGACAGCTGTGTGCTTAGGTAGATCAGTAGCTCTTGTGTCCTGATGTAGGTAACGTGACAGTTTCATCTGGAGGAAATAAAGGAGGAAGAGGAACCTCTATGATGTTGACACGTACAACGAACACCTGAGAATCGTGCTGAATATGCTTTTTACAACGCTTTATGATGAAGAATTGGTCTCAACATATATGAATGATTCATCCACGCCTTCCTATCAGTATAGATATCACTGCCTTTCGAATAGAAAGACCGCATAGTTCTAGAGTGTCAATTTGGCGGTGGCCTGTCGGAGTTAGGGGAGTTTATGAAGATAACCTCAATCTCAACGCCACTTTTGTGGGAGCAACGAAATACCACGAAGAGATCGTAACAAGCATGAGGCGGGTACATTCATTTACCCCTGGAGTGGGTCGTGCATTTATTCCTTCACTCAGGCGGAAAAACGAGCCAACTGATGTACTTCCAAACAGTAGCTTAGAAGTGACTCAATACTTGCGAAAACATGGCTTCTGTTTAGATCCAAACGATTTTTCGCCGACTGGCCTCAGCTGTATCAATCTTGAGATGAGTCTGGTCTTTCAGAGACGATCATGAATCTTCACGATCATCTCCTAGGAGGTTATCAAGCTTACCTGTATCTCCACGAGTCCTAGAAGTCTGAAGTTCTGGTCACTAGAAATCTGAACAGATTGAGCTTGTGAATAGATGACGAGCCACGAAAATCAACAAATAATACCAAGTTGGCTACTAAGTAATAATAGTTCGGTACACCCTGACTAGAGAGATCCGAAGAAAGCCAAAACAGTGAGAAATCATCGTGAACAAAAGTCTGCGGATTCTCATTTCGTAGAAGAGGAGAGCTGCGTAGAGAGTCTCATTGACAACATCTTGTCATTCTGTAGAATCTCTACCTCATTCTGTCAGGAAGTGTCTGTTGTGTGGTCTCACGTCCTATCTAGTTGAGAGTGCCGCTATGTAGCGTCTGTCTCTGAGTCTCATTCTGTTAAATCACAACATCAATATGCGTATGTAAACCGCTGAGCAAAAATGACTGCGAAGCTGCGACGTAATTGTGATTTCTCGTTCAAAGAAACTGAAACTTTATCTTTTCGTCGTAACAATCCTGAATATTCTCTTTCCCCTTGATTCCAGGATAATTAATGAAATTCATGCTCGAACCACTTTGGTTCTACAAAGTATGGAAAGTCGTTCTAGAAAACGTGACAGTCTTGATATCGTTTTCATTGTAATTTGATTGGGATTGTTGTACTAGTTGTACTAGTTGTTATCTTTGTTCGTTTCTTTCCTGACATTGATGTGTGTCTATGCGATAGAAGTGCTGAAGCCCGTGGCGGACTCCTTTAGAGTGATGTGGAATTTTTATGAATTTGAGATGTGAGAAGTATAATGACTAAGTATATGCTGTGAATGTGATATGTTCTTGCGATATGTGAGCAGCAGTTCCCGCTTATTAGTTTAGTAGTAACGTACTACTATTCTGGCTTTTATTTCGAGTCGTGATCAGCATCCTCATTTCGTGCTTCTGGTTTCACTTGATTATCGTCGGCCACTGCGTCAGCCGTTGCATCAGCAACAAGATTAGTATCTGTTGCATTGATCATTTTCTCCCAAGAATAGAAAACTATGGCTCCTGATGACCACGTTGGGGGACAATTCTCTGGAGATGCTCCTTCTCAACATAATTCCGTTGCGCCAGTAGGTGGAGAGCCTCCAGCCGCAGCTTTGAGTAGTTCTGAACAGAGACGCGCCTCTTTCTTCTTCCAGAAGCGGTTTTTTAAGGCTTCTAGTTTATCGCTTCTTTTCCCTCCGCGTGTGAAGTATGAGTGTCTATGGTGCTGAGGGGCGTCCCCCTCTGGAGTTTAAAGGGGAAACAACTTCCTAGGGGGGCACCTGGCATCTACTCGCCCCACCACGGATACTAGACCCAAAAGCTAGCGCTTTTAGGCGGGAAGATAGTGAAAAACTACTTCTAGCACTTCTTCTCCTAAGATATACTGTGAGCGATGTTTAGACCAGTCTCGCATGTCTTTGCATTACTTGGATCCCCCAAGACTGCCAAGATTTTGGAACCTTGATGCCCCTGGCGGTGCTACTCTCTCTGGGCCTGGGCGAGCTGTTCTTAAGGAAAAAAGACCACTCAGTCAAGCTTTCTCGAAGTTTTCTAGAAGTAAGATCACTCAGCCAAGCTCTCTAGAAGTAAGATCATAAGGCTAGGCTTTGCACTACTTAGGCTCCCTCGCGTTCTTGTGACCTATGGATGCTGAGTGGGCTCAAGTAGTAGTAGTAGTAGTAGCGCAGTGGCCCTCCCCCTCGCTAGTTTTTCTAGAAGTAAGACCATTCAAGCAAGGACTGACGGAGGGTGGAGACTTCTTCACTGTGCACTAGACTAGTAACGCAGTAGCAGTGTAGTTGTACTAGTTCTCTTCTATACCCCTGAAGTCGGTGCACTCACTTACGCACTAGCTGACTCACTTACTTACTCACTCACTGACTCACTTACCCACTTGCGCACTTACTGAGTGACCCACTTACTCACTTACCCCCTTACCCACTCACTTACCCACTCACTTACGCACCCACCCACTTACCCACCCACTTACCCACCCACTCACCCACCCACTCACTCACTTACCCACCCACTCACTCACTTGCCCACCCACTCACTCACTTAGTCACCCACTTAGTCACTTACTACTTGCTTACCCACTCACCCACCCACTTACCCACTAACTTGCTCACTCACCTACTCACCCCCTTACTCACTCCTTGGCCTACTCACTTACGCACTCACTCACCCACCCACTTACCTACTCACTCACGTACTCACTCACCTACCCACTCACCCAAAGCTCCTGACTTAAGGGGAAGGAGAGAGGCTCTTTGTGGTTCAGGGCAGCTCCTCTCATGGTGGTCAAGTTGGCCGCAAAGGAGGAAGTATAGGGCAACGACTCATAGTCAAGTAGGCATGCATCATAGTGAAAAACAACCGCCGGCCGCGCTAATGTTCGAAACGCTTTGGAAAGACGGACCTTGTGCAATGTCGGAGGCTTCTTAGCCAGTGGGCCCAGTGGTAGGAGAGGAATAGCAGGTGACGACCCGAGGAATATGGACGACCAAAATCGAGCCGAGGACGAAAAAGCGATGTCGAGCAATCTTGTGGCTGGCAGTGTAGATCATGTGCACATGATTGGACCCGCAAGCATTCCACGACCTAGCGGAAATGGAAACACTACAGGAGCAGGACAGCACACAAATCAGAAGGTGAGCGGCACAAACGGTAACGGAGCAGGAAAGAAGGCCACTGGAAGTGGACCAAATGGATCAGGCTCATCGGGTGCAACAATTAAGGCTTTCGGGATGGATCCATTTTCAGAAGCTGAAGCATCTTGGCGCACCCCTGTAAGGGGGAAGCAGGCTGCTCAAGATGACGGGCTTTCAGACTCAAGGTGGATTCACCCGCATCCAGGAGCATCTTCTAAAAGAAATATGCCAAGAAGTAGTGGCTTTGTGAGTCCCAATATTAACACAACTTTCAACAAAAATTTGCCAAAGTCATTATTGTATCCGGAAGGTGAGGAAACGGCGCCGCGAAGCAGATTGCTCAAAATGGACAGGGATACGGGAAGGGGGTTCGTCTGTTTCGCCTGCGAAATGAGAGCACAAATTAAGGCTTCTTCCGATTATAATCCATCCCCGGAACAAGCAGGATCCCGAGACCGTTTTTTGAAAGGTGGGAATCATCCGTCTCCGGAACAAGCATGGCCCTGAGATTGTTGTATTTAGTTGGCTTCTGCCACCCGGTTTAAAAAACGCATTAAACGGGGAAAAGGAAAAGGTCTCAGGATGATTCTCAACATGGATTAGGGTGAGTTCTAAACAAAGCCTGATGAGCCAATACTTGCTTCCTAAGCCAAACGCGGGCTCCCCTGGTCGAGGAGCCGACCTGGCGGTGTAGGAAGCGACTTGGTTCAGGATCTACTTTAGTAAATGGAAGCAAGTAGCACAGGAGGACACGTGAGATCTTTTTACTTTCCGTTTCCATAGGCTAGCAGCATGACATGAAAGAGGGAGCACCCAATGAGGACTAGTCGGGATAGCGTGAGGAATAAGAGTGAATACGCAATGCGGACTAGTGATAGCGTGAGCATAGGCACACTCGACTCAGAAGAACAGCGAACTGCGTACATGACTGGGATTCTTTTCTTCTACAATTCCAGCACCATCATGTTAAGACTTAGAAGCGGAGCAGTCACATTGCGTGGCGGCGAAGTAGAGGCGCCCTATCCTATCCTGCAAAGCATGGCGACCTTCTTCTACTATGCATCCTGGTAAATCTTGGCGTTGCATATTAAGGACTCCTGAAGATGAAAGATCCAGCTCCTTAGTATCTTGTTACTTTCTTGGAACTGAGTGCGAGTTTATGATGTTCACGACGTCCATAGGTTAAAACTATCTTTTTTTCGGATGTGTATGTGTATGGCACTTATCTCTTCACTCTACTTCATAGTATGAGCAAGTTCTTCATACGAGCAAGTGCTTATGCTGGATGGAGAATGGGTGGAGTTATTCCTGTTTCAACTCACGAAAGTGAGCAACTAACTGTTAAAACATCCACCAAAGGGAAAAGCGGCACTTTCTGCAAGTAAGAGCTAGCAACTATTTTTTTTAACAAGCCTCCATAGTTCATCCTCATTCGGCTCCCTTGCTCTTCTAATTAGAAGGAACAGGGTGACTGAAAGGCCTCAAAATCGTTTGTGAGGACGAACAAAGAGGTAGCATGACACGACAGACGCATCACTATTTTTTTTAGACATTCATGCTTGCATCAAAGGGAAAGACGCGCCAGGAACTATCAAAAAACGCCAGCACTTCATACGCATTCATCGAGTCCGACATGGGATGAGTACCACACTTCAGCAGCATGCAATCTAATCGCTAAAATTTAATACCTACTTCGCTCGCGTTCTCGCATGTTGTTCATCGCCGGTAGCTGGTCATACGGCTTCCTATTGACTCGAGTCCTCGACACGGCAAGCAAGCGGACGCCTTTCTTGTGGCTCTCTTAGCCTGCGCCCGATTGCTGGCACGGAGTGGAACCCCTAACCTGAGCTGAACCTGTTCTGGATGGGTATGCATGGGCAAGTCCCTGTGCTCTTGTCTCAATACTGATAAAGTAGAGCGATCATTTGAATTACGTCCAGCACGTCACCAGAGCGAGCAAGACGAGAGAAAGAGCAAACAAGAGAGGGAGCTATTACTGTGTCACGATGTGGTCGTGGTGATGGCTAATACTACGTAATAACGTCATGGCGTGTATTGATTTTAGAGCGGGATATGACTAGGACTAACTCTATCTCTGCACCTCTAGGGCTACACTTCTAGGACTAACTCTATCTCCACCAAGTACGGAAAAGCAAAGATGTTCTTGTCCACCCGGAGTAACTACTGTGCAGCCACTTCCATGCGCGGGCAGCTTGCTGTGTGGTCGTTGAAGCAGCTTTCGTTTAAGGCCAGCAGATTTTCACTACCCCATGTGGACCGGGTGAGTGCGAGTGGAGCCCCCCTCCGCATGGACTGAGTTACCCCCGCATGGACAGAGAAAAGGGTAACTCAGTCCATGCGGGATACTGAAAAACTAGCGTTAATTCTTGTCGTTCAGCTACAGCGACTCGGCATGGCTGGCACATTTTCAATGGCGACGTAGGTGCCAAGAAAAGCACCAGAGGACAACCACGCCATCGATGGTTCTTGTGCCGCTCTTGGTCATCTTCGGGTGTTGCCTCGGTTGCTGATCCTGTCGATGCGAGTGCGACGCGCACACAGACCGATGCTCAGATTAGTGGGACCACTCAAACTTACGACGCTTTTACCTCCGCGCCGAAACTACTACTTGAAGTAGATGAAGCCACTACTGGCACTCAAGAAAAATCCCCTTGATCTTCACACTTAAAGCAACACGACTTGTTGAAGAAGCCACTGCTCCTAGTACTCAAAAATTATCACAAAAGACCTGCTTAAAAAACATTTTTCACACTTTTGGGACTAGAAGAAGCAAGCACTCGACAAAAAATTACCACAAAAGACCTGCTTAAACTTTTTTCTGGTCACTTACTCTTGGCAATGCAGTTGTTTGCTTTCTAATTCCAAACAAGCGCGGCAGCTACAGTGGCAGTGGAAGCAGGCACAGTACCAATCGAGAGAAATGTGTATTCTGGTACTGCAGATGGACTTATACTTATGATCAGCTTTTATCCATCTTTCTCGGCATCTTGGTCCTCTTTTTCCTTGTATAATGCCTATGATATGATACAAGGGCAATAAAGGGGTCGAGATGAGGGGACCGAGATGGATTAAAGCTGAGTCTAATCTACTCAAGAAAGGCCTGGGCTTCATTCAGCCTGACCAGCGTTTCAAGTCCGCGTCGGGAAAGATATGACTTATTATAAGGAGTTAAATACGACAAGAAGATGAAGAACAGGCCCTCTTCTTCTTTAGTACTTATTTTGTGAAATTGAAATGAAAGGATACAACGCTGCACCAATAAAAATGAGTACTCAAATAATTATATCTGTCGCACATGGACATAATAATAGTTTTTCAACTACATATCTTTCTAGTCCTTTCTGACAATATAATCTGCTGTGACGTCAACTATATCGCTTAGATGAACTCAGCGGGATTTGCGAAGTACTCCTTACAACCATCTTTCATGAACTACGAGTCTTCTCTTCTTCTTGGAACATGTCGCTGACAGAAGAATTCCGGAGAAGGGGGATCGCGTCGAATTTCAGGTCAGAGAAAACGATCGGAACCAAGGGGAATATCTAGCCTTCGATATAAGAGGCGGATCGGGGAGAGAATGTTATGTCCAGACCCAATGAAGTAGTAGTATACAACTTCATCTTCGAAAGGATGGAGCATGTGATCTGACTCTGTACCTTTTAGCGGATCACTCGGCTGGATCTAGTATGAGGAGGAAGATGCTGGAGGGAGTGGGAGTATCCAGCAGGGCTTGTTTTTTGCAGAAAGGTCATTTGAGGTTGACTGGTTAAAAACCAGCGCGTAGTCCGGTTTCTTTATGACAATCTACAATATAAATATCTTCTAAACATTGCTCGAGAGAGAAACAAGAAGCAAGTGGCAGCAGCGACGAGAACATCCACAACGGGAACGGCAATACGATTATGCTAGACCGGGTTACTAAGGCAAAGGGCTGCTGTGGTCACGAGATGATGGACGTCTATTTTTACTTGCAATGAAGGAACACCAAATCGACGAACAACGCGAACTGTGCATATGGTTCGGTGATAAGAATTGCGAAGCCTCTATACAGCATCTCTCTCAGCAAGTCAGAACTTGATGAAGGGTCCTAGAGATCTAGCTTTTGACTTCCTGGAGATTTCAGCACGATAGACATTAACAGCAGACTCCTGAGGTAAAGGATACGATTGAAAAAATGAAAAAGCCAGGAGGGATTAGGTCATGAGGGTAAAAATGAGAGCTCTTCGTAGCTGGTAAAGAGACGCTGGTAAAGGACGATGAGAAAACTCTCTGTGGAGTTGGAGGTCGATGAAATATCTCCAGCAGAGCTGCCTCAAGATTAGTACGTCCTTACACGAACTACACGACGGACAGAATAAGTCCAAAAGAATGAGGTTAAAGAAGTGATGAGAGAGTAGACCTCAAGAAGAGAGTCTTTTTCTACTCTTCTGTTAGAAGTGTCTCTATCTATATCTCAACGCAGCTTCCACCACCACGAAGGAATACCTGGCTCCTCTCGTCGTTTATCAACACACACGCACACATCTCATTTTCAACAACTGCGTGCGTTCTATGATTCCTCTTTTCGACCTTGTCTTGAAGGACGACATCTTTTTCTTTACTGTTTTCGACCAAAGTAGGAGAAGTTCATGTACCATCAAGAATCTTCTCGAGTCGCCCTCTCATCATCTTAGCAAGCGTTTCCCCTCTCATTATCTGTTCTGTCTTAAGCGCAACCTCTATTTTATCCTCGTTTGATAATTATGATAGTATTTATGTTTATTAAGAATCTTCTCGAGTCGCCCTCTCATCATCTCAGCAAGCGTTTCCCCTCTCATTATCTGTTCTGTCTTAAGCGCAACCTCTATTTTATCCTCGTTTGATAATTATGATAGTATTTATGTTTATTATCATTCGAAAAGGATGTATTGTGTCTCGGTCGTCGTCAGATGGTGAATGATCTGAATGGACATCGGTTGTAATTCATGGCAAGACTTTCGTAGTCACCCATCATCCTCGGAGGCGAGCAGCGGGTGCCTGTGGGGCTCGTTGTGAAGGATCCATAACCTAACCTAACCTAAAATGGCCACTATTACGGTACGCTTTTCGGCTAGAGCAAGTGCACGAAGCCACTTCCTTCGTCCATTCTCGTTCTCCTAACTCCCTTTCAAAATGATTCTGAAATATATACTCGCTCCCATTCTAATAGGCAGTAAAGTAACAATGTTGACCGTCTGCTTGTCCATGGGCTCCGTCTAGCAAGGCGCGCCGCGACCGCCGGTGATGCCTCATCAAGCACTGGACACAGGAGCTCGACAGAGCCTGTTCAAACGGATTGGGTTCATGCGGGCGGGCCTAAGGCCGAGCAGGCCTTGGCACGCGCTTCGACTGCTCCATCAGCGCCGCCGCCGCCTGAAGGGTTCCCCGAAGACGCAAGCGTCCCTGCGTCCACTCAAGGTCCGCCCTCACGTCGTCAATGAGCAATCCAGGCGGCTACAGTGGCTCGGAATGGGTTCACCTCCCAGGCTGCTACAGTGGCTAGAAATGGGTTCACCCAGGCTGCTGCAAGGATTCGGAATGGGTTACTCGCCAGGACGGGAACCGGAAGCCTGGCAGTCACAGTTACGAAGGTTCACAGCTCTTCTATTTCTCATCTTCTAACTCATGATCTAGATCTCGTACTTACTTTGACCTGTCTAATATCGTCCCTCTTCTCAACAAGGGAAAAACTAAGACTATTTTCCACGCATGATCAATGATGACATCAGAGTCGGACGATGAATTTTTTGTCGAGCTCTAAAATAAGCAGTGCTAATCATGCTGTAACTACACAGACCTCGACGGATGCTACAGCACAGACTCAGGCGTCGAGGAATGCTGGAACACAAGCGTCGAGAAATTTGTCCATAATAAATATTCCTTCTCCAAGGACATCGACCGCAGAGACAGCAACGACACCAGTGAAGGGAAAGAGTGCGGATGAAAGTAAATGCTGTCGCGGCTAAGCCTGTAAGCAATGTAGAAGTTTTTAGTCCTTCATCAAAACTGTTATTATGATAGTAGTAAGTCCTCTTAACATCATAATAAATTACTGAAGGAAAAGAATTACTGAACGAGCATGTTGCCGGAGGATGATCAAGACAAAAAGGAAACAACCAGGGAAATTCGATATGAAAACGAAGCAAGTGGGATGAATGAAAATTTTTCTTTTTTGTATCTATTGGCGACTAACAGTGTCCGGCTCTTCTAAAATGGCATGAATTTTTCAAGAACTGCTCTCAACTTAAATGGAGTTCTGAGATGAATGATGGACTAATTAAGGTGAAAAATGAATTGCTTCAGCGATGAATCCTTCGATGAAGATTCAAACACTTACTGTAAAAATGCAAAGATTGCGAGTCACTGAATTACAGGTCGTGTTGGTGGTGGGTCAATCAAATAGAGAATTAGAAACTCCCCGTGCCCGTCGACAAAACACAAGGAATAAGTATGATAATGATCCCTAAATGAAAAGGTATTCCCCCTGTTGTAAAGAGCAAGAATGATAAATTCACAACAAGCTAGCACAGCACTTTTCGGAGAATGAGAATTTAGCACCAAGTCACGACACAGCCTTTTCGGAGATCACTAGACCAGTAAGATGTTGCGCGATAATCGGTAGTAGAGTGGTCTTCTACTCGGTTAAAGTAGTGGTAAAGACGATAGAAAAAGAGGAAAGATAGTGGACGAAGGTAGGCTTTCAATAACAGACGAGGAAACTCGATCCATTTCAGTCGGTCTACGTCGATCATCTACACCTTTATTGTGTTTCTGAAAAATAGAAGAATGCAAATCTGGAAAAGTACGTCTGATAAGAAATACTCCCAACTTCCTGTCATGATATCAATCATGCTCACCAATCAATAGGAAATGGCTTATGACCAAGGAGAAGAATAGGAAAACGAAATAAGCCCCAAGTACTCAAAGAGTCCGATATTTCATTTCAATAGAAGTGTCCCTTACAACAACATGATCCAAGCTCAGTGGCTAGTTTGATGTTCTGTCGTTCTTTCGTATAGGAAGTATCGCCAGGGGATCAACACAAGGTAAAACTTGCAAATAGAGAACTACAGAAGAAGTACTTTCACTTTCTAGTACTGGAAATAGATACGACAAGAAGTACAACAAACAAGAAGTACGACAATTAATATACCAAAAGATCACTTACCAGCTGGGTTTACAACTTTCAATATTTATATAGTGTTGGATTGTCAGTTATGACGATCGTCTAAAACAGAGTCTTTCTTTCTTCGTGAAAGTGTCGGGTGTCGGAGAAGAAAGTTGACGAGAGTGAGAGCTCGTGTCTATTCGTTTGAAAAGGAACAAAACGCTCTGTAAAAAGGTAATCGTTTCGTTTGTGATTTGTTTTTGGTTGGAGGAAGGAAATCGGACTAAAGAGTATATCTGTAGTTTGTTTGTGATGTTTGTTTCCTTATGGAATGGAGGATGGAGTATTTAAGTATTTAAGTTCATCGTGATCGTTACGTTGACTTGAGTAATGAAATACTACAACTGATATCTCAATCATCCAAAACTGCACGGAAATAATATTTTCTTCCCACCCAACCCAAAACTCTTTTCCATCTAATCACATACGAATGATTCCTTCCCTATGATAATTAAATAATCTCTTCACGCGTTGGATTATTTAATTGGCTCAAGATTTTGTTTCTGAAATTCACTTTGGATGAATGATCAAAGTCAACATGAATTGTTCCGAATTATGAATGAAAAATACCAATGAATTGAATCTCACCGAGAACACAAAACCAACGTCACTCTGATCTTTGCCACGCAGTAGATCCATCTCAAATCCGGCCCGGTGTTCTCGCTCAACACCCGACACTGGAAGATCTCCACAGATCTGTTTTCGGTCCCTCGATCACTTTCGACAGTGGCAGCAGGAGAGTAGGTTTCGACGATCCACCGCACGACCAGAAACCTCAATCGAAATCAGTATGGCCAGCAGTGGCGGAGCCAAGCGATCGAGAGACGAACTATCAGCATCCGAAGAGGAAGCATTGGTAACAGGTGAAGTTGAACAACCAAATCAAGCAGAACAAGATCATCCCTTTTCGAGCGGAAGCGCATCAATGCAGGACCAAGACGAACAGGGTCCAGGGCCATCAGGCCACAATCCGCGTTTGACGAATGCAACAGTCGTTGATGGTATCATGAGCCCTACCGTCAACAACAATTTTGGTCATCCGCAGTTTGGAGCGCCGCCGAGCCAGCGACCGACGATCCTGCCACCAGGACTCACACCAAGTCCAGTTCAACCGACACCACCAGGACTTCCTCCACAACTACCATCAAATAACAATGGTAACACAGGAAATCAGCCGCAAGATGGGAATCAGCGTAGCTCCCATGGTCAAGAATTACCTTCCAGATTTGACCACGCCATCGCACAAGAGCTGACTCGTTCCCGAGGTCATCTAGCGCAGGGAGTTGTAAATCTGGGATCCAATCAAGAGCAGATCGCAACAGAGCAAATGAGGCAGGCCTCCATGTTGTACTCGGTTGACTCAGTGCTTCAACAGGGAGAAGAAAACTTCCAACGGTTTGCATCTACTGCTAATCACAACTTCCAGCACAACATCGATCTAGTCAATGGAAGGATTGAGAACAACGGTCGAACACTGGAAGGACTGCAAAAGCAAGTGGTTGACATGCAGTCAAATCAGCAGAGACAAGAGGAGATAGCCACGAAATTCAGCCAAAACATCACAGAGGTGCAACTGCTCCGTGATCAAATTGGGAATCTGACACAGATGATGAGTGCGATGCAAGTGGGAGGTGGAGTTGGGAAAGGAGGACCAAATTTCCAGGGGGAGCATCAGCGTGCCTTCGCAGTGGATAACAACGGACGTCCTCAACCAATCCCAGCTGTGCACTTCAACATTGGCACAGGCAACCACAGCGGGCACGGTACTCCGACTGTAGACGGACATCAAAATCATAGAGTTCCACCACCTACGCCAGGTTCGAGATGGTTCGACAGCTATGGTTTCAACGCAAACACCGGAAAAGGAAGTGGAGGACCACCACAGCCACCTGTGTGTGCCGTATGTGGTGTTGCAGGACATGTTGCTGCAAATTGTCCAACATTACGCCACGAAAATAACGGTGGAGGTCATGTAGTACGATGCTTTCATTGTGGAGCAGTCGGACACACAGCTGCGTTCTGCCCTCTACACCCACAGCAGACGTATAATCATGGCACGGGCAATCAAAGCGGACATGGGAGTAACTTCTTCAATGGCATTCCACAACCTGGCTTCTACCGAGCAAACATTTTAGGAGACCACCTACCGATCCGGAGCACCAGTAGGCAGAATGATGATGGGGCAGTCAGAAAGAAGCTGTGGGATTTCCAACATCTAGACTTCGAGTCCAAATACATCGAAGACACTCAAGGACTTAGGGCGCCCTCTAGTCTAGTTCGCAAAATGAAGGACAAGCTACCAGAAAGACATCCTCCACGCCGTGAACACTACAAATCAGTGGTTGAGTTCCTTTCTGCGCTCGAGAATTATCTTCTAGAATGTCTTGCTACTCCTAGTGGAAACGCATCCGACGCATACTTATTTCCCTGGGAGGCAGAACAATCAATCATCGAGCAGATTCTATTCGACCACGACAAGGACTCGAGCAACAAGTGGAGGAACGTCTTAACCGATCCGGTGAAGAAACGCCTTAGAGTCATTGGATTCGATCTAGTAGAGCGAGGAACTCTGACTTTCAAGAACTTACGGCATCGCCTTTTTGAATGTTTCGGGGATGACTTCATCATCAATCGATCTGAACGAGAAGCATGCCTCAACTTCAAGAGGCTTCCAGGCGAAAGCGAAGCAGAAGTCATCAGACGTTTCTGCGAAGTAGCACTCAAGGCAGGACCTGACTACAATCCGTTCCCAGAGCACAAGGGAGCACGTGATCGAGTCTGGCAAGATTTCAAGCGTGTTGTGCACCCTCCACTATCCGAACATCTGATCAGAGCAGTGCTGACGGATCCTCTCTATCGACACGTTAATCAGGGCATTGTTCATTTTGAACATCTCCTGGAATACTTGTCCATCACGGAACAGGCTGAGCAAACCGCAAGATCCTCTTCGAGAGGAGCCTCTTCTAGTGTCGGCGCAGTGAAAGAACAAGTAGCACTAGTCGGAGAAGGGAGAGTCGCACTCGGGACAGATGATCAAGCAGCCGAAGAAATTTACGCTGCGAGAGCTAATCCGAAATCAAGTACGGCTTATGATCCATCGAGACCAGGAGGGCGATGGGATCAGCGACAGGGGAATGCGGCAAATGGAGGACACAACAACCACGGAGGTGGAAATAATTCTAGTGGTTTTCGTCCGCGAGGTAATTTCGTCAAGAAATCCAGAATGTCATGCTGGACTTGTGGAGGAGATCATAAGAAGCAAGACTGCGTGTTTCCTGAGAAAGTATGTCGCAAATGCTTCAGCGACAAACACTTCGAAGGCGAATGTGACGTAGCTCCCAAAGATCAGGCCGCTCAGAGAATGCGAAATCTCGAGTTTGCAAAACTACAAGTGAAGGACAAGGTTGGAGTGATTCTAGATCTTCTACCTGAAGCAGAAAAAGGACAAGTGATCCTCACAGTTGTAGGCAGCGACGAGAGGGAGCGTGTCTTTGTGCTTGACGACGGAAGTCGCGACCACACCTGTTTCGAACGTGTCTACTGCGTCGAGACGGAGCCAGAGTCAATCCCAAGTAGTGCCACCGAACCAGAACAGGTTGCCAAGGTGGTCGAGGCCAGTTCTTCTACATCTTCTTTCCCCTCCACGGCAAACAAGGATAGCAGGGGTGGAAATGATGACGTAGTGGTGGACAGACGAGGAAATTGGTGTCCAGGCTCCAACTGCATCACATGGGCCAAGATCAAATGTGGGAAATGCAACACATGCTGGTGCCCTCGTCACGTGAGCGAGCACGACTGTGAAGAAGTCCGCGTCACAACGGAGAACAGTCAAAGTTTCCTGAGGGAAGCTCTATGACTGGCTGCGTCCCGGGCACGACGTAAAACTGCGCCCTGCCGTGTTGACGGTGTACCCTCAAAAAGAAGAAGAAGAAGAAGAGAATGAAGGAAGAGAAGGGGAAAAAACAGTGAGGAGGGTGGCATCAGAAAGAGCTGAGACCACAAGAAGAGACAGGAAGTGACAGGGAGAACCGCCGCTGGCCGCGCGTCCGCGCGCGCCATCGCAGGACTCAAAAAACCATCAAAAACTGGACGTGGCGACATCGTTGCTACGGGCTCAGCACGAGGAGGAGGCGGGGGCCCCTGTCACTTCCCCCCCCCAAAAAGAAAAAAAAGTAGGACCATTCAGGGGGAAGCACTCGACCAAAGCAGAAGAAAAAGGAAGGAGAAGCAAAGCAGGAAGAAAAAGGAGAGACTCAAGGAAACGAAGAAAATAAAAAAGAAGGAAGGGGAGAGGCTGGCCTGAAGCAATGCAAAAGGCAAAGGGGCCCCATGATCGGGACAGCCGGCCATGATGGAACGAAAAAAAGGGGGAGGATAGACGCTCCAGATCTAACCTCCGACCAGGCGCCCTCTGGGAAAAGGTCGGAGACGCAATGGCCACGAGGCAGAGGGCATGGGAATAGCCCCCCAAAACTGGGGCCCCACTTCTGTAGAAGCAGACGGGAAACGGAGGGGCAGGGCTCCGAGCGGCCCTCGGCGTAGTGACTGGACTGACCGAAAACATGCCCCGGAACTTCCGGCCAGGGCGCCGGCCTCGGCGGTAAGCGCCCTGACCAGCCAAAAAAGACAACGACCGAAAATATACCCTGACCTTTTCGGTCGGCCCTTCAGTAAGGTCCAACCGGGGCCGCGAGCCGCCTGATGATCCGAAGGAGGCAAGAATAAGAATTATCGGGCAAACAACGGCTAGGACCAGGCAAACAACGGCTAGGACCAGGCTGAGTAAGAATGTGACTGGTGCGCGCCCTGGACCTGAATAGAGAAAGGTCGAGCGATCGGGTCGAAGTAGGGAGATGATTGCTCTAAGGATAGGCGCCCCGGGTGTCTGATCGTCAAGGGCTGGGAATGAGGAAAGATGATCAATAAATGGGCGCCCAAAAGTGCGACCGAAAAAAGACCCGTATAATTTCGGTCGCGCTTTTCGGCCAGTGGAGTCACCAAGGGGGAAGGTGACCCTACATCAGGAAGAGGTGAACAAATGTCGCGACCTGGTCGCTGCCCAAAAGTGCGACCGANAGGCAGACGAGACGTCAGACCTCACCCTTGCGCTGTGTGATCTGAGTAAAGCCTTTGATCGGGCGAGAAGGGACAAGCTCTGGAGGATCATGCTGGAACTAGGTGCCCCAGCCGGATACGTCGAGAAGGTGAGGAACTTACATAAAAGAACGCGGATGGTGTCGCAGTGGGGAAAGCACCGAGCAGAAGAGACAGCAATCGACCTCGGAGTGTATCAGGGGTCGCCAATATCCCCCTATCTCTTCATCATTTACACGCTTGCGATGAATGAAGAAATCGAACGAAGACTAGAGGGGGAAGGATTGAGGGGAGTAGAAGTAACCAAGCCAGCAAACGCGACCGAGGAACCACGGAAAGGCTGGCAGAACAGCCAGCGCAAATGGAAGCCAAGGGCGAAGAAGTGGGGCAATCCAGCCCCCGAAGAGAGACAGCCGCGCAGAGGGGTGGTCCTGGAGCACCCAAGCGTGCGAGGGGCTGACAGAGACACAGACAGGGCCTTCAGCCTCACCATATACGCTGACGACACAAGCATTTGGGGACACACGGTGGAGAAGACAGTCCGGGCGGTGGAGATTTTCGAGGAAGTAGGGCAGGATTACAACATGATAGTAAACAAATCAAAAACGGAGATTCTCACGCGGGAGAAACTGACCTACCAGGAGAGGAAGGCCCTAAATGAAAGACTAGGAAACAGCGACCTCGAGGCAAAAGGTACAGACTTGATTAAAAGAAACGGGCGTCTAGTAGGGGACATCATCAACATCTACGGCGCCACACAGCCGGAGGTGGCTGACCGGCTGAACAAGGCCAAAAAGGTCGCGAGGATGATCAGCCCGCTCCTGAGAGATGAGGACATTGATCAACATGACAGGAAGATGCTAGTCGAAGCCCTGGTGGACACCGTCTTACTCTACGGGCTCGACACGTCTAAACTGTCAGACCATGACATGGAGCAGATGCAGCAAATCCAGACAAAGCTGGTCCGGGTCGTGGCGGACCCGAAGGAAGAGAAGAGACTCGGAGAGGCCTGGGGAAAGAAGAGAGCGGCCCTACCGCTCACGGATATGACAAAGGAGGAGATCCACGCAGCATACAGAATGGTGGAGAAGGAGCAGCGCCTGCCGCAGAAGGAGGCAGACAGGAGAGTCCGCCTCCCCACGGTTCGGAGCAAGTGGGAACGCCTGAGGCTACTGGCAATAGTCGACAGATACAGGGAGGAAAAGTGGGGCAGAAGGCTCGGCCCGGGGATGACCCTCAAGGCCAACGAAGGGCCGAACACAATGCCCGCCAGGAGAGTCAGACTAGGAGAAAGGGACAACAAGGAGGCGGAGATATGGAAGAAATTCAAGGAGAGACTAGGGAAATTCCTCCAAAACGAACCGGGGGAGGGGTTCCATAACATGGAAGAGCTGAGCGAGGTAATAGAAATAATGCGGAATCCTGAGAAGCTGGAAGAGACGCCACGCGTACAGACCTGGGTGGAGCGGCTGGGAATGGCAGACGTGTGGGACCTCGTGACACGCTGCCCGCAGTCGATCCACTGGAAAGAATTATGGAACGCGGCAACGAGAGTCCTGCACAATACCAAAAGAGGAGAACGAGAAGACAGGGACTGGACGACATGCAAGCACTGCGGGCAGGAAGGTTTTAAAGGCCCAAAGGGCCTAGTGGCGCACTGGGTAAGGACGGCAAAAAATTGGAAGGAGGGAGAACGCGCAAGCTGTGGCTACCAGGCTGCAAGCGAAAGAGAGCGAGAATGGAAGAAGGACCGCGGGGACATGGTGGACGCCGGTGACCTGGGAAGGCTCTCACATTTCCAGGAAATCTACTTGGAGGAAGCAGGACTCAGCCCCGAGGAGGTGAAAGAAGTGGCGCGCGCATCGCTGAAAGGAAAAAAGTGGCCGTACGTAGGAAACGGCATCCACATCCAAGACAAGCAAGAGGCAGAAGAGCTCCTCAAACTTGTGGAAGACTGGGAACACTACGAGCAGACGGGGGAAATCATCGACCAAGACAACCGGCGAGCCTGCCCCTGGGGGGTGAAGAAATGCCAGGGGGCGCAGTCGGATATTCGCCGATGTGGTATGTGCCAGGTGATGCACGGCACAGGCCAGGCGCACCAAAAGTGGCTAGAACAGGCCAAAAGGGTAAGAAAGGACGAGAAAAGGTGGGAGGCATACCACGGGGCCAAGCGAATGCGCTGGGACCCGATGACAAAGGTAAAAGCGTGCCCATACAAAGAGAAGGCGTGTGGCTGGCCGGTGGAGGAACCGGGAAAATGGTGCGAAGGGTGTAAAAAAATAGAAGGGGGAGAAATATGGGCCACCCACTGCAGGGAAGTAGAGGAGAGAAAAAAAAAGGAGGACCCTGCGGGGAAAGAGCAGGGGGAAAAAGCCAAGGCCCAGAGAAAAAGACAGAGGGAAGAGGAGCGGGACGATAAGGCAAAAAGAGAGGCCCAACGTAAAGCCCAAAAGAGAGAAGAGACAGAGGAAAAGAGAAGGGAAGGAAAAAAGAGACCCGCGGTCAAACCGCTGGAGGGACTCAGGGAAGGGAAGAAGCCAAAGAAGCCCCCAGGGGCGGAAAAGGCTGGGGGAAAAAAGCGGCCAGCGGAGGAGCCGCTGATAAACCTCAGAAAAGGGAAGAAGGGGAAGAAGCAGCCAGGAGACCAAGAGGAGGAGAAGGGCAACGCCCTCAAGAAAAGGGGGGCACAGAGCAGCCCAATAGCAGGGAAGAGGAAGCAGCAACGAGAACAAAGAACAAGGCCGAAAGAGAGGAAAGGAGCCAGCACAGAAGTGAAGAAAAAAGAAGAGAAAGGGCGGAGACCTGGCAAAGGGACCGCTGGACGAAATGAGGCCAAGAAGACCACGAAGGGAACAGAACAGCAAAAAAAAAAGGCCGAAATGAAGGGGCCGCTTAAGGGGAGACCCCCCGATGAAGGGGGAGGCAGTGCAGGAGGGTAAGAGCAAGCGAAACGAGCTCCCCTCGCCTCCTTGGGGTCCCCCGGAGAGGTGGCGGACGCGGGTCTGGCCTCTCTCTGCGGGGTCGAGTAGGGGCAATCTTTTATCTTAAAGAGGGCAACCCTCTTAGGTAAAACGATTGCAGGGATGAGATGGCATCCCGCCCCACCCGATCGGTGGGTTTACATCATCATCATCATCTATGACTGGCTGGGCACTACTGTAATTCTGAAGAAAAGGAGGAGGTGGCGGGAGACTTCTGCATTACTAACTTTGTGGAAAGTCTTGCCGCGCAAGAAGAAGAGGAGAAACGAGGAGAACACAGTAGATCATCAGGGAGAGATGATGAAAAGGCTAACTCCACAGTAGAAAACAGCTCAGTACAATGGGACGATGGATACAACAACAAGGTATATGTAGATCTTCTTACTGGAGACCATGTGACGCAGATTCTTGAAGGTGCAGGAATTGAGGTGGAAGTAGATGACTCAGTCTCGAAAGCTGTCGGTCTGGGTGGTGCCACCTCTAGCATTCTACGAAAGCAGACTCTCGCCTACATCGTACGAAGAATGGACCACTCCATCTACTGTCTCGGTTTTACATGGGGTTCGGTTTCTCAACTTGGACCAAATCTGCTAGGTGAACTTCTGCAAGCCATCATCTACGCGTCAATCGTGAGAACGCCCGGAATGCCAAAACGGGTGGTCGGTTTTGACGGACGATGGATTTTGAACTATGGCGACGAAAACCAAATCGTGCAGAAAGTTTTTAACTTCAACCAAGTAGAGCTCGAACTTCTGAAAACGATCCAGCAGGAAAATCCTCGCAGTAAGTGGTATCGTCCTGTTTTCTCGGAACCAATACAACTTCCACCAGGCATCACTATGGAAGATGCTCAGAAGATGAGACCTTTTGACCCGAGAACTCTTGGAGAATATGCGGCAATGCGGGGAATTGCTCTAGAGCAAGGAAATGACCGGACGCCATTCCAAACTAGGGAAGTCGACGGAAGCATCATTGAGGCAAGAATTGCTACTACAGAGGAGCAAGCAGCACCAAACAATGATGACGTTGACATGTTCGGGGAAAGATCATCAGGGTCAAACGCTACCAGCGCGAGAGCAATCGTGGCACTAGGACTGCCGGAAAAAGACGAGTGCTGGGAAGTGAAGGCAGAGCAACTTCGTATCACAGGTGACGCTGGGGCTTATGCCGTTTATCGTGAAACGCACTACGGTCTGGAATTCACCCCAGCGGTTCCATCTTGGCTAGTCAACCGAATACGACTAAGGAGGATAATATTCGTGGAGCAACAAGAAAGAGCATGTGCCGACCTTCGATACGACTGGAAGAGAAGACGCGCTGAACTGGAACCCGTTCCACTTCCAAACGGAAAGAAGAAGTTCATCACGTGCGACTACTACTTCTTCGTCTCAGACCATGACGAGGTTCAGACCGAATCTAAGAAGCAACAAATACGGACCGAAATGATGAATGGAGCACCATTCGATCCGAAAAGAGGAAAACTGTCCAGCGAAGTGCCAAAAGGATGCCACATCTTCGACGACCACATTCTCTATGAGAATATCGGACCAGGAAAAGTATCGCCTCAAGTCCACAGTGCCCCGTCCGCGAGGGCTCTCCTTTCCGTACCCGGACGACTTCAAGACGTGAAGTGCTACACATGCAGAGATCTCATCGACGTACCAGCAGCCGTCCGTGAAATGTGTCGCGTTTTCGACATCGAAGAGTTCGGAAACGAGAACTACTACGCTTTAGCGCCAGATGTGAGCAAACGCGTGGTGCTCACAGGCTTCTCCACCGAACTACAGGATAAAGTCAATAAAATTGACCTAGCGCACATCCTTGGTTATCTCCGGACCCACCCTCGTTGCATCATACGTTGCTCGACTGGAATTGGGATCTCGGTTGCTTTTGGCGAGATCTTACAACGACGTCACAAGTTGGGAATCATGCACTGCAGCGTCGCTAACGAATGCTTCGTGCACTCACTCTCGCTTTCAGCTTCGGGCACGGCAACTCGACTACACCACGACGAACAAGTTAGGATTGCTTCCGCGTTGTCACCCATGCGACAGCTCTCCTCAGCCGAGCGCAAGAAGATTAGGCTGATCCAGGAGATTCTCTACCACCAAGGGAAACTAACGACGTTCGAGAACTGCCTTAAGCTGGCCAAGGACAAAATCCGGAACGTCCCAGAAGTAGAACTTCGAGAGCTAGTCCGAGTCGCGCGACATGATAGCCTAGCTCGTCTAAGATACGGCGTTGGTCCGAGAGTGCGAGATCTCGGCAGTTTTAGCACTCTCGAAACCATGAGGTCCGGTGGTGTCACATTAATTGACACGACCTTCGTCACGTGGCTCGGTTTCATCTACACCGTAGTAGGTGTGCACTCCGTTGCGGACGGGAGGTCAGGATTTTATCTTTGCGGCACAAAGTGGAAGCTTGATCCTATCCTAGCACAAGCAATCAAAGGCAAGAAAATCACAGAAGATGAAGCCCAGCGGATCAAAGATGGCATTGTGCTGCAACTAGATGATGACCTAGCAGACCGTTTAATGTCAGGGCGTGGCGCTCCTTCGAAGACCGATATTGCTAAAGTCATCTACAAGGCGATGGACAGAAAACTCATCAGACGACGAATTGTTGGAGATCGTGGAGTAGAAAACATCGCTCTGATTGATTTTTCGATGCTGTCCAAAACAGGGCGTGAGATCACCATCTTGCCCAAGGGACAAAAAGTGCACAAGCTCGAGCGAATCTTTCTTGCTCTCAAGACCGCGCTGATGAAGTGTTTGCTCCTTCCTGAGTGTCAGCTGATGCCGTTACAGTGGCTTCTCTACGAAATAGCAGAATCACTAGCAAACATCCCATCCGCTGCTTCTCTCGGGAGAACGCCGAACCAGACATTCTGGGGTTTGCACGAAGGTGTACCAGAGGGACTCCTACATCCTTTAGATGCAGAAGTTGAATACTTGCGCGCGACGACCTCTGAAGGACGCTTGCAGCAAATAACAGAAGCTAGAATTGTCATCTGGAGCCAAGTCGCTGCGATGTCAACAGACTTAGACTACGTCAAGGCCACGAGGAAAATCATCGCCAACGCACGAGCAGCCTGTCGAGAATCTGAAGAGTATCAGCCCGGACAGCAGGTATTGGTTTATGACGCTGTCTCGAAGACAAGTAAAGCCGGAGAGATTGCTGCGCGCATTCGAACACAGGGTCAAGAACCGTTTGACTATGTCATCAACCTACAGCGTGGTAGCACAGTGGCAAGATCGAGCGTCATTCAACCTAACGTTAACTTCAACTGTTACCTAGACATCCCGAACGACCTGCAGCCACTAACCTTTCCTGACTTCAAACAAGACGGCCGGGTCTACGATGCACATCGTAAGTGGGAAGGCTTGAACCGACAATCTGATGAGCATGATTGGCACGAGAGCGCTATTCATCAACCGGACAATGTGGGCCCTTTCTTCTCCCTTTTGACCCCAGGGGAGGGAGTGCAGTCCCATCGAAGAAATTTGTCGAAAAAGAATCGATCAGCTCTTGACACTATAGCAGAAGAGGATGAAGAGGAAAGGGAGGACGATGCAGATCCGCACGCCGAAGATGGTGACAACGACGTTTTGGAACCGCGCGAGAAAGATCTCGAAGGAGAAGAGATCTTCGTCATCGGAGAAGAACAAGCACCGGCATCTTTCTCATCCTCGATCACGACGGAGGAACAGAACGCACTTGACGAGTCCGAAGTTGTTCTAGTAGGGATCTCACACAACGAAGAGACTGGTGGTGATGTAGGTGAAGAAGCCGACGATGGTCCAAGCGACGAATCTGACCAGTGGAAAACACACTTTCGATTCCCGAACCGGGAAACGAGAAGAGCCCTGTGGAAACATCTGAAAGATGGAAAGCAGGGAGCCCTCAAAGAAAACGATTTTGTGTACCAACTCATCCACAAGGCAATTCTCGATGGCGCTGTTTGTCCGGTAACTCCTCATAGTCTAGAACTTCAACGAGAATGGATTCCAGAAGACCAATGCGAGGGATTAGCAAACCCGAGTCTGCAACAATCAGTCCGAGTCGTCTGGAACGCGAAGTCGGTCGCTATAGTAGGAAATGAAGATGACTACAGACGTTTCGGAGGTGGCATCTGTTTACGTTTTGTTTTCTGGGTTCTCGATCCGACTAAATCGTACCCCGAACACAATCTCACCAGCATTCTGGAACACGATACGGCCAGACATCCAGATACTGTAAACCGTTTGCAGGGTGCCACGAAGTGTGATGATTTGGACCATCAGTTCATACGATCTGCGACTGGCCTCAACCGACAGAAGGGATACACCGCTTCGATCGACAAAGAGTTCAATAGCATTTTCTCCGAAGATTTAGTGGAAATCTACAAGGAAGGGGACAAATGCAGCGCAGAGCGAGTACTCACGTCGAGGGGAATCGCCGGCATCAAACTCGTCACTAGATTCCACTACAAGAATACACTCAGGCTTTGCCCAGGCGGACATCTAAGTAGCATCGAAGCCACCGCTGAATCACCCACGCTGAGTGACCTTGAGTTCAAACTCATAATTTCTTCTCTCAGGAAGATTCGCGGGCGTAGACTTCTTCGGAGCGGTGACGTCCCCAGAGCATTCTTGAAGAATCTACGTTTTAAGGAAGAGAATCGCCCGAGGTTCTCTTTTCCTTTTAATATCGTAGACGAGGAATCGCTGAACCTGCTGAAAACGAAATACAACGTCGATAAGAAGAGCATCTTCACAATGAAGATTTCGCTGTATGGACTTCGAGAAGCAGCACTCCTTTGGTTCCGAACGCTGACGCAGTTTCTCGAGTCCATTGGTTTTAGGTCTACTCCAGAGTCGCCGTGCGTATTTCGAGATCGTCGTGGAAATAAAGTGGGAGTGCATGTAGATGACTTGCTGTATGCAGGCGACGAGCAGGGTTTTAAGATCCTGAGCGAAGCGCTGAAGGCGCGTTTCGGTTTGACCTCGTGGTCTGACGCGAAAACCGGATTCACGTATACAGGAAGCCAGATCAAAGTGTCCGAGTGCGAGCAGGAGGTCCGCATTGGGATGCGCCAGAAGATTGCAGAAATGCGAACCTCACCGATTCCCGATGGTTTCGACAAGAAAGCCGATCCGAGCACTTTCGAGGTTCTTGATGCTGATGGAGTTGGAGAACTCAAGAGTAAGAGAGGCAGTCTGATCTACATCGGTAAATCACACTCAGAGAGCACCTTCCCAGTAAGGTCTCTCGCCTTGGGGTCAGACGTCAAAAAGGACCACCGATGGACCGAAGAGCAAAACCAAATCATCAACAGACTCAAACAACACAGTCCAGGAACGACGATTGATCTCTCGTACGAAGAGGAGTACATCATTGCCTTTCCGGACGCCTCTGGGCAAACGCCTGCTGTTGAGTCAGACGATGAAGATGCAGCTGCTCTGGCTGATGAGGACATTCGAACTTTCTTTCGAGAAAACAACGAGGAAGGGATACTTCTAGGTGGCACTTTTGAGGAGATCTTCACAGCTCTTGGACATCAGTCTGCCACTCGCAAACGAGAGCAGAGGAGAAAGCGAGTTGGAGCTGTGAGTCAACCTGGAAACGCGACGAATGAAATCGTTGCAAAAGTTCAGAAGTTGAAACCGGTATTAGGGTGCGTGATTTTATCTGTATCTAAAAGTGACTGGGATGAGTATGAACGGAAACAGAAAGGTCTAAAGAGGGTAGCAACTTTGAAGGAGTTTGAAGCACTAGAAACAGTCGACATTAGATGCAGTTTCTTAGATATTGACACAATCTTTTCGTCTCTACTTAGTGGTAGCTCCTACGAATCAGAACTGCACGCGGCCGCAGAAGTAGTTCCAATTTTGGAGGTAACGTTATTGAAGTTGGAAGGTTGGGGACATCCAACTCAGGGCATACTTCTATCTGACAATAAGTCAGCAGTTATGAGGATCACTTCAAAGTCAGGCATTGGCATGTCTGACGCCGTTGTTTTTAAGGTTTTAGCAAAACTTAAGTCGTGGTACATGACCACAAATATTGAGGTGGGAAGTATCACTGATAGATGTAATCCGGGAGATACCGCCACTAAGATTCAATCAGGGGCAAAATTTCAACACTATCTGGATGTTTTGAAAGGAAAGTTGAGAATTCCTGTACAGCAAGCTACAGTTAAGAGAAGAACACACACCTGGGAGAAACCATTTTCTCAGGACACTACCGAAATTTAGAGAAATAAAGTTGTACAGTAATGAAAAGTTATGAACAGTGAGTTTTTTTTTTGTTAAAGATATTTCTTCACCAGCCTGCATATGTTAGTAACCCGAAAGTTTTGTCGTAATACTCTTGGACAGTAGACAGTAAGTAAATGTACATTTATATTTGTTTTGAGTGTGAGAAAAATTTTAAAGTAAAAGGGTAAGGTCGAAAGACGGCAGCTTCTGAGGTTTTGTCAAGTTAGGAAAAACGGTAGAAAAGAAGTTTTCAAATGAGTCAGTTAAGCCTTGAGTCTTGGAGATCAAGGGGATGGGTCCAGTTGAGAGCACTGGTAGTTTCTGCAAAACACAAACGGGAACATTTGGGGATGTATGTCATCTAAAATGGTCTGGGCAGAATGGAAAACTGCGTAAGGGAGGTTTTCAAAGTTTTAACAGGTGGGAGTTAAGGTGAAGGAAAAATTGCAATCAAGTTTGGATTATTTAAGTTCCGGATCTTGTTTGATCCTTGTATACTTTATGTACAGTCAAGAAATTCGGGAAATAACAGAGCACGGGGAAAGAAATAGACTCTACTTAGAAAAACTCTTATGTTAATAGATAAGAAAGATAGCTGAACGGTAACAATGAAAAAGGGTAGTAGAAAGAAAGAGTAAATAGAAGGTAGATAGACTAAGGAAAAGTCGGAATGAGCGTTACTTTTCGTCTTCTGTTTTTCTCCACCCCCGGGGCACTGTTGGATTGTCAGTTATGACGATCGTCTAAAACAGAGTCTTTCTTTCTTCGTGAAAGTGTCGGGTGTCGGAGAAGAAAGTTGACGAGAGTGAGAGCTCGTGTCTATTCGTTTGAAAAGGAACAAAACGCTCTGTAAAAAGGTAATCGTTTCGTTTGTGATTTGTTTTTGGTTGGAGGAAGGAAATCGGACTAAAGAGTATATCTGTAGTTTGTTTGTGATGTTTGTTTCCTTATGGAATGGAGGATGGAGTATTTAAGTATTTAAGTTCATCGTGATCGTTACGTTGACTTGAGTAATGAAATACTACAACTGATATCTCAATCATCCAAAACTGCACGGAAATAATATTTTCTTCCCACCCAACCCAAAACTCTTTTCCATCTAATCACATACGAATGATTCCTTCCCTATGATAATTAAATAATCTCTTCACGCGTTGGATTATTTAATTGGCTCAAGATTTTGTTTCTGAAATTCACTTTGGATGAATGATCAAAGTCAACATGAATTGTTCCGAATTATGAATGAAAAATACCAATGAATTGAATCTCACCGAGAACACAAAACCAACGTCACTCTGATCTTTGCCACGCAGTAGATCCATCTCAAATCCGGCCCGGTGTTCTCGCTCAACACCCGACACTGGAAGATCTCCACAGATCTGTTTTCGGTCCCTCGATCACTTTCGACAATAGTTAATACTTTCAAGCAGTATATTAAGAATATGATTAACTACAATGGTCACAAAGACAAAAAATCCTCGTTCTTGGGGATCCTCCCGGGTATTCCTCACCTGCCTGATGGGACTTGTTCACGTCACGGTGGTGGATGCTGCCTGGTTGGTAAAGATCTTCTCCCCTTCCCAATATCCTACTGTCCATGCGGAAGAAGGACCTTCCCAAGCGGAAGAAGGAGAAGAAGAGACGTCTGTTATTGTTCCCGGAGGAACACCAGGCTCGTCCGCTCCGACCCGACGTGATGGAGAAGCAGGTAATACCTTTTACTGAGGACCGAGGACGTGGTCTCCTTTTCCTTTACGACACGAGAGCGCTTATTCGTTGTAACTAGATTCTCATCTAGTTCTTCTAGTACATCTTCAGAAGCTTAGACAAGCATGGTTTCCGCCACCTACTTGTCAGAAACGATTCTAGAGCCTTGTCAGAAACGATCACTAGATGATGTCCGCAGTACAACTACTTATTCTGCTCTTTTGTTGTACTTCTTCTTAGCTGTCCTGTGATTAGATTACGTAGTTTTACTGGTTCAGTGTTTGAATGTAGCATCGCTATCCACAGTCATCTGGTTCTTGATGTCCACACTTATAAATATTCCTATATTTCTTGTTCAGATACCGAGCAGACTGGCTTCTTCCTTTTTATTCCTAGAAGGTCAGATATGCCTAGATTGGCTTCTTCCTTTTTATAAGGTTGGGGCTTAGGTCCAGCGGCGCTCAAAGCACTAAGGCAAAGAAGCCGGTGAGTTTTCACCTCTATCCCTAGGCCTATCCCTTCAAACAATACATTTGCTCAGATATTACCGAGGACGCGCCTGACGGCGAACGGACGGATTCTGCCGACTCAGGAGCAGACGGGAACGAGGATGCTGACCGAGAGTATGAAGAAGTAGGAGCTGATGCAAATGAACTAAAGGGAGAACTGTCCGACCCCGAGGAGGGCGAAAAAGAGCAACAACAACCAGGGGAGGAAGTAGAAGTAGAAGGCGAACTTGAGAGTCAGCCAGAGGACGAACCCGAAGGCCCGTCATGGAAAAAAGCTGGAGGATCGGAGGCTCCAGCAAGGGCGCTTCCCGCAGCTCCCCATGCAACTCCGGTGGAAACTCCTTCTCAGGCACCCCCTGGTGCAGCTCCTCCTGTCGCTTCTGATGCCGCGCCTGCTGCAGCTGCTTCCGCAGATCCTGTTGCAGCTCCTCCTGTCGCTTCTGATGCCGCTCGCGTGGCAGATCCTCTTGCATCGGCTTCCGCAGATCCTATTGCCGCTCGCGTGGCAGATCCTCTTGCATCGAGAAGAACAGCTGCAGCTTCTGGTGTAAAGTCCGATGCAGCTTTTGTTGGCACCTCTCCTACGGTGGCTGAACTGGAAGCATCTGTTACAGTGGTTGACCCAGCATCTGCCACAGTGGATGACCCAGTGGATGACCCAGCATCTGCCACAGTGGATGACCCAGCATCTGCCACAGTAGCTAACCAAGTAAAAGCATCTGCTGCGGCCTCTGCCCCTGCAGGGGAGGCAACTGTTGATGCAACCTCTCCAGCAAGTCAGCCTGCTGAGGAGGCTTCGGGCTTGTCACGACCAGAGGAGGCTAAGCTAGGACCTCCAGGGCAGCGACAAAGCAGCCCTCGTCCTGATGATGTGCTCAGACCTGCGGTGCAACAAACTAAAACTTCTGCAATTGCAAAAGCTTTGAGTGCAGTCGGACAGGATATCCCAGATGAGGTTCCTCGAGAAGAAGATAGACAGCAGGAACCATCTGAAGGTCCACAAGGTCCACAAGCTGGGGAAGGTCCAGAAGAAGGACAGCAGGAAACACCTGAAGGTGCAGAAGCTGGGGAAGTTCCAGAAGAAGGACAGCAGGAACCATCTGAAGGTTCAGAAGCTGGGAAAGCTCCAGAAAAAGGTGGAGAGCAGGAAACACCTGAAGGTCCACAAGCTTGGCAAGCTCCAGAGGAAGGTGGAATCGTACAAGAACAGCAGCCGTCCCCATCAGAGGAAGAAGATTCCTTTGCCGGATTTCTAGACTCTGGACTTGGAGACGATGTCGAGGAAGAGCCGCTTAACTCTCTATATCAAAAGTTTGCTCATGCGGTTTTCTTCACTCCGCGAACAGGAGGTGGTGTCGGAGATCGTGATCTAGGACTCGGAGTTGGACCATTTCTAGATGAAGACTACAACTACACAGAAAGAGTTGACGGAATCTGGCAGCGCTTTAGAGATCATAGCGCATGGAAAACATTGCTGCGCAAACGCGAATCAACGAGTCCTTTGGTACTATGTTTTGATTTTCTTCCTGAAATTGAAATTCCTTTTGCTTGTTCTTGTTTAAAAATAGAAGTTGTAAGAACTCCTCTACTACGTACTAGTGCTGTTCCTCTAAGTGAAATAAACAGCAAGAGAACGTCGAAGTGGCTGCAGTGGCTGCAAGAACTGTAAAAATGATCCCTCTTCTAATTTCACGACAGATGCAAACTATCATCGGGAAACTCGAAGGCCTTGTCGCGTCCCACAGGAGCGGAGCATCTGGCGGAGGACTCGAAATCACGAGGGACTTGCGCAAAGTCGTAGAGGAACTGAGGAAAAATATTACCCCGGAAACGCTGCAGCAGGCTTCTTCGAGAGAGGCGAGTGAAGGACAAGCACTGTTTGCCATTCTCAACGATAATCACGTTCTTCTAGAGAGTCGTGATCTTGCCGACACCAGAGACCATATCTTCGAGGACAGTAGCGAAAGAAGCGGAAACCTAACGGCGAGTAAAAGGGAAGCCCATGAAGAAGAACGCGAGAGTGTGAGATATTTCACGTCTCGAGTAATTGGACTCTTGGGAGCAACTGTCTTCGACGAGAATGAAGTGCAGCCTGGACAGGGGATGCCGGACTTTCTCTTATGAGAAGATGTCGAAGTCGAAAATCTAAATTATATATAAGTACATGATCATAAAAATAAAGATAAACATGATGTAGTCTTTTTTCGGTTTTTGTTTTTTCTAGTTAGATATGCTCCACCAACATAAACGTGATGTAGTCATTCCCTCTAGACGAGAATGAAGTGCAGCCTGGACCTCTAAGAGACGATCGTTTGAATAGTCTGCAACAAGGTTGCACGCTGCAAGAGTTTTTTGGCCATGCTTTGACGCTTTTGTTTGCAACGGAAAACGGAGGAGTGGACGAGGAACTGCTAGAGCTAGCGAGCGATCAGTTTTTCCCTCTCCTGGACGAAATGCGGAAGAAGCCAGGTTTTCTCCACGTGATACAAACCGTCACGATCATGTGGTGGAAGACGAGAGTGGGCTCTCTTGCTGAAGAAGATGCAGCACATGCGCATGGCCTCAACGTGGGAGGTGATCAGTCTTCATCTGGTGCAGCACGAGATGGCTTAATAATTTAAGGCAGCTGTAATTATATACAACAACTCTAGCAATTACTCGATGTGGAAATACTGGCTCTGAAGCTTCCTCGGTACTACGCCTCAACATTAGAGGGATAGAAATCAACACTGTTCAAGATGTAATATGCGTCTCAAAGGAAGGTGGCTCTCTATCTCTAACAAAGGGGGACGGAAGTTGTCTTGGAAAAATTCGGCATTGTTTCGTTGTATGCGACTGTGAGGCACTACTACTTGCGAGCGTTCGACAGGGCACGAGCAGCCAACTGGCAGGATGATCAGCTCACACGCATTGCCATAGCCCTGGGAGTCGGTCACAAGATGATGCTTGACTATCAACCGCGGCTCCTGTCAATATACAACAACTTGCACGACGATCAACAACTTGCACGACGGATTTACATCACGTTGCAAGAGTTCGAGCAGTTTATTGTAGAGAAAACACTTGAACAAGCATTGGCGGCAGGGGAACAACGTAGCAGCAGAAGTTAAGGACGATGACCTCACGCGAGAACTTGTAAGTAGTTGTAACAAAATCAAAAGGTTCCTAGAAAATGATATTACGACGAGAATTCTCAGTTCTATTTTTTGTTCGCCACTGCTACAATACTTCAATTTTTGCTTCTTGAAACCCGAGCGCTAAGAAAAAGACGGCGAGAACCAACTCATCGGCGTCGACGTGGATGCCGATGAACAGTATCAAGAATCACAACTGTTGGATCGCTACAACAAATGGGCAACGGAATATAATGGGAAACAGAATCGCACACCACCGACACCAGCACCACGTCCACGTCGAGAACCAGACCAGTACGGAGGTGGTGGGCCACCTGATGGCTCTGGAGGTGGCGGGCCACGTGGTGGTGGTGGCGGGCCACGTGGTGGCGGTGGAGGATCCGGTGGCGGTGATGGCGGCAGCGGCCATGGGCCACGTGGTGATGGTGGATCACGTGACGGTGGCGGATCTCGTGGCGGTGGCGGTGGCGGCAGCGGCCATGGGCCACGTGACGGTGGCGGGCCACGTGGCGGAGGACGTAACCCTGGTGGAGGCAATCATGACCTTTTTGGAGCTCCTGCTAGCACTATCGGGAATGGTCTTCCTAATATCTTCAGGAATAGAAGTACGACAAGTACTATTTTCAGGAACAACATTGGAGGAGCACGTGGAAATACGAGCACTAACAACAGTGGTGGGGCAGCTGATGCTAATGGTCTGATTCTTTCAGGAACTACAACTGGGCCAAACAATACGGGAACCCCTACTGTTTTCCTACCGGCGACCACACGCCGGAGTTGGAAAAACTGGGAAATCTCTCTGGTCGTCATCTTTCCAACGCTAGCGCTCATAGCACTAATTCTCCTCGGCATCTACTGCTGTGGTCGTGGAAAAAACTAGACTCAGCTGGTGTCGAAATCGGAATATACTACTGTGGTCGTGGAACAAGAAACTAAAAAAGTAGATCATGTCGTGGACTAGGACTATCAGTTGAACAAGTTTCACTGACAGTCTCACCAGAAAGAGCAGAAAAACAGAGGTACTCAATAAAGTGAAGGGGGACCCAACAGAGGAAAAGGAACGGCAAGACCTAGTACTAGACCTAGTTGTCAACTACGATTTAAACTTGATAGGTTATCACTCGGTCATCTTGCCCTTTCAATAGAAAGGCACAAGGGGATTGAACGGCCTCAATCACGTTTGACTAACGTATCACGTGGCATCATGACATGACACACTGTAGAAAAATATAACTGTAGTGCTGCTGAACAGAAAGCAGTGCTATCTTGTTATCGAAAAACTGTCTCGCATACGCATTTTTCGGAAACTGAGTTGTAACGATGTGCTAGTATAAGTTGTAAGAGTTGTACTGTAAAAAAGTATGACTCAAGATGTCATCACTTGCAGAATAAAAATGCCTTATGCTTATCATTATAAATATATACCTTGCATGATATGTGAATGTTACGAGTCTGTGTGTATGTTGGCGCACGACACTGTATGCTAAAAATAGGTAATGTAATTGGTGCTTGTAGAAAAAAAAAGCACTGGTGCTTGTAGAAAAAAAAGCACTAGTATGAGATGAAGTAGATGTAGTTTTTGGTGTCCTTCTATGTCTATAGCTCGCTTGTTTCGTAGATGGTACATACTATGAAGAATAAGGCTCTATTTGTAGTACAAATAAGCTATAATAGTACTGGCGCGCCCAAGCGAGATCTATAGTACTGGCGCACAAGCGAAATCTAGTATTCCATGCCCCCTCATGAAATCTTCATAACTACAGGGGGTTGAGCGTCGGCGCGTTTGATATATACCTCAGAGAAGTAGGTACGTCACCTCTTCTACCGTCTTGATCAACAGGTCAAGAGTAGGTACCACGTAGCAGGGCAGGCACCATGTTGATCTGTACCCCTACCAAAACAAGCATGTAATGTAACATTATGGTAAATCAAAGTCCTTCTTCGTCTTTAATTATACAACTAGTTCGTTGATAGTAGAATAAGAAGAAACGAAAAGGATTGACCGTATCTATAGGTCTTGGTTATCGTGAGCTGCAACTTTAGTTTTGATATAAAGAGCTTGGGGCGACATACAGTGAAGCCCGCCATTGCCATCACCAATTTGTGACGCTCACTAGAGGGTACTTTATCTACTTTCAATCACGTGATGTAGCATTAGAGTATTCATGCACGTTTTACCAGTGACCTAAGTAGTTGTAGTCATGCTTCCACATCGTCAGCGCCCGCTTGTTTTTTTCATTTCGTGCACCACGACTGGAGGCCTGACTACTCCGTTTCAATCCAATGCGTAGATAACACCTAGATTGTTGATGTCATGTACCACCAAGGCCAAGGATAGGCACACCACTTCAAAAGAAGTTCATCTACCACGACTGCTGTACTAGGGAGCCGTTTTGTGTCTGAACAAGTAATGTACGATGTACATCTCCACCTCGTTATAATAGATGACTCGTTCTTCTTCAAGAGACTCAGATGAAAGGAAGACTTCAGTTTAATTATCCAACGTCAGAACGCTGTTGCAGACACAATTCTGACTCTCCAACTTCATAAGTAGAGACACATTTTTGAGATTGTGGTCTTACCTACAGTTGGGACACGCACTTGCATTTTGACCTGTGGTCTAAGGAGAAAAAACACGCTTGAAAAAATTGAGCACTGCAGTTTCATGGCCTTTCAAGAGGAAATGCTGAGCCCATTTGCAGAATGGAACTATCGCAAATTTCATTTTTTGATGCTTTCTTGCTTGGCCGACCTCACACGAGAGGACGCTTCATTTACGTGAGGACGCCCCCTACCTTCGTTTCGTGTGCTCGGTGCGATGGCGCGTTTAGCGTCACGCATCCTGCTTCTCAGAGAGTACTGATATGAGCCAGATTCGGCATTCGAAGGGAAAACAGGGGGTCGTCTCGTGTAACCCCTCGTCGGTCCGGCCACTTTTGTTTGCGACCTCCATTGCGAGCTGTGCTCTCTACCCGACCTCCGCATGGTCTCTGCCGTGTGCAGGCCCAGCAGAGGCACTTTTTGGAGCCCATTGTTAGGCGGAGATTTTGGCCGATTTTGGAATTTGGGCCTGTTCTCTCTACCCGACCTCTGCCGTGTGCAGGCCCAGCAGAGGCATTTTTGGAGCCCAGTGTGGGGAGGAGATTCTGGCCGATTTTGGAATTTGGGCCTGTTCTCTCTCCCCGACCTCTGCCGTGTGCAGGCCCAGCAGAGGCACTTTTGGAGCCCATTGTGAGGAGGAGATTCTGGCAGATTTCGGAATTTGGGCCTGTTCTCTCTATCCGACCTCTGCCGTGTGCAGGCCCAGCAGAGGCACTTTTGGATCCCAGTAGGCCCAGCAGAGGCACTTTTGGATCCCAGTGTGAAGAGGAGATTCTGGCCGATTTTGGAATTTGGGCCTCCTGTTCTCTCTATCCGACTTCTGCCGTGTGCAGGCCCAGCAGAGGCATCTTTGGATCCCAGTGTAAGGAGCAGATTCTGGCCGATTTTGGAATTTGGGCCTGTTCTCTCTACCCAACCTCTGCCGTGTGCAGGCCCAGCAGAGGCATTTTTGGATCCCAGTGTGAGGAGAAGACTCTGGCCGATTTTGGAATTTGGGCCTGTTCTCTCTACCCAACCTCTGCCGTGTGCAGGCCCAGCAGAGGCATTTTTGGATCCCAGTGTGAGGAGAAGATTCTGGCCGATTTTGGAATTTGGGCCTGTTCTCTCTACCCAACCTCTGCCGTGTGCAGGCCCAGCAGAGGCATTTTTGGATC